TTTTTACCCCCCCCCCCCCCCCGTTCAAAGTAAAAAATAAATAATCTAGGTCGTAAGAATGGAATACAGAATTCAAATGATTACTCGATATCGCAATTCACCTGCCACCGGTCGCCACGATTATTTAAATAAAAGTAAAAGCGTCGGCGTGCATACAGAGCCGTTACAGACAATCGCACCTTAATAAAGAAACAGTCAACCCACGCGAGCCCTATAAGCATCATCGCACGTTACAAGAGCGACTACCGACGATAAAGTTTGATGAGTTTAGAATATAGTTCATAACAATGTAGAGTCTCTAGGTATATTATAATATATCGACTGGTCGTCGTATTCAGTTGCGCAATAGCATGATGCAATTTGTAACGAGGAACCTCTGGGAGGTTCGGTCGAGCTACGAAAGCCATAAGAGGAATTAATAAATTTCATCGGTACCCGAGCCACAGCGTACCGACAGACTATTTGGCAAAAGTCAAGTAAAGTAACGGTAGAGCCACGTGACAAGTGGCCAGCCTAGAAGTAGCTAGAACGATCGTTAGGTTTTATTAAGCAAATAACGAAGCGGCGATCGACAAAACGAAATCGTAAATACAGCTTGCTAGATGGACAATTTAACCTGGCGTATATTTCAGGTACGTAACGGCATGGGATACACGCCCACGTATTGACTCTGGAATTATTTATCGGCATTGATGAGATCGCTGGAGAGAGAGTCTAAGAGGAACACGGCCGGATAAGTGTGCATATATACATATATATAAAGTAAGTTAGCCTAGTAAAGTACGTACTAGAAGCTAGGAGTAGTCTCGAAGCAGTTTCGATCAACGATTTTCATAGACAGAGCTCTAGTAGAAGGTCCAGGAAGTAGGTCTCCATGACTTAACCTGAGTCGAGGTATTCGAGCATAGTACAATGAGCCATGCGAGAGAGATAAAAAGACACTTGGTGTATCACCGCACCTTAAATAAACTATACGCTCGTACCGCCGCCTAACCTTAGAAGTTTCAACTAAAAGCCAGAGATGCACTACTGCGCTAGTCAAGACACCGCGAGGCGAGGGGTATCGATGTCCTAAGAAATAATCGAAAGTGCGACAGTCGATATTTGCGGTATCGATTATGTCAGTTAAACCAACGGAATACCGTGGTATGCTAGAATAAAAATATACGCGCGAGTTATGACTTGTAACTAATCCCAGGACGAGTCTAGCGGTCACGGCGGTTTGTCCCCCCGTCACAGACACCACAGACTACCTGCGTATACGGTCGTGCGACAGACGCGAGCGAAGAGTGAGAGTTAACGTGCTCGTGGAAGTTGTAGAGGATACCCAGCCGGCAACAGGGTAACATTAATCTCTATACCCGAAGTGCCAGGAGCGTGAAAGGATATGACGGCCAGGTCTTATTGTCCCACCCACATTCTATAAATCCACGTGAGAAGCACGATAGCAGTGAGTTATTACCAGAGGTACCAAAAGGATACCTCGAACGAGTCTAAATACACAATCTGTTATAACAAACGATATTAATCGTTCTGTAACTATCGATAGATGAATATCGATCGATAGAACCCGCGGAGTAGCATGAGAAATCATCTGAAAATGATACCAGTGACGGGACATTCGCGTGCAGCTACATACGAATGCGTGCACGGAAGACCTCGAGGCCAACGACGTGGTGGAATCGAGCAAGGAATTCCTCAAGCCGGGTACGCATGTACGCAACTGTAGTAAAGTGCGAGCGACGAAACACGCCAGATGTGCCCAGTATCTCGCAAAGACTTGCACGAAACTCCACACAAGTGCGCATTTATCCTCACACTGCCACGCGAAAACGTCTTTACTATACCGCCCCGCTGCTTAGCCGTTACATAGAAACGACGCCGTAGTTAACACGCGCGCGGAATGCCTACTGCTGAATACACATGGGATTCCGACTAGTCTCGGTATAACGCACCGACGCACATTTTCAGTCGCACCTCTTTGCGCTATTAATACTTTACTTTTACTCGCGTTCGCGTCTACGGGATGAAATAAAAAGGGAGCGTCCGACGTAAAAACTAAAGCACGCCTCACAGGTGAGAAAGTCCATTCGATCATTCTCACGTACGCCTGAGAGCGACGAAGTTTCTTAAAAGCCGATTCAAACCTTAATTTACAGATGGCGTTTTGGGCGATTCGGTTCAGCAGCTTAGAAACTCGCTTGAGCTTGTCTACGACAGTCCCAGCATGTAAACAAACCAGGACGGCTGGAGTCGAGCGCACGTTGCAAGAGCACGCGAACGCGTTTCTCACGTTCTCTTGCGCAAACTGTGCAAAGCAAGTGTTCATTCGTGGCCTAGAAATCTCAAGAAGCTAATCTCCCGGTGCTTTGACTCAGCCTTAGTAAGAACCGGGTGACACTTACAGACGGGACCTTCGCTGCTGATACAGTTGGAGCGAGATGGGACGCAGGATGTTCTGCATTGGGATAGGAACGAGAGGAGGAATTATCTGTACGGTAGTTGATAAGACTCGTTTTTTTTGTATTCTTCCTACGTAAGTAATATTAATCATTCGACGTACCTGATTCTTGGTGGGCTTGTCCATGATACGATACGAGGGCGAGCTATGATGGCCGGAGGCTGCGATGACGGCGCTCGCCTTACGAGATACGCATTGCCCCATATAGATCTGCCAATTTCACCCGAGCGTAACCTGTATACATGGTACGTTCGGTCGTGTTAGAGAGAGAGAGAGAGAAAGAGCGAGACACGTAGGGAACAGAGGATGCGCAACCCGACGGTACAAACAAAGCGACCACGAGTTGGATTAACGAGAGACACATTAGAATTTTCGCGATACGTATCGCACGTGACGCTTTACACTGTCGGATTGCGCAGGCTGAGTAAGGTACTGGCAATTAAATTAATTAGAGCAGATCATTTATCAGGATCCCTTTATTCCCGTAACCAAGCACCGTGTACACCCAGGAAGAATACATGCATTGTTGTGATTATTAAATACTGATTGTCAGAGTCAAAGAGAGAGAGAGAGAGAGAGAGAGAGAAAGAGAGAGAGAGAGAGAGAGAGGGAGAAGAAAATTCATTTATCTGAAATGATGCATAAACAAAGCCTGTATCACGCAATGCACTAACTTAATCATCTAACAATGTATTAAAAATATAAAAACACTTTCAAAACCGTTCCTCGAGACCTAAATAAATATTCCTTTTACATGGCAATACGTTATCCCCAGATGTAAGAGGAATAAAGGCCAAAGTGATTACAGCCTTTATGACCGTAAAATTACTAGAACGTACCATTAACGTTAATACGCCATGTTCATAAGAATAATTCCCAGCATTCCAGCCGATAAGAACTCGAATGCACCGAGTGCGTCTGATGCAAGGTACAAATAAATGAATTCTTCGAGGTAAATTTGCATAGACTAAAAAAGAAACATTTAACAATTGCCCAAGACCGATACAACCCACAGTAAGCAATCTAGGGGGATAAAAAGTCCCTAGAAAGTTATATTCCACAGAAGGGACCTGGAATGTTCTCCAGTAAACTGGGATACGAGAGTTCATCTTTCATTCGTGACGTTTCACGGACTGGAAGAGATTAATAATTCGCGCTCGAATGAATATTCCGAGAATGTTTTCCTGGAACCCTGGTCAAAGTGATTTGCGATTGTTCGCCTTCTTAGTCACGTTTGCGCGAGGCATCGCCGAGAGCACAATGGCCGAAGTAAGAGAAGAAGACTTCATCGCGAAACCCGAGATAAACAATGAGACCCGTTGCCAAAGGAAAGGAAAGCAGAATTCATTCGTGGAAACAGGCACCTCGTGTCAGCTGAGGATGCTCAGTTTCCGCAGCGGTCATTGAACATAATAGAGAAGGTCGTTCCTTCTGAGTAACTGCATTCCTATGCACAAACATGACACATCGTGCATGAACGTTGGTCCAGCTTGGTATTTCGAAGTTCTCCACCTCTAACCGATATAAAATGTGGGATATGTCATTTCAGAAAATTCATAAAATCTGAGAGAAAAAATTCTAACCTAAAAACCACTGTCACAGAATAAATACACAAGGAGACGAACCTCCAAGGGCCCGTAACGAAGGCTCCTGTGGTTATTTGCTATGCATTCCTCGTATCCCGTTCTCCGTGCGCTCGAATGGCCTGAAGAAAACGCTATAGGTATAGGTACCTGGTACATAGATACGTAAGCCTTACGCGTCGTCAATGAGAATGAGCCTTGTGGCGAGATTCCGTGAAACAATAATACATATAAAGATATCCATTGTCATGTTTCTAAGGTTCGACCCAAGCGAAAGACCGAATCGTCTGAGTGTTATTTAAATTTGTATAATACATGGCCCGTTGGATAGTGAAATGGGCGCGCATGCGCGTCAGAGCTGTTAAGCATAATCATCGGAGTGGATGATCAGAGAAATTGCTAATTGCCTGGCGTACAAGTAGAGAGCGAGTAACTTGTAACAGGAAGAGACGCTCGTGCATTGAATTACGGGCTGGTTGGCTAAGACAAATAAATGAAAAGGTGGAAGGCATGTTACCGGAAGTCGTTAACTATACCGAGTATGCCCACCTTGTACGCCAGTCAGCGCGCCTTAGGAACGTCGTCTGCTGCGGAGTGTCAGCGTACTCTCGCGGGGAAACCCTGAGGCTGCTTTTGCACCGAGGCACGAAAACCTGTCTAATTGTTAAGTGTGTACCTAAAGAGTGTACAAACGTATTTTACTGGTAGGACAAGATTTTATCTGCGGCTCCCACCAGCGAGGAGAAAGAGGAGTTGAGGGTTTGGTAAATGTGATAATAAACAGACCAAGAGTACGTATCAACCGATGAGTCTATGAGCAGGTGAATATTTTTGGACGTTACAATAAATTATAGTTATAAATAAAGAAAAAATATGATAAATTCAAAATACTTTAATCGATATTATTATTTGTATTATTAGAATCTTACGTGTCACGTCATTGAGCACAGTAGTCGGTATGGCGTTGGTATACGACGAAAGAGAACGAAACGTCCAAATTAAAGTGGACACTGACATATTTTTCAAAAGCATTAATTGTCAATGTTTTTTTTTTCTTCAGTTATCCTAACAGTCATACTGACTCGACAGAACGGCCGTTAAAGTATGATATTACTGCGGTTAGATAATCGTAGCCAATGCTCGCTCGCCACAGAAATGTAACTTATTCGTGTAAGTTGCATTACGGACAAAAAGATTTTTAATCGACTCCGTACCACCCACCCGATCAGTACAGCATTGCATTACGAGGAGAATAACCTATAAATTGAAGTATTTAGTTAACTAAGTAAACTGTGAATCCAAAGAGGAAAAAAGTAAGTGAACGCTTGCCTGATCGATTCCAAAAGAAAAATCAAACATGGCCGCCGGAGGCGCCACATAACCTGTGAGAGAGAATCGACGTTGAATCAATGTCCGCACAGAACCTGACGAGACAGTGGCTGGCTAGAGTATAATTGTAAAAGCCAAGGAAAGATAGCGAGGGCACGCGTACCACAACAGGATAAAAAAATATGGCTTCCTACTGACAGCTCGGAGCGGTGAGCGGTCAAGTAACTCGTAGATGAAAGACCTGACAGATAGGCGTCTACTTGTAGAGAAATTGCGAACGGTATTAGTAATGGAGAAAAAAATGTATTTTCTGGCTTAAGGATACAAACCGGGTGAATAGAACAATCTTCAAACCCAAGAAGCAAAGAGATATGGTTTTACGATCTCGTGCCACGGAGCGATAAAGAAGCGTTAAATTCACTGAATTCTCACCGTTCCACTAGAGAGACGTTTACGTCCGGACTTCTAATGGGAATTACGAACGGCGATAGTCTTTTGCGTAGGTGCAGACATTATATGATAATTCTTATCTCGAGTCTTGAAATATTTGCATGTCAAGTGACAGTGTGATGCCGTTGAATAGAGTTATTTTTCACGTCGTCTTCTTATTACGCGCGACAAGCAACGTTCAACACTTTAGAATAAACCGTAGGGACTCCGCGCTCCAAGCGAAGAGGGAAAGTGAGGTTATAAGTGAGAAACCTTTCATTGGGCCTAACAAAGTAGATGCCTCGAGTATTTCGAAATAACGATCAATAATGTCTACGATGATGAAATTTCATGAATATAAATACAAATACTCGCGTCCATACTTCCAATCGAAAATCAACATCCGTATGGATTTTATACAAAAGATATTCAAACTGTTTGATCTAACCTTTGTAACAAGTTCAATTAACTGATAAAACGGTATCGCGAAAGTAAAATCCGTAAAGTAACGGCTGGTTAGTCAGCGCTCCTAATTTTTTTTCTGCATTCATTAGTCGTTACAGCCAATGAGGAACAAAAAAAAGATGGCGGCATCCGTTGCATAGAATTCCGACGTTTGCTTTTTTTTCTCCCTTCCAAATCGTTAACCGTCCTCATATAAATGAAGCTTTTGAATGCACTATGATCAATCTACGATGCTCAGTACTTTGATGTGTAATAATTTTCATATTATTCTCAAGGAAAGTGTACCGATTACACGTTATGCTCTACGCCGAGCGTATGGTACACTCAGAACCATAATTTACAAGATTGTACTTCATAAATTCACTACGTGGTCATTAATGTAGAAAGGAATGGATCTGTATACACCTGCAATAGACAACCGACGTACGTAAGAAACTTTATGAAAGATCGCCAAGTTGTAAGAATACTTTTCAATGTTTATAGAACTTCTAGCTATTCGAAATATTGCAAGGATAACCTGTTTCTCACGAGCGTAATAATACTGGAGCACAGCATCGGCGAATGCTCGTCGAGTCTCCTTATAGAAATGATTAAGAGGAAAATTTACTATCGTGTAAATGAAAAGCTGGTTACATAAACATTAACGACCTTCTGATAGAACAACTCATAAATGGTAGGCCTACGGTCAAGGTAATAATAATCCCTGATTTCGAAAAATAAAGCAAACCCAACACGACAGTTTGACATATAATTTCCATTGATTGATTAAATTCTAGTTAGCGTGAACGTACGGATCACTATTATTAGAGAATATTATTTGTCCAGTTAAATTCTAATTTGTGCAATCAAAGATCGTGAAGGTTAATTGAAAAGTTAAAGAGGTTAATAGAATAGATCCCTGCACAACGCGTGCATGCACCTTTTCCTGTTTAAAGCATATATACATATATATGTATGCATATGTATATATCATCACTACCATCCCATTTCTTCGTTCCCTCTTTACATTATCTTTTTCACATACTACTCACAAAAATAACAATCCCCCTGGTATTCCGGGTTTATTGACTCGTTCTCTCAAACACACTGTAAAACATAAATACGTAGGTTGTTGATAAGGGAACAACTGAAATTATTATTCTTGCCACTGTGTCCTTGACTCTTATCAGATAGATGCTCGGAAAGTTTAATCCGACATGATATCAGTGCTATTGATATCCCAATCTGTCATATCTTACACATCAATAATGTATTATTAAACTTAAAATTCTCGGATGGACACTTGGTTACGTACATATGCAGTATATTGGAGTACCCTAGGTATCCCGTACATATATTCTACTGTTTATAAAGTTGAATAGGTTTATTAATTTGCAATAAACGTAAATGACACTAAAGGATTATCGGAATGACACTGTAACAGGTTCTTCTTTACTTCAAGGAACAATTTGCATTTTGGTAAGGGAGGGACTGCATCAAGTGCACCAGAAACCGGAATTAATCGATGAGCAGGGCTGGACCAATTGCCGAATTCTTTGGAGTGAAATAATAATCGACGTTTAAGAATGTGACCAGCCGAGATTTGGAGCCATTGGTATACACTCACCTTTCCTTAAGCAGCTAAGATTCTCAGGAAATTCGTATGAAATCGCGGTATACATCATAAAATTTGGCACAGACAGTTAGAAACAACCGCGCACAGAACGCGCGAACATGTCACTCGTGTTATTTAATGTTTTACGTTTCCCGTTTTTACGCTGGAATTATATGTCTTCGAGGCACAAGACACCTGCCTTCGCGAGCGTTCATACAACAAGACAGTGTACCGCACAACCTGTCATTCGAATATATTCGATAGTACGGAACATGCGTCGTGACGTCAGCCCACCAGCAGCAACCACCTACCACTTCAATTGGAATTTACTTCACTTCGCTTCGTTCTTACTGTTACTAACTTCACGGACATCGCACATGGCGTGGCTCCTTTTGCTAATGGCGCGACTAGCGTCGTTTTCTTGAAATTTTATGTCTCGGTCGGTATATAAATTTTCAGTCGGTAAAGAAGATTTCGGAAATCTGAGAAGTTCAAATATAAACTTTTAACTCTAGTGGAAATAGTCATTTTTTTGGTTGCGCTGGAGTAGAAAAGTACAGTTTTTCTTCACTGAGTATAATTGTAACAAATCGGAATAGGGCTACAGTTACCAAAAATGCATATTGGAGCAGAAAACAGATTGGAGCATGAACGGCATATATGTATGTATACAATTCATTTCTGATGCTTATTTTTTTTTTAGAGTAAAGATGTGGGTTTGTGATTAGTTTCTGAAAATTCTTATTATGGTTTATAAAAAAAAATCTTTAAGGAGTCTTCCTAGCTTAGTTGTACGACTATTAACTTAGATTTTTTTTTAGACGAAGTTTCTAAATCGAAATATTTTAGCCATTTAAGTCCGGCTTTCTGGTTTTCCGACCTTGTTTACACAGAGATGAGTACCACCTATCTTTCACAAAGTGTATAGTTTTTAGCCAATCACATTTTGGGGTTGAAGCAAGACAAGCACAGCGATTGGCTAATACAAGTTCACTTTTCATCTTCATCACTGTTGAAAGGTACGCAATCCAGCCTCTGGGAAAGCACGTATGTCGTCAATTGCAAATCCACGGTGATCAGTTGTGATTAAAGTTGGCCGAATGTGGACGAATGTTTATGAAAAATTATATATTGTGCAATACGTTGTTGGGTCAAATTTCTTGAAATTGTGTAGGATTTTTTAAGCTACACTACAAAAATAAGTAGGCTTTTAGGTTTGTAATCTTTGTGAATATTTTTTTGCAAAATGTAAGTGTGATGACTTTCTGTCAAAAGTTGTTTCTTCATTCTGTTCTTGCCTAGTGTAATTTTTTTTTTAAAGGCTAGTCATATGTAACTGCTATATCTACTTTGACTTATGTACTTTCATTTGTGTTTCAGAAAATTATACTATTAAAATGTCAGAAATATCTTTGGACGATGAAGTACTATCACCGGACATGTTCTCAGATTCAGAGAATCAAATGACAAGTTCTTTCAATACAATAGAATTAGACGAACGTAAGTAGTTTATAGTGCATCTAAAATTATTTAACTTAATATCTTATTTTTTACTATTTTAAGCACTAGTCATTTCTGAAGAACCAGAAGTCACAGATACCGTACATGAATGGAAGGGAGTTAGTATGGATCATATTTATAAAGGCTTGGGACCATTTGGTTGCCATCAGCATCCTCCAATTTCTCCAAGTGCAGAGCATACAGTTTTATTTGAGGTATGAGACTATCTGTCAATTGACATTAATTCTGCTAACCATATAAAGAAATTAAAAAATTATATTTAGTTGTATTATATAGTTTTTAATTATTATAAATTATAAAAACATCTATGATTTGTTCAAACAGTTGCCTCTTAATAATCGTGGTACGCCAAAGCCTTATCCAAAGCAGCAGAAGGATAAATGGTGTCAAGGATATGTTAGAATGCCTCATTCTATGCATAGTCTTTATCCAGTGAATCATGTTTGTAATATAGATTATAATTAATATTGATAACAGTATATCCTATTATTATAATCATTGTGTGTAGGAAAATGGAAGTAACGGATTCCGTCAACGTTGGGAAGTTATTCAAGAGGCATTGCTCAAGAGTTTTGTCTCCACATATCAATTGGAAGCAGCGATTTTGTCATATAACCATAAATATGCTCATCGTTGGGATTTTTCTGCATTACATCAGTTTTTCTCTGAGGTACAGTAAATAATAACATTTTTCTATTAAGCTCTATAGAGTTAATGCCTCTAAAACAAAATATACAGGTAGTTGATGAAGAATCAGCAAACCATTTCTTCACTGGATTGTTACCAAAAATAGTACAACTAGCTTTACAATTGCCAGTTCTGGTAACTGGAGCAATTCCATTATTAAAACGTCATACAAATGCATCCATCAGTCTTAGCCAGTTGCAGGTGTCTTCACTGCTTGCTAATGCATTTCTATGTACTTTCCCAAGGAGAAATTCTACTAATCCCCAATCCGAGTATGCCATGTATCCAAATATTAATTTTAACAGGTAACTTGTTTATCCATGCCAAGACTTTTTCTTTCATACACTGCTATACTAAACTTCATCGTTTTCAGACTTTTTGGATCATATAGAGAAGATAGATACGACAGATCTGAAGCTGTGCTAGAAAAATTAAAATGCATCTTTCATTACTTCAGAAGGATAACATCTCAAGGTGCGCCTATTTTAAATGAGGATATATTGCTATACAAAATAAACGTTAATCTGCTGAATCGCAAAACTACGCAGTTCGGATTATCTGATGAATTTTTTGTAAAGTAGCACCAGAAGGCACTATAACAATTCAGAGACGATACATTCCAAAAGAAGAGTGTCCTAGATGGGAGCAACAATGTCACAAACTGCCACCATTACACATAACAAGCAAGGGAACAATCGAGTCTGAAGGAACAGGTCTTCTACAAGTAGACTTTGCCAATAAGTAAGGAAACTGATTACTGATTAATAAACTGCCATTAAATTTAATCATAAAAAATTGTAATTTAATAATATTTATTATTAGATATGTCGGCGGTGGAGTTCTACGTTGGGGCTGTGTGCAAGAAGAAATAAGATTTGTCATTTGCCCGGAATTAATGGTGAGCATGTTGGTAACTGAGGCTCTAGATGATACAGAAGCTCTAATAATTAGTGGAATCGAAAGATACAGTAAATATGAAGGATACAGCGATGATTTCAAATGGACTGGAAATTTCGTCGATGAAACTCCAAGAGATAGCAGTGGCAGAAGAAGAACTTCTGTTGTTGCCATTGACGCCTTATCATTTGAACAAGCATGTACTCAATTTAATACTAGGAACATAATACGAGAACTGAACAAAGCTTATGTGGGATTCAGTAGTTCAGAAATGCATACTGACAATTTGGCAGCTATTGCAACTGGAAATTGGGGCTGTGGAGCTTTTCGTGGTAATCCACAGTTAAAGGTGTTGGTACAATTAATGGCTGCTGCTGTAGCTGGCCGTTCTATGGTTTACTTTACTTTTGGAGATACCAACTTAAGAGATAAAGTTGCTGATCTGTATTGGCATCTCGTTGAACATGATATAGATGTTGGTAGGTTGAAAAAAAATTGTGGAGCATAATGCAATAGAGATGTCAAATACTTATAGAATATTCATTTTTTTTCAGCTCGACTGTTTTATTTACTGTCTCAATATCGTGAAACAGCTTCTAAAAATTATTCGGATTTTTATCAATTTTTATATAAACGAAGTAAAATGAAACCTATAACAAATTTTTTAATTAAAACTGAAACAGAATCAACGAAAATTGATGGAATGTCCCAGGAATCGGAGAAATCGACTGTCCTCTTAACAGGATATACTTCTAAGGCTAAACAGAAGGAGGAGGAAGACGAACTAATGATAGCAAATTGGTTAGAAGATTTAGATCAGAATAATGTTGAAATTACATATTCAGTGGAGAAGAAAGAGGAAGAAATTGTTAAATGTGTCGATCCCAGTAATGTTGCAGGTAAAAATTCGAATGAAAATAATTCTATAAGTTCTGCAACGAATAAAGATAATGCAAAGAGTATTTCAAGTACCAATTCTGTAATCAATGATAGTATCATGAAAGAAGATTTGTCCAACAATTCATTGCTATGGCCATCTGATTCTCAAAGTATGAAAATGCAGCACAGTCGACCTTCTGCTCTGGAAATATTGGGTACGAAACAGGTGGACACTGTTAATAATGAAGTAAGTAAGGCACAAAAAGAAACGTCGCCTTGTACAAAATTAAAAAAAACAATTGACAAAGACAACAGTAAGAAAAATTTAAAAACAAGTCAACGGAAAATATCTGATTTCTTTCCACCAATTAAATAGGTCCATAGAAATTATTGTATGAGACTTGTTAATCATAAAATTGAAAATCTACAGTACACTAGAAAACCATTGTATATAATTGTAAACAATTTAATAAGTAAATTTTGTTTATTAACTTCACATCATTATTTTTTATTGCATAACTTCCTGACCTGTTATGTCTACGTAGCTTAAATCCTTAGAATATTAAGAACGCGTAATTCCTCTATAAATTTAATGTAAAATTATTTTGAAAAGGACGCAAGGTGGCCAAAGAGCCGGGAATAATAATATTAGACCACGTGATAAATATCGACGTATCTTGTTGGCCGTGGACCGAACAAATGGCCAAATACTAAAATGGCTCCTGCCACTGAAATATTAAATGCTCTCAGCGAAAAAGTGACTTTCCAAAAGAAAATGTAGGATTTTTCGATCAATCAAACGTTACAGGTAAATTATAGTGTGTTCGTCTTCATTTTCTGTGTATTTTCAAATTCGTGGGTGAATGTCAATAGTGAATATTGTGGGCGGTTTCGAAACTGCTACTAATGACATTTGCATGACGATTTGACAGGAGACAGGTAAATATTGAGCCAAGTGTTAAGCGATTAATATTTCTTAATGATTGCAAAAACATCACCGTGCATCGACATTTTTTGAAAATTTGCCTGCCATGAAACTCGTAACGTTCTTCCCTTGCGACATACCATTTTCGCACGGTCGACTCTCAAGCATTTCAATATTATAATCGCTCCAAAATTAGCATAATAAACTGTAGCCTGCAAGATTGTTCAGTTATATAGTTTATGCATCCTCAACAAAATGACAATATTTACTGTTACGCAGTGTCTCTTAAAGAATACATTGATTAATCACATTATGCAATTCTATATCACTGCTGCACATTTTGCATTCTTTCTTATCAGTAATTATTTCCGTGTTTATATATATATATATAGTTTATGACTGATGATTTAATTTCGTCGAACAGAAATGCTATTAGAAGGATAATCTTCAAGGAGATTGCCAGTGTGTCTCATTAAACCTCTTGTACTACAAAAGTATATTTCTCTTATCATTTCTTTACTTGTTTTCTATTAAACAATTTTGTAATTAGTAGTTTTTGATATTTGCAGTAAATCAGTAATAATGAACATTATGCGAAAATTGCGAGGGGGTAGTAGTGTGGGAGGTATGGGCTCCAGCGGTTCTGGAAGCTTAGACGAAGGTGCTGGAGGTGCAAATAACCCTCAGCATACTGCCCTGGGCCTCATGCACCTTAAAAAACTTTTTTCCGAATATACACACCCTGCTCACCCACTTACTGAAGCTGAACGTGATGATAAATTGTATAACATGCTGCCTTTATTCTGCAAGGTAAGATAATCATTAAATACAATCTTAGAGGTTGTAATATAATAAATTCAAGCATACTAAATATTTTTTAAATGAGAAGATCATTCTGACAATTCAATATCATGAGAAATATAATTTTATTATGTCGCTTGAACAATTTGAGCCACTTTTTAGCCCCCTATGTGTTAGTATATTAATTCATTTAAACTGTAGTGCCCCCATTAAAGCACACATGTGCTTTACATCCTTATCTATATTTCTTACCATATGTCTTTCTTTACCATATTTGTTGTGCTTGTCATATCAAATATTTTCTTTTTTCATGATAAAATAAATAAGTTAGTTACATAAATATTTGAAAAACATAATTGTTTGAAGATCTTCTTGCTAATATACATATTTCATGTTTCCTCCTCCTCATTTACTTCAATAGCTAAACCATGTATCCAATTACCTGCCCACCCATTGTGTAGACCCAATAAGTAACCACAGACTAAAGAGAAAGATCTCTTCCAATACTTTACTGGCTTCCCAGAATAGGGCTGGTACCATAGAATTACTATGTGTGTGTATTCTATCATTTGGAGTACATAATTGAAAACATTCTTCAGGTGTTTGGATCTAGTCCTTCCGGAGACATGAATGAAAAATTTTGGGACATCTTAGCATTCACCCAGCAGGTATCCCGACTCATGGTATCTGAAATACGACGAAGAGCCAGCAATCAAAGCACAGAAACAGCAAGCTGTGCAATAGTGAAATTTTTAGAGATTGAAAACAGTGAAGAATCAAGTAACGGATGGATGTTACTCTCTGCATTAAATTTATTAGCAGCTGGCGATACTTCTCTAATACAGGCAAGGCTATTATTATATATTTTACAGCGTCAAATATAATACTACTTTCATTAAGAACAATTACATTTTTCAATAAGTTCTCACAGTACATTCATCGATTAAACCAAACATTCTATTCCATTGAATATTAAATAGGCCATGACTTCTGCCTCTGTGCCATCAACCTTGGTAAAATGTCTTTACCTTTTCTTTGATTTACCGGAAATGAGTGAAGTTGAGGCTGACGCGACCGATGCAAATAGTGAATTCACTCCCAGAGAACGAAGAATACTTTTACAAAAAATATTCGTGCAGGTAAATACGATCGACACACTTTTCTATTGTTCGCCCATTATTTACGCTTCATTTATTGATTTCTGCCTCTCTACCTAGACTATTATTACTAATTGTTTATGGTTATACTCGATTGTCTCGACAGCTCTTAGTAAGATTGTGCAGTCATCCATATCCGGCGGAAGAGCTAGCACGAAAGGATGATCTGACATTACTTTTCTCGGCAATAACAAGCTCGTGTCCACAGTACAATGTAATGTGGCGTAAAAGCGCTGCTGAAGTTCTAATGACACTATCTCGACACGGCCTTACGCAAAATGTTGTTGCTTACATTCACAGTAAGCATTACACATTTATAGCTAACATTACTTATTTGAAGCGAACAATAAACAAATTTCTATGGTAACAATAAATCTTTATATCTTTACAGATAAAGGTTGCATAGCTCTTTGCATAGACAACATGCAACGAGTGCCTGAGCTAGCACCACTTGAAGTTGTAGAAATGTTCGTGACAGTATTTTGCTTTCTAAAAGATTCCAGTGAAGTTTCTCAGACACTCTTGGATGATTTCCGTGCCTGTCAAGGTTATATCTTTCTATCGGAGTTCTTACTCAAGTAAGTTTTCCTTGATTATATATTTCTTCCGATCATATTATGAGATTTTCTGATATATTTTATTCAATTTATATTATAAATTTTTTCCGACAGGCATGCTCCATCAAGATTAGAACAAGATGGTCGTGCCGAGGCACAAGATGCCATTAGAAATTTGGTATTGATGCTGGCATCCCTTACCATGTGTGGTCATACGGAATTAAAACCTAGCCAAGCGAGCATGGGTTCCTTGTTTCAAATGCTTGGATTTACCTTACCCCAACCGAGTAACAGAGGTATCATTGAGTTTTCATAATGAACTCATTTTGGTCAGGGGCATCTCGTTAAATACTTTAATTCTGTCATTACAGGCGGTAGCGTTCGTAATGTTCAAGCATTTCAAGTATTGCAATCAGTGTTTGTAAAGTCTAACTCACCGCTTCTGTGTTGCACAATACTCGACGCTATATCGAGCGTCTATCACAGTGACAATGCGAATTACTTCATTCTCGAGGGACAAAACACACTCTCGCAATTCGCAGAAAAGATACATCTGAAAAATCCCGAGATTCAACAGAAGTTCTTTCATTTACTGGAATTCATAGTGTTCCAGCTTAATTTCGTGCCTTGCAAAGAACTCATATCTCTTTCAATTTTACTTAAATCCAATAATTCAGTCAGCTGTAGTATCATGTGCATGGATACTCTTCTAAACATACTCAGGTAACACAAGTAACGTCAGACACAGAAACTAAATGACGTAAAGAAGAACTATCACAATGGCTTTTAATGATCACAATTTAATCCTTTAGGCATAACGTAATATTTAAAGACGTATATCGGGAGGTGGGTATGCTGGAAGTATTTGTTACTTGTCTGCATCGCTTTGCAACACTGTTAAAGGATAAACAAGCTGCGCAAGATCAAGGGATGGGTAAATATTTCACTCACTTGTCAATCATTGTGATTCGTCAGTTGATAACTTATAATCAATTTCGTATTTCCAGAATATTACATGTGCCCAGAACAAGAGCGTCTGGGTGCCTTAGTCATGGAAGCACTGACAACCTTACTAGCAGGCAACGTCCAAAATGCCAATGTGTTTAGAGAGTGCGGAGGAGCACGTTGTGCCCACAATCTTGTTCCCTACATAGATTGCAGATATCAAGCCCTTGGGATAGTCCGGGAGTTGGTACTCAGTGCTGGTGGCGACGATGACATGGCTACATTATTAGGAGTGATGCATTCAGCACCTCCCAATGCTTTAGTACTGAAAACTCATATACTAAAGGTACCTGAAACACAGCTGTGAACGTTAAACAAATCAGTATTCTTGAAATAGAGAAATACAAAGTTAATCTATTAATTTCTAGTCGTTACTCGCGTGTCTGCGCGAATCGCACCGTACCAGGACAGTGTTCCGGAAGGTCGGAGGTTTCGTTTACGTCATGTCCGTTTTAGTATCTCTGGAGGGTCGTCTAGGTCCACAGCCCATTAAAAGTACAGAGCCGTGTAATGACATTACTCAAAGAAGTCCTCAAGACGAGGCACAGTTATTAATGTTACTGCATGTCGTATTTCATACGATCAGCACTGCTATGCGATTTGAACCAGCAAACGCCAAGTTCTTTCATCATGAAGTAAGTCTTTGAGGTGATATCATTGTTTGTATAAATATTTTAAATAACTGAGATTAAACTTTTCCTGACTAGATATGCCAATCAAGTCTGTGTGACACTCTACGGCTTCTCGGCTGTTTCTCATCTCTTACAAAACTCGTAGCAACGGATGTGGTCCTTTCTTTGAATTATCATAACACACTGCTTTCCCTGTTTACTGGAAGCGTACTGGAACCAACATTTCCTAGTGAGATGCCACAAATTTTAGCATATGCGTGCTTGCTGATGAGACTTTTGTATGACGCCGCCCTGGATGCTTTTGACAAGCCAAATTTAACTGGCGTTGGTATAAGATCTCCAAGTCATAAGCAATCTAATATCGAGGTAAAGATTTAATTCAATGGAAATACTCTTTTTTTTATCTGAACTGAATTTAATGCGTTGCTGGTATCTAGCATCAAAAGTCATTGGATTCTCCTGGAAGTGGCAAGAGGTCTACTGTCAATTCTCTAAATCTGAATCCTCCAATGCCGGAGCCAATCGTGGTCCATCCTGGTATTGTTGTTGGGATGCTGCATCTGCTCCCTTCCATATCAGATTCGTCTCATGCGCAAATGGCATTGGCCTTACAATTGTATGTTGCTGAAGTTATCAAAAGTCTAGTACGCACTGAAAGAAATCAGCAGGTGATGTGCGAAGCTGGGATGGCTGGTGAATTGTTAACAATGGGCAAAGTTGCTTTGCAAGATGAAACGCATCCACTTCATCAGCCACTTCAGTACATCATTGAACGACTTGCTGCTCAATCCTTAGAACCCAGAGACTTGAGGTAATTAAATGACTAGAATTCACTTTAATGAATATTTCACCAGAGACCCTCTCCGTTATTAAATTAAATCTAAGGAATCTAAGTACGTGAATTTTAATTTAACAGAGAGTTTCTACGGCTTGGTGATCCTCTGTGTTGCATATCACTCGATGACGTAGAACCAAACAAACCCAAGCCAGGTGGACCTGTCCCGCTAACGCGTATCAAAACCCTAGTATCAATGACAACACCAAAAGATTTTCGTGCTCATGGTTCTTGCACTTTGCCACCTTTTGTGGAGCTGGACATGAGTGCCGAAGGTTTTGCCTGTCTATATTTACCGAGTGTTGCTCCTCAAAGCACAACACCGCCGACAGTTGTTGCTGCTGATAATAGTGTCCTTGGAGGAATTGGATCAGGTAATAAAAATATAACCATCATTACACTTGTACTTGTTCTATGACTATAATCCACTTTGTCTCACATAATATTACTTAAGAAAATTCTTACTGGGTACATGGGCGTATATATCTACTGTAATCACTGAGTACGATATTATTAGCGTAGGTCGTATTCATTCATGCTATTGCTCTTACTTAGCGGAGAATGAAAATGTTTTCACATCCTATTCGGCCGTCTGTCGTCTCGTACTCAGTCGATTCGTAGCCACAGAAGTTAGTGTATCTGATCTTGATAGTGTTTTAAAATTATTGCATTTATAATTAAGGCGACAGATTATTTCCACCTCAAACTGGATTGACCTTCAGCACGTGGATATGCGTGGATAAGTTCAGTGATCCCAGGACAGATGCTCACTGCGTAAGATTACTGACTTTAGTGCGAAGTCCTCAGACTTCACGAGACTTGATATGTTTTACAGCTGTTCTGAGTGCCAGGGACAAGGCTATTATTGTGTCTACACAAGAGACTCCTCTGCCACAAAGTAAGTGTCATACGTGGGAACAATTAGTGCATCACTGGTAATGTTATCATTATTTAATTAGATGTAGGAGAATGGGAACCAGAGGGTACTGGTGAATGTGGAGCTAGAGTATGGTGCCCGGATTTACTTCATGAAGGACAATGGCATCATATTTCTATTGTTTTGAATCGCGCAGTTCTGAAGAATTCCAGTTTCTCACTGTATTTGGATGGTCAACATATACACAGCCAAAAGGTAATTGAATTTATTAGCAGTCTGCTCATCGCTCCTTGTCGATTTTTATTTATAATTTTAACTTCTATTAGCTTCACTACATCACGCAAAGTCCTGGTGGCGGTGCGACCAATCTGACTGTAGCATCTCCTGTTTACGGTTACATTGGGACACCTCCTTGCTGGAGACGATATTCCAGACTCACGTGGAAGCAAGGGCCTTGTCACTTAGTGGAGGAAGTATTCAATTCTCAAAGTGTAGCAACCTTGTTTAAGCTAGGGCCTCATTATATGGGTAGTTTACAAGCACCTCAATTAATAGGTAAGACGAATTGAATAATTAGTTAATTGGGAAGAGAGTTTTAAATAATATTTCCTACTTATGCAGGACCAGAACCATTGCAAGCACTTGTAGCAGAGGAAAAGGTAGTCTTTGGCTTAAATGCAAAAGCCATGTCTCAATTAACCCTGGCTAAGATAAGAAAAGTATATAGTAGAGCCGATAACAAATCAATAGCCAAACAGGTATATTATAAAATCAATACAATAATTACTATTTATTCATACTAAAATTTTTTAATGATATCTAATGTATGCAATTTTTTTTATCAGCTGGGTATGTCATCGCATGAAAATGCAACACCTATCAGGGTTTTGCACAATTCTGCAGGTCATTTGAGTGGTCCAGCAAGAGCTCTGGGTGGCGTAGTCGTCGGATATCTCGGTGTCCGAGTCTTTAGTCCTCGTCCAGTAGCAACCATGATCGACAACGTAGGCGGATGTTCTGTTTTGTTAGGTAAATGAACGACGGTATCAGATGCAGTATGATACGCGTGGGTGCGACTTGGAGCTTTATCATTGCAAGATTAAATTTTTTTAACAGGACTGATTGCAATGGCACAAGATGTAGAATCTCTCTATGCTGCTGTTAAAGCACTGGTATGCGTGGTACGCTCTAATCAGGCTGCCCAGCAGGAAATGGATCGGCGAAGAGGCTATCAGACATTGGCAATGTTATTAAGACGGAAATGTCCTCTTCTCAACAGCCATATTTTACATCTTACCTTCAGCTTGGTAGGAACCGTAGATAGTGGCAGGGAAACCAGTGCTATCCCCAATGTCACTGCATTCCAGGATCTTTTGTGCGACCTACAGGTAAACAATTATCGCGATTCTTTTGTCCAAAAAATCGACAAGTGCTCTAGTTTTTTCGCTGCTGCTAGGTCTGGCACGAAGCACCCGGTGAACTTCTTCGTTCACTATTGGAACATCTTTATGAATTAATTGCTGAGTCCAGTGAAAAACGCACCAACTTACGTCTTATGAGAGACTTGCAGTTGGTACATAAACTATTGCATATACTTAGTGATGTCAAACAAAATCCTACCAGACAAGTGCTTCTGGCATTGCTCAGTATACTTTTGGGACAGCCTAGACAAGCTGACCTGCTATGGTAAAGTTTATATGGATGATATTATACGAGTTGTGCCGTTTTCTAATGAAAGCATGAATTGTTTTATATATTTAAATATATTTCAGGTTTGGACAGTTCATCGTTGCTACTTTACCAGTTGGTTCTGAAAAGCATTTGGTTCTGCGAGAAGGTGACGGAAACAAGGAAGGCGAGGGTGAAAGTATTCTGTTGAGGAATCGGTGTCTTCAGCTGCTACATTCATTATTATTTAATGGTCTAAAAGTCAATGGCAGGTAAGAAGTCATGACAGTTTTCAGAATCACACATCTGTATTAAGCTTCACAACATTTGTATTGTGATACAATCATTTTTGTGCAGCATGTGCGAGGAAGTAGCCAAAGTTCTGGGATTGGATTGGATCTTACTGTTCCTTCAATCTGGTCTCCATAGTACGACTGTCGTATGGGGTTTAAGAATATTAGTAGCAGTATGTGCTGTGCAGCCGATATTGCAAAAATTCAAGGAAGGAACCAGCAATGGTGGTTGGCTGAGACATACTGATCACAATAAGATGGCATTGGCACTTGGTTCGTAATAATGATTTTATAGAACTTTAACATTGCTGGACTTTTTTTTTATAATTCTTGAATTCCTTCAGGCTGTCATCAACAAATGACAGGCGGAGATCTTAAAACTACCGGCCTTCACGTACCAGGATTTCAACATCTTGGATGGTTACTTCCTCAGCATGTTGATCTTGTTCCGGAGCTTTATTTCCTTTTTATTGCTCTCATGATGGGCCAATCAGTCAAGTTACTGCCAGCAGATTCCAAAGTAATTTTATGATTTATTAAAAGCGTCAATCTAAATGTTCTAGTAATACAATTTGATCATCCAATAATTATTAATACTTTTTAAATTCTAGCTGGATTTGGATAACGTGTGGAGCTTTATGTTTGGTGTCCCAGCTAATCATTCACTTTCTTCCTTCGCTGGAAGAATTAATTTATGTCCTGAAGCTGTGGTCACATTATTAGCCATGGTCCGCACTATGCTCAATAGTCATTACAACGGGTCAGTATGATAAATAATCCTGCGCTATAATTTTAATGGATCAATTCACTTCTGTGTTTCCATAAGCATCTTTCATTTGATACAGGCCAGAAAGTCTACCGGAATGGCTGAATGACTATCCAGTGACAATAATACAATTCTTATTCTTCCTGTACCACAATTTCACTGACTTCTTGCAAGTGTTCATGGCTGCTGAAGTCCTGGGGGCATTAGCAGGTACTTTATTTCCAAAGCCAACAAGCTGCAGTCAAGATAGTAGTGGTGCCAGTACACCAGCCGATGAGGTAAATATCCTCTAAAAATGATCTTACTGATTTTGACCTTAAATTTTATAATAGCAATCTTCACTCCAGGAACCGGTGCTTGTTCGATCCCCCTCAAAAGATGTCGGTCTAACAAATCATCCAGCAAGAAAATTTGTTATGGATTTCCTACGAGTCATTGTCGTTGACTCCCTTTCACTATCAGTCAGTGCAAAGTCCCCACCAGCTATTGATCTAGTCCTAGAAGCCTGGCCTGAATATGCATCCACAGGACAACAGACGCGATATCAAACAGAAATTTTATCAATTTTGATGGACCATTTATTGGCAGCTGATGTTCTGATTGGTGAACAGGCTGCTCTGCCAGTAGTACCTGGTGGATCTGTAAACAATATTACGAACAATGTTTGCTACGTTGCTGCTAGAATCGTAGACAAGCTATGGCAAGGTAATAATCATGTGGTAGCTTTTCGGTAAAATGCTATCTACTAATTATACTTATTTTTTTTATAATACTTGTAGGCGCCTTAACAAAAGATCCACATGAAGTATTTGATTTTATTGTGAAACTCATTGGACAAGCTAAACGTCGACCTGGGGCAGTTAATATGGAAGGACTTCATCACTGTCTTAATAGAACAATTTTATTCCTGCTATCACGAGCAACTGATTCAATTGCTGATCAAATGGCTGTGTTGGAAGCACTGCACAAGCTCACCAATCATAGGTAAATAAAGGTTCTCATGAGGATCGTGCACAGTTTCTATTCATTCACTTTACAGGCTGTTAGTTTTTGGCGCTGGCAATCACGAGTTGGAATTCATTGGATGCTTGACGTATTGCCTTTTGCAACTGACAGCTGACATTAAAATAATGTTAGACACCAACATGAAGACAACTTGGCACGTGAACCCTCAAGTTGAATCTAGCGATGATAGATTGACCTCACATCAAGGTCACAACTTGATGGCTGTCGCCGCCCTCAGAGTGTGGGAGGAGTTGTACGTTTGCAAGAAACCAGCCATTGAAGAGGTCTTCAAGATAAGTCTTCCGGTTCCAATCGGAAATGAAAGAGCACCTGACTTGGCTGCGGTCAGAGAACAAGTTTACGAATCCGCAGCGAGACTTTGGCTGAATTATGTTGTTCTAGAGAGAAAAGCGTCGTACAGAGTACCATGGGAATTGCATAATCAAATACAATCCGTAAGTAATATTTCCTGTACAATAAATTTAATTAAGAAGTGTTTTTCAGTTGTGTAATGTTGTTTATTAATAAATAAAACTCTCTGCAGAAAATACAAAAAGTTACTGGCGGCCTCACCAGGTTAGCAAGCCGAACTAAAGTCCGAAAGGAGGAATCAGTACGTGTTAGATTACGATTGCATCAAAATACTGTTGCACAATGGACCGAACAACATGTTGCATTGGTTCGTGAACTCGCAGCTGCCAGGCGCCTTCAACATCAACAGACAAATCAACACACTCAGCGATACGTCTATCAGGTTAATTATAGTTAATTGGATTGTGCGCAATAAATATAATATAGATTGAAAATAATGTCTCAACGTCATTCACAGGAATGGTTGCAAACGGAAACGGAATTAACAAGAGAACGCGGTCTATGGGGACCACCGACTCCTACAAAATTGGATAAATGGATGTTGGATATGACGGAAGGTCCCTGTAGGATGCGCAAGAAAATGATGAAAAATGAACTTTTCTACATACATTATCCATACAGACCTGAACTAGATCATCCTGATAATGTAAGTTGATAATTATTTTATAGTACAGGATTTATAGTTCCATTAAACATATGCTATAAGAACTCAATGGATGCACTTTGTAGAAGCAATTGAAATACAAAGTGGCAACTAGCATGGACAGTAAGGAATATTATCTGAAGCAATTGGGTAATTCCTCTGGTATGTTCGAGCGTGAACGTGATCCTGTAATTGATGATACTCCGTTGAATGTTAACGAAACGTCTACTGAAAGTGAACCTCCTATGGTACCTTGTACATTGGAACGACACGCCAGTGAACCTGATGAGGCACCAGAGGATATCGAACAAGAAGAAGAAAATAATCAGGCTGTTCCAGACAATCAGACTTTACTTCGATTGCTCGAGGAGCACGAAAAGGTGCTTTTTATCTGAAAATAATAATCGTGATATTGACACTGAACGTCAATTATTGATTTATATATTTTTAGATAAGTCATATGTTCAGATGTGCCAGGATACAAGGGTTAGACACTACTGAAGGCCTTCTTTTATTTGGAAAAGAACACTTTTATGTCATTGATGGATTCACTTTATTGAAATCGCGAGAGATCAGAGATATTGAGAGTTTACCAGAAGCTTATGAACCCATCTTGCCATCACCAGGTTCCCCAAGACGATCCAGGGCGATGCGGCAGTGCTCAAAATTTAATTATGAAGATATCCGGTACGTTTTTCAAGGATAATTTTGTTAATTTCCTACTAGGGAACTGGTAATATAATTTTGGACTTTCTGTTGATAGAGAGGTACACAAGAGAAGGTATTTGCTACAGCCAATGGCATTAGAGGTATTCAGTGGAGATGGTCGAAACTATTTATTAGCTTTTCCACGAAAAGTAAGAAACAAGGTTTATCAAAGATTCATGACTTTTGCTACTGCTATTGCTGATAGTGCTCAGCAATCGGTAGCTGGTCAAAAGAGAACCGCGAATGTGGAACAAGCGACGGGATTGCTGTCGAATTTTATGGGCGAAACATCTGTCACTCAGCGTTGGGTGGTGGGTGGATAAGTTTTTTATATTTAAAAATTGTTTTATTTTCTTAATAAAATGATTTTATTTTCATATTCAGAGAGGCGAGATATCCAATTTCCAGTACCTGATGCATCTTAATACTTTAGCTGGACGTAGCTACAATGATCTTATGCAATATCCTATATTTCCTTGGATCTTGGCCGATTATGACAGCGAGGAATTAGATTTCACTGATCCTTCAACCTTTAGGGACTTTAGCAAACCTATGGGAGCCCAAAGTCCTGAACGCTTATTGCAGTTCAAAAAGAGGTACCGTCCTTGTTTTTAAAATTGACAAACTCAAATTGTACGTCGTCAATTTTATATATTTTACTTGAATTTATTTATATTTATAGATATAAAGAGTGGGACGATCCACATGGCGAGACACCACCATATCATTATGGCACTCATTATTCTTCTGCTATGATTGTCTGTTCTTACTTGGTCAGAATGGAGCCATTTACCCAGCACTTCCTCAGATTACAGGTCAAGATAAATATAATTGATAGAATCCTAGTAATATACAATTACCTCAGTTATTGCGAAAACAATAACGAGCAATAATTTTGTATATGTTTAGGGAGGTCATTTTGATTTGGCTGACAGAATGTTTAACAGCATAAAGGAAGCTTGGCTTTCAGCCTCCAAGCATAATATGGCTGATGTAAAGGAACTTATACCAGAATTCTTTTATCTACCAGAATTTCTTGTCAATTCCAATCACTTTGATTTGGGTATGTGACCCAATAATTATAATAAAGGCTTAAAGGTCTTTTTACTATTGTTATAATCATTTTGTAGGTTCGAAACAAAGTGGAGTACAACTTGGTGACATCGTACTTCCACCATGGGCGAAACAAGATACTCGTGAATTTATACGTGTTCACAGACTTGCTCTAGAATGTGATTACGTATCTCAGCACTTGCACCAGTGGATAGACTTAATATTTGGATGCAAACAGAATGGTCCAGGTGCTGTGGAAGCTGTCAATGTCTTTCACCATCTCTTCTACGAAGGCAACGTCGATATATACAAGTGCGTTGATATAAAATAGAAATATCGTATTAAACAGCAATGATCCTAATCAAAATCTAATTTTATAGCATTGATGATCCATTAAAGAAAAATGCCACAATTGGCTTTATCAATAATTTCGGTCAAATACCGAAACAACTGTTCAAGAAACCACATCCAGCTAAAAAAATGTCTCAACGAACAAGTGTAATAGATCCTGGTCCAATTACACCAGGACTTAGTATTACTACATCCGATAGACTTTTCTTTCATAACCTTGATAATTTAAAACCTTCTCTTCAACCAATCAAAGGTAAGATTTTTCAATGATGACTTAATAACGAATACTAAAAAAAGATTTATCCTTCATTAGAATTGAAAGGACCAGTAGGACAGATATTGCACGTTGATAAGGCTGTCCTTGCCGTGGAACAAAATAAGACGTTGATACCTCCTTCGTACAACAAATACGTTGCTTGGGGTTTCGCCGATCATTCTCTGAGAATAGGAAACTATGACAGCGACAAGGCAATATTTGTATGCGAGGCAATGATGCAAAGTAGTGGAGAAATAGTAGCGTGTGTCTGTCCGTCTTCTAAATTAATAGTGACAGCAGGAACTAGTTCGGTAAATAGGAGTGTCAAACTTTTCATTATTAATATCTTATAATATTATCCTGATTTAATTTTCATTAATAACAGGTTGTTACTGTCTGGGAGTATGCAAAACGTCAACTTTCTATCAAGCAATGCTTGTATGGACATACAGATGCTGTCACTTGCTTGGCATCGAGTCCTGCCTACAATGTCATTGTGTCAGGATCGCGTGACAGCACAGCAATTATTTGGGATCTATCGCGTTGTCTCTTTGTCCGTCAACTTCGTGGACATGCTGGACCAGTAGCTGCAGTAGCGATCAATGATCTTACTGTAAAGTTGATGATTTTATTAGAATACTAAGGGTTGAGCTAGATATGAGTTATGTATTTTCTTTGCTTAGGGCGACATTGCTACCTGCGCAGCTACCTGGCTACATGTCTGGAGTATCAATGGCGAGGAATTAGCCAGTGTGAATACATGTGTTGGCCGTGCTGATAGAATGCAACAAATTCTTTGTGTAGCATTCAGTCAAACTCATGAATGGGATTCACAAAATGTTATTATGACTGGTTCTACGGATGGTGTGGCACGTGTGAGTATCAGAAGATTATAGAAACTGAATAAGAAAAATTAAAGAATTATTCTTGATCAGATTGAAAAATTCTATTATTCTTAGATGTGGTCTATGGATTATGTACAAGTACCAGCAGAGGAGGACAAGGTGGAGGAAGTAGAAACTGAAAAGGAAACTAAGGGGGAACCGGTCGATGAAGATCAGAAGGAAACTACTAAGAAGAGAGTGCATGACCTCGTAAAGCAAATGAGTATATCCACAGAGGGAACAGGTTAATAAATTCTTAATGACTTATGAAACTATCTAATAATCTATGGATTGTTATATTAATTTACATAAATGGGACTTTATCGCAGCAATGCTTACAAAGAGTGGATCAGAGAGTAGTCTCTCCGAACCAGAAAATCCTAAAGAGGCATCCAGACTTCACGAAGAGAAGGAGGAGTGTTCTGATAATGAATCCAGCAATGGTTCTGGCAGTAAACCATCACCACAGAGTAACCACACTTCCACAGTAGTACTAAGAAGAAAAAGTCGTGGTAATCCAATGTTCAGAAAGAGTGAAGGTGGAGGACGTGCTGATAGCGAGGGTACACAGATCAGGTAATTTTTTTTCTGTTCATAACCTTAACAGTTGCCATTGCAAAATACTACAGATAATAACAAGAATACCTTTAGTGATTCTATGAACAATACTGGAGATTCTGAAGGAGCACTTAGAACCAGTAAGAGCGATACCAGTTTGACAGACAGCTTCGTTATGGTCACTGAGGCTGATACTAAGCCAAAGAGAATTAATCCACAGAATATTTTACGTGATGGTTTTAAATGGCAAAGACAGCTTGTATTTCGTAGTAAATTAACAATGCACACTGCCTATGATCGAAAGGATAATGCCGAGCCTGCATCTATCACGGCTCTTGCAGTATCAAGGTAAGCCCATTCGTACGATTTTCTACAATTCAGGATTTTTATGAGACTTGAAAATCTTCACGATATTTCTAAGATGGCTCGTCATGATTTTGAGATCTTTACTATTGTCTTGGTATTAGAATTTCGAAATTCTTTACAATACAATATCTGACATCTGGTTCGTTTTTCTGTCCTCTTAAAAGGGATCACAGAGCTGTATACGTTGGTGATACTCGTGGCCGTGTATTCTCCTGGAGCGTTTGTGAACAACCAGGCAGAACTGTTGCTGATCATTGGTTAAAGGATGAAGGTGCTGATGTCTGCGTAGGATGTGGTGTCAGGTTCAATCTGTACGAGAGACGTCATCATTGCCGCAACTGTGGACAAGTATTCTGCTCGAAGTAAGTGATTAATTTTCGGAACAGAAAAATAAAATCATTCCATCAAGACTATTTGTTATTTTCTATCCATTATGGAGCCATTTTTTATTTGAATTTATCGTTCTACGAACAGATGCAGTAGATTTGAGTCTAAGATATCAAGACTTGGTATTCTCAAACCTGTTCGAGTCTGTCAGGGTTGTTACTCGACACTACGTTCTCAGCATTCAACGGACAGCAACACTTAATACAGTAGCCTAGAAACTCACACTGCGTACGTTATTCATTTCGACGAAGTTTTAGCTGATTTGTACATAGTTATGAATGGATTGTATACTTCCTAAAATAGTAGAACTCATGCTAGATACATGTAAATGTGGTCCTGATTCTGTGCAGCGATAATATTGCAATCCTTTGCCGGATTTCAAGTTTCTATGTACTTCTTAAGATATTATTTATTATTATGTTTATAGTATATTCAGATCTATCTGTTCACTCGGATATAAGTATTTTCTATTAGAAAAAAAATGTATTCGTCATTAGTATGGGATTTGTGTTATGAAATTTTTATTGTTAATCTTACTTATTAGTATAAATCTCAAAATTGTTGTGCGTATACGAAAATGATTTCCATGCAAAGGATTAATTATATTCGCTTTAGCAATGGCTCCCCGTATATTATAAAGGTACCGAAGAAAATCGTAGGACTTAGCTACAAATATATAATAATCATCGATGTTAATACTTAAGAGATGATATATTATTTATAATCTGTGATTCTTATTTTTCATGATATAATTTCAGGATAAATTAAGCAATTTAATCATTTTTTAATATTTGTAATACGCGATATTTCGCGAATAATTCATTTTATACCGCGACACGCATACACAATCATTGAATTTGAATTAAATGAATTAATCGAGGTTGATCAATGTTTATTAGATTTTAGTGCCCAAGCAGTTTGAGGCCTACATTTGAAAAATAATAATTTTTAACCATTGGGACTGTTATCGAGATTACTGCTCATGGATCCATTGTTCAGTTTACTCTGGCCTATAAAATTCTTTACAGACACAAAGATCCATCAGTAACACTAAAGACGATTTTTGTCATTCGATTCGAAAGTGGAACACGTTTAAAACATTAAATTTGATCATTTTATTGTAACAATTTTTTATCTTTATTTTTATCTAATTTATTATTGATAAATATTTTATTATTAATTGTATTTTTCGTTGTGATTAATACTTGGTTACACGGTAATCGAACAAGAATCTGAAGGTAAAAAAATACGAATGTACTGTATCCCATTGTCAACTCTGAAAAATATTATTACAAAGCATACAACTATATAATAGACAATACCGTATCTGCATAAGAATAAAATAAAACTATAAATTCTGCCACTAATAGTGCTGAACAAACAATGAAGAGAAATAAATATCTAGGCATTTATTCATCAGCTTAGATGACTCGTATGCATAGAGTTATATATTGGATATAAGATAGGCTTATTGCTTTTCTTCTGAACAATTTCTTAACAATTCATAGTTGGGCGATCCATGACATTTTAATTGATAATGTGCATGCATAGTCCATTTAGAAATTAGTTTTTCTATAAGTTGCATACAAGATTAGCTTCTTTAAAAGAATCTGGTAATTGTTAGTATACATCCTAGTATTGATCTAATAGTGGCTATGATAGTGGAAAATAAAAAATGCAAAAACAACATTTAGATAAAGAAAATCATCATTGTTTTTCATAAGGCACACATTTTTTAAGTTCGATTCAATATAAAGTTGTATCTGCTGAATATGAACTGGCCATCAATGCGCAGTTTATTCCAATTAAATAATTGTTTATAATTTTTGTTCAATGGTATTCCTACTTACAAGCGATGTATAGCTCTTAAATTTTATACTGTATGCTTGTTAAATTGCTTCGCACAAAGCAGGATCAATAATGTAGAGAATCCAGAACAAATCAATATTGTCTATTAATATATTAAGGATTGTCATCCGTGGGCAAAAATTATACGATAATGATTAAAGTGTTATATGTTTAACGCGGCGAGTTGCGCATAAACAAATTAAATATTGTTCTAACATACAAGACCGAAGATAATGATGATAACTCAATTATTTATATGTTTAAAAAACTTGTTTTTTAATGGATTATCTATTTGTATTTTTCTTATTGATATTCAGTCTAGAAACTGCATACTATGATTTTCTTCTGTAATCAAGGCGATGCTTGAGTTTTGTTCCTTCGAAGATTTAGAGGCGTAACTGTAATGTCTAGTCATATATCTTAAATTGATATCCTTGCAAGAAAGAGAATCGCCATAAATCTTCTGAAAATCTTTTTCTTGATTTCTTATAGCATTAAACAGTATTATTTATACATTATTAATTTCTAATATATATTAATTGTACATAAAGCATAACTATACTAGCGATTCAACACTAATCAATTTGTTGTAAGTTTTCATTAAGGACAGGATTGCTTTGAATATTGAAACCATCTTACGACATTATTTTAGGCTCTAACTTTGTTAGCCGATGTAATAATTTTATTTACAACCGCCATATATTAAGCGTTTCCACTTGATGTTTGTCATTATTGTCATACCACAATTAGACTCTACTCAACTAAAAGTGCAGTACAGAATAACATACGATATGTCATTAAAATGCAAAATTCTGCTCTAAACACCTATTCTTGATTATGCCTCTACGACTCAACCGGATTTGATAGAGAAATCACAAGTCGAGAATAGAACAGACAGACCTCAAATTGTATATAATTGAGAAAATGAATAAAATAGCACTGAAATGAAGTTTACATCGCGTTATAGATGTAATCAAGATAAGTAGATTTTAGAAAATGATATATAATATATATAAAAATAAATATTATGTCACAATACAGTGTATGCGTGAGCATGCGAGCCTGTGAGTATGCCCAAGCGTGTCTGTTGGTGTGTACAGATGCATACCGGACATAGAAATTATGTATACATAATAATATTATTAACAATAATAAAACCATTATTTACATTGTATGTAGTTAGAACCATCGGTATTGTTAGTTGGTACTTGGAAAACATTGTATAGTTGAACTTGGTCAATATAACTATATTGAATGGGCTAAATTGAAATGATTCTTTCCTCGCTGTACAATAATATAATATAGCAATAAATCGCACACATAATATATGGCCATAATCCATATAAACATACAGATAAAATATATATCCCAAAAATCAATGATTAGATTGAAACGGCAATAACCCACAGAACAAGTTTTCAAATATTACGACTGCGCACAACGATTGCGCAGACGTGAATCTCCGTTAGCGTTCAAAAAAAAATCATTGATGATCGACAAAAATGGTTATGCTCATTCATACTGTTAATAAGATATTTATATGTGCCATAATCTTCGAATATGATATTGGACAAGAAACGAAGATAAGATGCCATTAAGAAATGCGATCTGTGAACAATCAGATCGATAAATTTACGGAACTGGTTAAAGCACTAGCACGCCGGTAGCCTAAAAGGAAGTGTTTGTTGCATCATAAAACGATATGAAACCAGAGGAGTCCTAATTGATTCCGAAGAATTAATGATATACCTACAACCATGTAAATGTTTCATTCCTGTAGGATTAAACGGATCAAATTTGCGAATAAATTCGCAAATGGCTTCGCCATCCTTTTCCTGTACTACGTATCTCCGTCTCGAATGGTCTCCAATATCTCGCTTGCATTTTCCAACCGGTAGGGTACGTAATCGAGAGTGAGAGAGAAAGAACGTAATGAGATATTAACAAGTGCAAGGAAGATAGATAACACTGTCTACTCACGAGTCAGCCTATCAGCGCTTCGCAAGTGAAACCCGTGATTCCTTGCGCGTTGGAGTTCGCCCCAAGGTTTCTTGATCGCCTGGCGCAGTTCACGGGCTAAGAAAGTGTGGCGGTGTCTGCCTAATATTCTTATGATAATTCACGTATAACCATTGTCCCGAGCGAAACCGCAATCGTAAGTAGAGTTTTTAATTGTAATTAAATGGCACTGAAATAACGATGGTTATGCCACTGTGGCATTTCGGTAGCTCGATATGATTCCAGGCCAATGTCAATTCTTGCTCCGTGTGTGCCAAAATGTCCAATTCCATAAATTGTTTGAGTAGAGCCATTACCGAGCATTTCGAATTTCGAAACGTACGTCGAATGTCGGGTTAGAGTACGCGATCACTTGGAAATGAATGATTTTCATCAAGTTATTAATACCCTCCTCTCCCCTTCTCTTTTTCACCCTGCGGACAACCGTGACCAACACTTAACCCTCGTGCTTTTCTCCATTGTCAAATATCTTCGTGGTACCTTTTGAGGCCGCAGATATTTCGCAATAATTACGTAGTTAATTTAATCATCTCAATTCGTCATACTATGGATGCTCAACTTGTTTCTAGAGATTCTTGGAAAGAATGTGCGATAATAGATTTTTGGCTTTGTCTTCATTGGTATTCTTTTGTAATTTTTTTTATTGTTTATTTGTCTTTCTTCTGAGTTGATTTTCTTTGGTGCTGAATGATAGTTTATTGTCCTTTTTTCTTTGGAATAGTATTTTATCCGATGCTATTCATCCTATGTGATATTTGTAGGATGCTTTTGCTTCGTTATATATGTGATTTGTAATGTAAGCAATCTGAATATACTATGGATATAGTATTATTACCTTGAATATTGTAATAAATTATATTTTTTATTGTGTAGATCAATTCTTTGTGCACTTGGAAAAATTATGATTGCAAATTAGCCTTATTCTTGAGTTATTCACATGTCTGATATAAGGTCATACTAATTTTTTTGCATCTAGAACATTCTACGAATAGATATGTTGGAGGTATTGTCATAGTGCACAATGCTACTCCCTTTTATTATTATACTTTGACTATAGATATAAATTTTCTATTCATTTAAAATTAGCTTCATGTAAATAATTACATTACACAATTGCTGTTCACCCTACTTTGTATTCCAAATTATATTTCGTGTTTATTCTTATATTAAATTTTCAATAATAGGAAGAGAAACCTTTATTATTTGAATTTGTATCAATATTTTTTGAAGTGAATTGAAAGGATATTAATATTCTAGATGTGTTATTTATAGAGAAAAGAAGAATTACAGTTTTTTATTGTTGTATTATCAACTTATAGATGTCAACTGGACCGACACACAAGTATCGTTACAAAAACTCAGGACTGGACTCACAAGAACTGCGGCGACGCAGGGAAGAAGAAGGAGTACAATTACGTAAACAAAAACGCGAGCAACAATTGTCAAAACGGCGCAACGTGCCAAATATTGTTGTTGACGATGAAAGTATTTCTACTACAGATGAATACTTGGTGCCTGCACCAGTACCGGTAATTTCACCTACCGTAATAACTGATTTCATACTATGTTATTATGTTTATAAACAACCAATCAAATAGTTTTATAATTTAATTGCAATAATTACATCAAGTATCTACAATTAGATTAATACCACGCACATGTATATAAATATATTTCAGCAACCACCAGCGATTACTGAAGGGATGGTGCTAGCACTATATAGTTCTATCGAAGAGCATCAGTTAACAGCTACACAAAAGTTCAGAAAATTACTATCGAAGGAGCCAAATCCACCTATAGATGAAGTTATACAGACAGGGATTGTTCCAAGATTTGTGGAATTCTTAAAGAACACCTCAAACAACACATTACAGGTAAAAATGTTATTCTATCCCAATTAAATTACCTTAAGATTATCAATCTTGAATATGTATAAAAAATATTTATTATTTACAAATTCATATGATTCTTAACATTCACATTAGTTTGAGGCAGCGTGGGCTCTGACAAACATAGCAAGTGGTACATCTCAACAAACGCGAATGGTAATAGAGGCAGGAGCTGTACCTACCTTTATACAGTTATTGAGTTCAGAGTTTGACGAGGTGCAAGAACAAGCTGTTTGGGCTCTAGGAAATATCGCGGGAGACAGTCCTGAATGTAGAGATCACGTATTAGCCAACGGTATCCTCAATCCTCTTCTACAGTGAGTAAAAAAAATTTTAAAGTTTCCTACTTAAATACTTCAAGACGATAGTGAAGTATACTAAAAAGAAATGAATTTTCCTACTTCTAGACTCCTTTCAAAAGCAACGCGCTTGTCCATGACGCGTAACGCTGTATGGGCACTGTCAAACCTATGCCGTGGCAAAAATCCAGCACCGGCATTTTCAAAAGTTGCGCCATGTTTGCCCGTTTTATCACGATTACTTCATAATCCTGATTTTGACGTATTAGCTGATGCTTGTTGGGCACTTTCATACTTGAGCGACGGACCTAACGATAAAATCCAGGCTGTCATTGACGCAGGTGTTTGCAAACGTCTTGTTGAACTACTTATGTAAGTTCCTATTACATACACTGAATAAATGGATCATTAGCTTCAATTTAATGATGAATAATCAATCGCAGGCATGAACAGCACAATGTAGTCAGTGCGGCATTACGCGCAGTAGGTAATATCGTAACTGGTGATGATGTTCAGACACAAGTTGTGCTGAATTGTCACGCATTGCCATGTCTATTGCATCTTTTAAATTCACCTCGTGAAAGTGTTCGCAAGGAAGCCTGTTGGACAGTCTCTAACATCACAGCAGGAAATCCTCAGCAAATTCAGGTTAGTGAGATATATTAAATAAAATTATTACATTCTTTCCTTGCGTAAGAAGCAAAATGATCACAATGATGACACTGATTCTCTGTTAGATCCTTTGTGCGTTAGATCTGACTTTTTTCTGCTGATAATTTCAGGCTGTCATCGACGCTAATATATTCCCTGTCCTCATTGAGATTTTGGGTAAAGCTGAATTTAAAACGCGTAAAGAAGCTGCATGGGCGATTACCAATGCGACAAGTGGCGGCACACCGGAACAAGTGCGCTATTTAGCAATGCAGGGCTGCATTCCGCCTCTGTGCGATTTACTCACTGTGATGGATGTTAAGATCGTGCAGGTTGCATTGAACGGTTTAGAAAATATATTAAGACTTGGAGAACAAGATACTGGTATGCAAAACCGTGTAAATCCTTATGCAGTTCTCATTGAAGAGTGCTACGGTGAGTAATGTCCTCTTGTACTTGTAATTAATGGATAAAAATGAACAGCGAATAGTAAGAGTTTATTCAAATTGTTTTGATTAATTCCAGGCCTAGATAAAATAGAGTTTCTGCAGTCCCATCAAAACATGGACATATATCAGAAAGCTTTTGATATAATCGAGCATTACTTTGGCTCCGAGGAAGAGGAGGCTAGAATTGCACCGGCAGTCGATTCGGAGGGACAGCAATTCCAATTCACAACACCCGACTCCTCCCAGTTACCTGTTCCAGGCTTCCAATTCTAATTATACGACCTCTTTCGTTATTCGACACAAGTCAACAAGGCATGCCCACGATTCTATCAAATTGCTTGCAGCTGACAGTTTTAGAGACACACGTGGCGCTCCGCGAACTGACGATAAGAAAAAAAAAATCGGCAAAGAAACAATAAAAAGAAAAAAAAACGGTAGTTAAAATACATTCACTGCCTGATAGACGTTTTCCACGTTTTATCGAGGATCCTTCATCGACCGTGATAACATCAACAACGACCGAAAGTCAGCATCTTTTTACGTTTGAAGATTCAACAGTAAAGAAAAGAAAGAAAGAAAGAAAAGTACGCGCCTGTCAGTGGTTGGAACACTGTCCTCTTTTTTTTTTTTACAATTTTAGCCAAACCATATATTGTATAAGTTACAATAATACAATTATACTTTTAGACCTGCATCAAATTGTAACGACGCTCTCACTTCGAAGCTTTGAAAACTATAATTTGTTTATGGTCTCCCACGAGCTCATACCTGCACTAATATAGTATGAGGTATTCAGTTTATCAGAAATGAAACGAGATATAAAAAAAAAGAAAAAAATAACAATAAACAACTTAGTGCTTAAGTAGAGATGGTTAAGTACTAAACGAAAAAAAAAAATTATTAATTAATAACGATGACAACACATCGGGGCAGATAGGAGCCTCGCTTGACGCTCGACTGACTCAGAATTACGAAGGATTTAAAAAGAAGCAAATATAACTTGCAGAAAATGCAAGTAAAAAAAATACTGAACGACTGAAGTACGCGACTACGTAGTCAATACAGACAACTTTACGCAACGCGGTACTCAACTCCTTGCTACACTAGTTAGGTACATGACCAATTAAACTTTTTTACTGTAAATACGTATAACTTGTAATTTTAAGGCCATTCTATACAGAATGCCCTTAAGAGGCAGAAAAAAGCAGTCGTGGAATACATAGACTCGCGGATATATTTGTTACGTATTCAAAATTTTCATTAGTTTCTTTCCATTTTTTTTCCCCTTCTTTATTTTCATCTCATCCGTCTTTTTTGCTTTCTTGCGTAACACTTTCTACATCGAAGCAAAATCATTTCCGTTTAGCTTGAAATCGGTGGTTGAAAACGGTTTTGGATAACTTGCGAATTTAATGAAACTTGGAAATTCAAAAGACGCGTTCTGATACTGATTGATTTAAGATTCATTGATTACAAGTAAGTAGTAGGTATTTTGCGCCTGATGACCAGCAATGTTGTTTCTTCCCCCCACCTTTTTTTTTTCTTAAATAATTTCTTATATTTTGCTTGGCCAATTGTCGTAAAATACTTACTCTGTCGCCACGAAAGAACCGATTCAATGTACAGTATATGATTGATGATCATTCTTAATTGTGAATCATATTATAATGGGAAAGAAAGTGTGTACACTATTTAGAAGACGCGCAATGTTCAGAATTATTAGCCATGCGGAATTAAATTCTACTATTAGGAATTGCTGATGTTACACAATATATCATTGTACAGCAGATTAAAATTTTGGACATTCTGTATGAAAGGTCTGTGACTGTATAAAATGTATTTATTATTTAGGTTCGACGATACCATACCATACTATATTATACAAGCTCTATTATATATACCTACCTACTTTTAGTTACCGACTTCTATTCTTACGACAGAGGAGGACTATATATTATAAAATTACTCATTAGCTGTTGCTTTGCTCAAATTATTTGTTTAGCACAGTACAACAGCTACATGAGTGCACGTAGCCAATTTACAAGTAACTTTAAGTGCGAACATCCTGAGCCAATATACCTTCCATCACAATTGTTAACTAAGAATTTTATAACAGTCATTATCAAAAAACTAAGAAGTACGTCAAAATTGATAAATTATTTTGTACATCTAGCGAATGAAGAAAGTCATTTTTTAAATCCGATGCTTATGCTTTTTATTATGCATATTATATGCATTTATTTTTGTACAACAAGCATAAAGTCTCGAGTTTCGTCCACTTCGTGAACCGTAACTCGTAGTATTACAATTTTTTTGTTATCTAACAATTTTGTGCTAGATGCACTGTAGTGATTGCAATAGCTGTACAACAATTGACGATTATCGTTGAATCGATTGCGACGATCAAGTGGAATTTATTTTTGTGTAACAATGAATTGTTAAAATTCTCACATACTGACAGTTTATTGATTCAATTATGTGCTGTATAATTTTATATATATATATCATTTGTTACACTAAAGTTATTATAAATTGGCTATGTGGTTTATGCTTGTGATTGGTGACGTTATCAATAACAGTACAAGGACTGCCGACTGCTACATCACAACGTTAATACAAAATTAAAAAATGTCATACACATGGAATACTAAATCCTATCTTGTTCTTTATATTCGCGTTAAGTTTAATTACCGCCATTATAACATTATATAAAGTCATGGCAGAGAACAAAGCGTTGGTATTTGTTTGAGACGCTTTAAAAGTTATCTGTCATGCATTGAGTTGAGAAAAATTCTAGACGATGCTGTGGAAATTGAGATAGTAGATATTCGTTTTCTTTTCATTTCTTTTCGTTTCATATACTCGTGGCTTTCGCATATTTAACTGTACTCAAAGAATGAATTAACTTCAGTGTTAATCATTTTGAAAGCATTGTGTTTTTTGTGTATGATCATTTGGCATAAAGAAAATAAAGTTGAATAATAAATGTAACAAGATACTCGTTTCATTGATCCTGTTGTACTAATGTCTCATGCTTTTTTTTTTAATATTTGTTCTTATGCTTTTGTTATTGTTAGTGTAGATTCCTTCTTAATAATATATTGTCGGTCCTCGATTCGACGTGTTATATTGAGAATTCCCAAACAACGCAATCTTTAGTAAATTAGATTACGTTGTTTGCGAATTGTCAACAAAAAATATTAAACTCGTGGGCAGAATACAATTTTTAATAATATTCATTCGAACGCTACCACTTGGTTTAATTTTATTAGACAATCAAAAAATAGTGACCTGTCGCTTTGATTTATCATTAGATATTACTTTAATTTAAAAATTGTTTTCAATTCAAATTTTTTCTAATTATGCACACTATCCTGCGTGCTGTGGTTTAATAAAATGTTAGCTTTAAATCTTATTAAGTATATCACAATTCATTTTTTCCCTTATAAATATTAGCAACCAAAATTTTATATGATTTATTTGTTTAAAACTGCGGGACACTAAACAAAATATAATTATACTGAAAAATAAAATAATTACTAACATTACGGATACATTCTGAAATTCAATACTAGTATTATGAGTATCGTCATGCCCCTGCTTACCTGTATGCAAGTGAAAGAGAAAATCTGCTTGCAGTACTGCCCGTAAATTTTGGATTGTACTTCAGGCACGTATCATACATCCGATTAATTTCTCATACTTCAAGTAATGTGAATATTAAATATTTTACATTAATAATATAAAATTAATACTTTTTTAAACTATTTATACAAATATGATTATGCAAACAGCTGCAATGCACTTAATTGTTAGAATAATATTAAATCAGAAATGTATTCCTTACTATACCACACCATAAAGAAATCTTTTTAAATCTCATATTTCATAGAATGTTATCGAACTTATTAATTACATACATATCACTAGCTCATCATTAAACATTGTATAAAATTTGTTCCGTTGTTTACCACAATACATTGACTTGTATAGCAAGATTATTAGCCAAATTATTATCATGGACATTCTGCTCCTTCAATTAAATTAGGTTCTGATATTATAGATAGAATTGCACCACTAGTAATCCGTGATACTGCAGCATGTAAGATATCAAAGTGGATTGCTTTAGAGAAAGTATTATAAATATGTTCTTCGACTAATTTTGTAAGATTATCATGGTGCATGTGAAGCACATTTATAGTCATAGTAATTAAATAGACTGCTCTTGAAACCAGTGGATTTGTATCATCACATAACCAATGGAATGATCCTATTGCATCAGAGCTAATCTTCAGTATATCATTTACAACCTAAAATAATGCTTATTAAAATATATCCATTTTGTTAAAGTTTATATAAATTTATATACGGTTTTATTACTTGGTAGATTTTTGTAGTACTTACCACTACTTTTTTTTGTTCAATTTTAGGTCTCAGCCACTCTAGCATGTCACCGGAACTACTTATGAAGTTCTTTGGGCCTAGAATTAAGCACTCCTTTCCACCAAGGCTTCTGCTAATTACATTGCCAATTGATGTTGACAAGCAATCTAAGGTGTTGGTATTATTTGCAAGCAAAACAAATACTGCAGGTCGTTTACTGGTTTCTTCAATAATTGTCTTGACTCCGGCAGAAAAATCATTCCAAATATCAGGCATTTGCATTGGAAATTTCTTTTTTATATGGTCAATATCTTCCTCAAATTGTGTAATACTCTTCTCAGAAAAAGGGTTATTGAATACAATTATGTACCAACCGCCAAAAACACACATTAATATAAATATTGAAATAGTTAACTTAACACACCACCGGACCACTGTATGGTTGATATATTTCTTCCATTCTGACTTATGATTTTCAAAGCTTTCAGCAGGGCTCCCATTTTTCCTTTTCTTTGCTCCTTGATCTGCAGTGCTATTCTTTTGATTTATCTTAATTCTACTTTTCAACTCAGAATTACTAGAATTTGAGCTTCTGTTGTTTGAACTATTACTTTCTGAATCAAAAGTTTCATCATCATCACTCCTATTTTTCCTAGCCTTTTTATAGGCATCAGTCTCCTTATAATCTACCTTTGATTTCGATTGCACATGTTTTTCAGGAGATTTTCTGTTGCGTTTATTCATTGTGGACAAAGGTGGTCGTGGTCTTGGTCCACTTGGTCTTGTGGTGACAGACTTGTATGTTTCAGACTGTAAAAGAAGGCTCTGTGTCTTACTTAAAAACTGGTTAAGTTGTTCTAAACAATAAAAAAGAAATAAAATTACACAAAAACAACCTACATTTGTGCCAAAGAATACGTGTTACGACAGACTTGTATATAAAAATAATACGTACGTCGATTTCGCTCATGCTGATCAAAAGAAAATGTGCACAAATACAATGCCTATTATAACATAAAGCTTAAGAAATCAGTTTCCTTTTATGTCATATGTCAACAATCATCTTTCCTGACTATTTGTTTAGTACAGGATTTATAACATCCAGAAAAAATCTTATCCAATGTAATCTCCGTAAAAGGGGAATACGGCGACAATAGTGCCAACTTCGAGCGAGAGTAAATTTATACAAGGATGCCGTCGTGACAACGCAACCTACGAAAATACGCGACAGATCGTACGTTTGTTCGTTTCATTCAATAAGAAAGATAACAGAGAATCTAATTACAGTTTTTTCGGCTACTCTTATGCCGGCGAAATGTGTATTGGAGTGCTAAAAAGAATTTGCCATTGGGGGCCTCTCACTGCTCTCGGTATGTCAATCATAATATTAACATTTCTCTACCTCCTTGTATCACAGTTGCAGGAACTATGAAAATACGTTAATATTCCTTGATATGTTTGCAATGAAATCCTGCAGCCTCCAATGTTTCGTCTAACTCCTTCTGGAAGGGCAGAAGTAATGTTTGAAAACACGTTGCACTACGGTTGTACTGACAGCAACGTTCATCGTCGTCCATTTTGATTACGTCAATCAAAACTCGCGGGAATCTAGCGTTCTATTTGAAACTCAATAATATTTTAGAAAACAAGGAGGAAATGCGAATATCGTTTAAATGAATTCAAACGAGTTATTTGCATTTTTTTATCAATTTTTCTATAGTACTGAACACTGACTATATATATTTTAATGAATTATACTTAATTTACAGGATTAATAAAAATTATCACCTTAATGACTATACACTGTAATAGTCAATGGTGGTCACCATACGAAAGTCCTTTGGCTGCAGCAAATTTTATTCTTTTCTTTAGCCTAAGTGGATGGACGTTATTTCATTTCATTAATGCCATTTATGAAGGACCTGGATTTCTTCCCTTAGGATGGATGCCTGTAAGTAATTCGATTTTATAAGCGCACTTTCATCACTTCTTCATTAATCTTTTGTATTTATTTCCAGAAAAATCCATCAGATATACAGTTCTTACAGTATTGTACGGTTTGTCAGGGTTACAAAGCACCAAGGTCTCATCACTGTAGGAAATGTAAGAAAAATTATATTTATAATTATGTAACACAGTAAACGTATTCACAGATCATTTATACTAATCATTTCTATTTAACAGGTGGTCGCTGTGTCCTAAAAATGGATCATCATTGTCCATGGGTTAATAATTGCGTTGGTCATCGTAATCATGGACATTTCACAGCATTCCTAGCAAACGCCGTCGGTGGTTGTTGCGTATCTACAGTCATATTAGTCTCATGGTTGATGACGGTTCTCTCCCCTAGACCACTTCCATTTCCACCTCCTTCATTGATCACTTTGATTTTCGTAGTATTTGCTATAGGCTTATCGATCGGCGTTATCCTGGCTGTGGGCATGTTACTATACTTTCAGGTATAGTCAAACAACACAGCTGCACCTGGAATTCATTAATGTCAACCCGAATATAAAAACTTTCATAACATTTATATGTTTCAGTTGATGGCAATAATTAGAAATAGAACAGGAATAGAGGATTGGATATTAGAAAAAGCTCAGTATCGTAGATATGGTACTAATGACACATTCTTATATCCATACTCGAAAGGATATTTATTCAACATTAGACAAGTCTTATCCTGGCATTGTTCTCCAGTTGGTGATGGTATCGAATGGCCAGTTGTCGAAGGATGTGATCAATACACTCTAACAGTGAGTCGCATACTACTCTATGATATATTAAACAGGATTTCAAACAAAGTATCATATAGAAGTATATATACAAGCTAGAACTGACTACATCCATCACAATGTCTCTCATGCTTCACAGTGCGAACAACTGGCACAGAAATTGGAGAAACGCAAAAGAGCTAGAAGGTACAGAGTGGTGGCGGCAGCCTCGGGTTCCTGGATACCGCTGAGTCAAGGATGGCGTGTCGTTTGTTCACCACCTTGCACGGATGAGTCTCGTATAAAATTAAATATAGGAGACATTGTCATGGTCACGCGCTGGCGAAGGTTTCTACAATTCTTTATAACTTCTTGCTAGAAAGTTTTATCAAATAATTAATAAGGAATATCCTCCAGGTACTGGTTATTCGGTGAGAAGGAACAATTTAGTGGTAACTCTCCATCGAAGCGTATACGGGGATGGTTTCCTAAACACTGTGCCGTCGAGGTCATCGAAAATGGCAGAAGTTTCTCAATGCCACAGTCCGAGTGTATTCCACGACCACGACGTCTCGACGCTAGTACCACGTCACATACTAATTCGAAATCCTACTCGTCATCTTCGAAACTTGATTAAAGTATACTGTTAATTATGCTGCGTGCCTCACACACGGCCTCTGAAATAAGTGTGCCATTTCCTTTTTTTATTTTAATGTTTTTGATTATTAATTAGAATCTATACTTCCCCAAAGGTTAATTCCGTACAATGTCCGTACGAAGGTGCGCCCTTTTACTGGGATGAGCATTTTCATTGCAAGCAGAATTGTGTTTTTGTATATAGTATGATATATATATATATATATTTTACAGTCCATACACTATAATGTACTAAGTCATACTTAAATTTTTGCAAGAACCATTTCTACAGACATAAATAAGGGACAGTTAGTAAATACAAATTTTGTATTATTTACCTTATTATTCGTACGAAATTTGGTTATTTGCTAAATTATAGAACTTATCCCTTTTGGCTAACACTCGCTATAAATGGAAACTGAGGTATGTAATGTGTCTTTCATTTGACGGTAGTTGAACGACGTAACGCAACGAAGGTGCTTTCAGGCACGCTATTAAGACATTACGACGGAAACGCCGTCGCGAAGCGAAATCTGGAATGATTTTAGATTTCAAGATTTCGCAAGGTACTGAGCAAATGAGCTATTATCCGAAAAGGACTACTTTAATACAACTCAAAAGATAATTAGGGCTTACTTAGGTATATGTATACACAGTATATATACACGTGAAACTTTCTTTTGTTATAACTGCTGGGTTATGAGTTTCCTTCAAATAATATTTTTAATGTTCACGATTAAGATGCTATTCGAAATCTTGATTGAGAACACGAGATATAAAATGAATTCATAAATATTAAAAAAAAAAGATAATAAAGATTTATTTTTCTTTCTGCTTGAGCCTCCTATCATCTTCCGGTACTGATATCAAATTATGCGTAATCCTATAACTGGGCTTTTAGGTAAATTGAACATTTCCGTGAGGATCTATGGAAAATCCTTTGTGATGCTTAACCCAATTTTTTTATCTGGCTCAAGGTAGATTCTACATAATCCCTTAAATGTATTGCTAAATGTATACGAATGCGTAGGGAGAAAATTGCGTCGACTTATTGATTCAATAAATAAAAATACGTATTCAACCCTAATAGTTTAGAGCCTATCTAGATTGATCAAATGGATAAAAGCCTGTTAAATTATAAATTCAAAAATTATATCCAACAAATTCTCTATCGATAAATTAATAAGTGATAGATTCAGCTAAATTACATATACTTTCAAACAAATAAATATTCTACGAAAATCCCTCTATAATTATAATTTCCCCTAAAGGGATGAAGTCCGCAGAACATCCTCAATACGTGCATGTAGTACATACAAAAATATCGAAAAAGGGACTAAAATTTATGAGAGCATCCAGCACACGACATACATAAAATTTCATATTTGAGTCCTAACGCATAAAGTTTCCAGCAACATCAGACTCTTTGAGTAGAATTCCCTTCAAAATGTCTGACTCATCCATGTGAATCTCCAGCACGTCGTGCCGTTATTATTATTGGGAACGTTTTATGGAAATAAAAAAAAGAAATGAAATTTCAAAACTGTCACCAGACCCAAAAATCGTAGCATTCAAATGAATTTACGTGTCGCATTTTCCGTGTCTGAATATTTCACGAACAACAATAGCGACGGAAGGCCGGAATAATCAATAGCGCAGGCTAGAACCGAAGCAGACCCCCGTGTAAAAAGTTACATGTAGTTACTGATATATATATTCCATATATATACATATTTATATATATTCTTTCCATATGTGTTACACCCCTGCTACCAGGAAAGGAACACGCAATACAATTGGCTGTCACGCAAGGCGTGTTTCGGTTTAAATGCGAATACAACATACTGCTGCGCTTTTGTAAATTTTGTATTATACGACAGGCTCAAAGATAAAATGTATTATTTGTATTGAAAGATAAATATATCCATTTAATCGAAAGGGTCAAGCATTATGTGTTATACGTTTAAAGAGAGAACAACTGTATTTTTATACTGTGTATTTTTAAAAGCGGAAACGGATGTACGTCACTTTAAAAGTTCAGACTATGCGAATCAGACGATACTGGAGATAGCTGATTTAACATGGATGCATTAAGTTTTATATCGTTCTTTAAAGTGTTCATTACTGTGACGAGCTTCCATATCAACTTTTATTAATTAACAGTGAATTCCAATAACGATTGGAATGACTACAAATTGATCGTTAGTAGGTATCTGAATATTGGTAGTGACTGTTGGCTATGCCGGTAAAAAGAAATTATTGGAAATAGATTTTCTGTTAATCTATATGAACCTAGTGGAAGCTTATATGAAAAATTGAAATTACAGTCAGGTCGCTGCTTTCTATGCAACGGAATACAACACGCGTTGATATTGTAAATAGTTTTTGAATTTTATGAGAATTTTTGTTAATTAAAAATATTATTTTCATATGCCGTGGTATTTTTTCTCTGCAGTGGTATACGGAAGAAGCATGTAAGACATGGACGTCGGTTATTACATCGTCTAAGGGACAAAAGTGAAAGTAACAATTAGCAAAAGTGAATCGAGTCTACCTTTACGATTGAATGGTGGGATCCAGGGATCATTTGAGTTACCCGGCTTTGGATCAACGAGTGCAGTTTCTTACGAGCAGTTCTTTCACGCAGTTCACAAGGATTTTGAGTCTTGAGTTTTTTTTCAAAACTTTCAACTGACCATAACGCGGTATTAAGAAGGGTAAGTGCCCTCTGGTTACACTACTATATTCTAGACCATAAGAAGTAATTGGATTTTAGTACAGAATAGTCAGACATATACGTACTAATTACATTTAAATATAAAGTCGTATAAATATAGAAAAGTTAAAAGCATCACGCGTTGTTATACACTGTCAGAGATTCATTGATTTGAATGTTACAGCGATTATTATATCGAAAAATATTTGAATAATTGACAACTGATAAAATACAGCTGATTGATTTTCTATTCGCAGTATTAAAAGTTACTTTTACTTAATCGAATTCACTGTTTGGACGTTTCTTTTTTTTCTCGTGCAAGTATCCTGTTCCGGTTTCCTTGACAGCCAAGTGAAAGTCTCTCCTTATGATTTCGATGCGGGCGACGATCAGCTTAAAATGTGTAAAGTTCTCCGAGACAATAATTTTTTAAAAATGAACGCATTTGGATTTACAAAAGCACAATAATGACGCGTACTGCATTCGCAATGTTTTGTTATTAAAGATGCTCCAATATTATCCTCGCTGAAAAGAAAAAGTCAAGTGAAAATAATTCTTCTTGTTTTGTGGTAATAAAATGCAATAACAAGACAGAGATACCTCATTCGAATCCCTTTGGGATTTCTCTTAATATTTGAGAGATCCTTGCTTCCATTATGCGACGTGCATCCAATTCACCATTGACCGTATACAGATACAGATATATAAAGCCGGAAATGAATAATCTTAAGAAAAGATGAAAGAGATCTCTCCATATCAAAATTCCCCCGATTCCTCTTATTCACAGACTTCTATTCCGGTTATGAATATAGACCTCTGCGTATATCAATATTCATGCACTTGACCTACGAAAGTGTCGAAGCATAAAAAGTGAACCCAAGCGTATATTTTCCAGCAACATACTAACCGATCAAGATGACGTTCCCAAGAAGAATAATTATTCTCATCCTATGTGCGATCATCGCCACGATGACGTCGGTAAGGGCCTTTCCAGACGGTGCACCAGTGGACGCTTGCGTTAAGCCCAGAAAGAATCAACCCTATCACGGCCAAGCGAGAACACAGTCTTTGGAAACTAACCCCTACTCCGTGGTAGCATCCTCGAGCGAATACGGACCAGGCTCACAGATTACTGGTAACAGAGCGCAGCTTAAATTAATTAATTAATTTAGAGTAAAGTACCAGAGGGAGAGTCGTCCACTCTGCGTCGAGGGTGTGGTTCAAGGTTCAGCCACTCTTGTGGAAATACAGATTTCCACAACAAGTTCCTCATCGAGCCAAGGACGTTTAATTCCATATTCCTAGCTCACTCGAGAATTCTCCATTCTTATATACCTTTTATACTTTTCGTTTCAGTCACCATAGGTGGCGACATCTTTAAGGGCTTCTTCCTTCAAGCTCGTAACGCTCACACCGGCGAATGGATTGGCTCCTGGGCGCAAACACCAAATACCAATACTCATCCTGAGTGTAGTGCCGTGACCCATGCTGACCCTCGTGAAAAACAGCAGGCCACACTCATTTGGAACGCTCCTCATAATTCTCAGGGTCAAGTGTACTTTACGTAAGTTGACTCGTTTAACGTGGCAAACGGATTCACGCCTGCAAATAGAATTAGAACCCATGAACTTGGACGCAATGAAGGAGGCGATGGTTGCGTGACTAGCAAAAGTAGCCAATTTCTATTTTTCTTTCTCATCGACCCTTCCACGTACGAATCAAGTTGCCAAGCATGTTTTGTCATCGATAAAACTTTTATACGACCTAACTCAATAATGGCAGCCAATGAATAGGTCCTTTAGCCGGTATGCCTGGTATACCGTGGGCGATGAATATCTTTGTGATAGGAATCAGCACGTATGATTATTAATATCCATATAGATATACATTATGATAATTATGCTACAAGTGAACGTAAGATTGGAATTACCATCTATTCCCATATAATAATGAAAGGTCTCTAGAATCGAGTTCTTCATGATTACCATTACATATTTTTCATTCTGTACATATTCTATTACGTTGAACTTTGAATGTTACTGAAGGGAAATGACACCCAGACATGCTATGCGTCATTGAAACTTTTTAGAAAGAGATGAAAACGGTTAAACATTTTTGAAATTCTTGGTCCATCGAATTCGTTGAAGGAAGACGCCGTCAGATGTCGAATGTTGCGAACGGTCGATATTCTCTCGATAATAATAGATTATTATACGGTGACGTAGCGTCGCGACGAGGTTCCTCGTAACCCTATAGTCCAATCGAGTAAACAGGTTACCTTCTTAAAGAATTTTTTTAATTATATTGATAATTCCAATACTCGTATGCTTTATGAAAAATCACTGAGTCATAACCTCAATTACACTTGAAAAATTAATGCTTTTCTAAACAATATAAATGTATATTTATTACAAGCATAGTTGGCGAGAAAATCTTTATGATTATTTTCCTCGTCGACAACCGTCACGAAAAGGCCATGTAATTTCCATGCACGTCGCTCGTTAACGACTCTACGAATTTTCCAGTAATATTACACGGTAGAAAGTCGTGTATAGCTGCTACCACGGAGATTGTTGTATACTGCGAGCAACGACGTACTTTGTAGGTACTAACCAACACTGGTAACTTCCTCTTGTCCAATTTAAACGTAAAACGTAGAGAAAACTTGGCGACTGCTACGAATTTTCATCGGACGTTAACCGTAGGTAGTCGGATAGCTTTATTTGTCACCTGGGAGTGTAAAGGAAATAATTAAAATATTAAGCGTCCAACCCTTTACCTTGTTCTACATGATTTCCTGTCATACCGGAAGTAACGTAATCGGAAGTATGAAAAATATTTATGTTCCAGCGGCACTGTTTTGAAGGATTATGGAACGTTCTGGGCTGACTTGGTGGCCCAAGTGGCGCAGTGAAGAATCCTGCAAATAACGTACGTACGTGTTACTCTGTGAAATATTTAAGCGAATTATCAAATTCGTAAATATATGTTTTTATCAATACCCAAAGGTTTGACTCGATAGCAGATAATAATTTGAAATCGGTTTTCATTGTACAAAGAGAAATTTAATATCCGTAGATTACATTTTTTGTTCTCGCTATGCCCACCTTTTTTTTTGCCCATACACATTGCACGTCCGCCACGAAAATAAGGTAAAATATTTTTTATTCGATGACATTCACGAGTTCTCCCACGTATCTGCTCCGAGTAATCCCACTGGGTATGACTTATGGCTATGAAGGATAAAGTCGCGTATCTATGTCGTAATACTCCTATGTATTTCGTACTACACTTTATGACATGGAATTTTCTAGCAAAGTTTTTTTTTCACGAATTACCACATACCTGACGTACCGTGCGCCCTGAAGTGAGTGGAGTTTCATCCCAAATAGGCATTATGGCCATTAGAGTTAAGACGGTCGCCAGCAATTGAACATTGATGTCCAAAGATACAAAACTGGTCCGAGCGATTAGTGTGACGTAATAGGCCTCTAAGTCATAATACAAATTATCCATGCCTTCCGACTTCACAATGCAAATTACAGATTTCAGGTTCAACGGCCGGAGTCCGTTCGTAGTACACAGAACAGCGAAGATGAAGTAACCACAGAAATGGGGCGGTTATTAGATTCTAAAAAAAAAAAGAAATAAAATATATTAGTAACATAGAATCCTGCCCTACCATTAATACATTTGTTTTTTCTCTTACAAACAGTCACTTTTCATAAGAACTATCTTTACCATGACTCAATGTAAGTTACACATACTATAGTACATAAATAATAATTAAGTATAGCAGCAACATCTCTAATGGATGTTTCAGAATGTAAATTAATATTATTTTTTTATACTTTCTAATCAATATTACTTTCTATCAAGACTTTTTCTTTCCTCTCCCCCATCGTAACCTCCCCGCCAAGCTACACGATCCATCCAGGCCCTCCTGCATGCTATTAGGGGACTCCTGCTTGAAATGACCCGGCCTTTAAATGTGCAAACATCCGTACCATTAAGACGTACGGATACGCCTTACAATCCTGACCGAAAGGTTGGGTAACCCTAGGCTTTTCTCCCGGACCGACCAGGCTGGGTAATATCATGCTATCGCTGTTTCTTCATTGGATCCCGTTAATGGACTCTCCGTTTTACGTAGCACGTGAGGTGAAAGATTGAGAAGAGTTACGTAAGGCTGGAGCCAGGTAAAAGTGGGCCACTTGCAAGACAGCTCGATAACTTTAAGTACCTACGCTTACTGTTGACTTCATGCGAGTCAGTGCGTTGCCTTCTGGACTTACGACCTGACCCTTGTTAACCTCTTTTGATCATGATATATATATCATGTGACTGTAACACATGAACGGTGCATCAACGTGTAAACCGCTTTGACTCCTCATCCGATAATTAACTCGCGCCTGTCGGGTTTTACGCGAGTCAGCGACCTAATTATCGGAAGTGAAGGCAGCAAGTCTGCTGGTCGAAAGAATTAATCACTAGCGAAGTCAAGTGGAGACCTTGTTAAAGGTACCTGGCCGTGTTCACAAAATTGATCGTAACGCGCCACACCCTCCGTTATTTCGCTTCTTGTTTGATCCTGGAAAGGCGTAACGACGCTGGACGTTTCTGTTTATGTGAAACGGTTGACAGCGTGGGAACTAATATGTTGGCTGAGTAATTACGTGAATTTTTCATTCGCAGAAAGTGAAATCCAGTAAACTCGGATTTAACGAAATCATAGAATTGGCGACAGGCTAAATTCATCCTGTTGGACATCTTGGTCCACTCGTGTCTTACCTAGACATTCATTACTTCCTAATACAAACGTCTACGTAAACGAGACGCTTCCATCCAGATAAGCCCGGAGTTGATTAACGATCCGCAGCTATGTGGTTACCTATAATGAACACGTGGACAGTATGCTGAGTAAACTCACATGAGTTAGGAGAGCAATAAAAATTACCTGATGCGAGGAGATTCTATTAAAGCGGCAAACATACGTGAGCTTGATGACTCACTATAGAATGTTGAACCCTCCTGATACCTAAAAAAAAAAAAAATAACAGAATATCAGAAATTGACACGTTTCCACCACCCATACTGTTCATCGGATTTAACCCATCTAATCCCAGCATGCTATTGTCCCAACCTTACAGATCTAGAGAAGGAATAAAGGTAAAAAAAAATGGAAAAGTCCCCATGGAATCGATAGGAGAAAAAGAGTTTTTCATGTCTCCTCGTGGAGATTCCGCAGGCAACCCCGTTGACGGGATTGATGGGGATGTCGAGTAGTGAGTCAGAACGAAGCAGACAATGCCGGCAGGGGGTGAAACGCTGAGGGTAGTAAGGTATGAGAGGGCGTTGAGGGTTGGAGGCCGGTAGGCGCCGGCGCCCTGGCGCCGCGACGTCGGGGGCGCCCGTGCTCGTGACTATAACCGGTCGTTGATTGAGGCTGGCTCGTACTTGTACGCCTCTAGGCCTGGGAAGTTGCGCGTTTACCGCGGGTGAAATTGTCGCAAATATTTTACGTGGATGCGCTGCGTCCTGGTGGTGACATTAGGGTTAGCCCGTGATTACAGTTTAAGGGTTGTCGATTATGCGTCCTATACTTACATGATCGATTGATTGCACGCATAGTGATTCGAGAGATGTGATATGATAAGGGCGCCGTGAAAGGAGGTGCCCGGGGTGCCGAAATGTACGGGAAATCCGGACGGAGTCGCACCATCCAGGTGCTCTGCGCCATCCTGGGCTCATGGTGGTTGCTAACCGAACCGGCCCTCGGGGTCCCGGACGACCCCGAAATTACCACCTTAGAAGGTACGGTATTAATATAAGCTCTGTATCTGTGGATATAAATAACTTTATATATCGTATCATCATTTATTTTTAGTTTATATTACAAATTGTAAACTATTGATCATCCCCTTATTACCGTGATTACCGCACGTAGCTGGTTTATCTGCAGTGAGTTTGAATCGTCATTGTCTGGCGCGAAATAACCCTACGACGCAGGCTGCTGCTGCTGCACCCACCCCTTACGTTGCGGCTTTTGTTCTCTGTCCTATCAGCTTTGAACTGTACGGAACATGAATTTGGACAGTCATCTTCTTTTGTTAGATAGTCTTGACTAAACCCGGTTCAAACAAAAATAATGATACGACAGTTTTGTGCCATCATTGTCAGAATTTGAATATTCTCCTGGTTTTCTGTATTTCTGTAAATATTATACAATTATTAGACAATTACACCGATTTGTGGTCTTAATAGGCGGGAAAATATTTGTTGCTTCCACTGTATCGGAATCCACCTGACTAAAATGGCTATTTGCCAAACCAATCCCAAACAAGCACGTATTGACTATTCTCAATGCTATCAGAAATATTCAAGTAGCAGTTTTCAAGGGTCTTCTCGTTCTTTATCTCAGTTGGATCATCTTCAGATTGAATCTCTCCTGAGAGAAGCAAATCTAGACGTTATATATATAATCGTAGAACAAAATTGATCCCTAGGTAGAACACAAAGTCTCATGGTTGTCAAACATTTTCCATTATAAAAGATCTAGAAGAAACAAACTAGTATGGTCTCAATTTGAATATGACATATAAACGTCTTAGAAAATACGCAATTTCTTGGAAAAATTTATTATCAACATATGATAACCTTCAGAACCCTCCAAGAGACTGACCCAAGAATCCTAGTGACCTTGACCCAAATTTAAGATATAAAAACCACAAAATTCTATAATACTAAGAAAAAGTCGCAATGCGTAATTGTTTTTTTCTTATACAGTGCGCATGTTCCTCTGAAAAAATTACACGAGGTAACTTCTTATCGGTCAATCTTTAATCTACCTCAGAACCTCGCCAACTCCTATAAGTTTTCTCGTTAACAAGATAGCGTCAAGCACTTGGTGCACAATTCTTTTTAACATAAAGAACATTCGGAACTTCCGTAGAAACATACGTGACACCATAAAGTACCAAGTGATCTGACCACAAGAAAGGTTTCACCAAACGTAATTAAAAATACTATACTACTAAGTATGCATGTAATCGCTATATCCTGATAACATATTCTCGCACTTATTTCGTTAATCAATAAAACGTATCCTGAATATTTCACTGTTTTCTTTTTTGTAGTGAAAAGTAAAACGGCTCGGTCCGTCGGTTGCGAACTGATGAATACAATTTGATGATATTGCTAGTGGTATTTTGAACTTTTTAATTTCGACCTCTTCATTGTGCTCATTGCATAAGGGACAATGAGCGCAACGAAACGATGCGGGCTTTGTTGAAGAAAATGACGAGGGAAACGAAGGGATCACCTATGCTTCATATCGGAAATACATTTCATTTCGTTTGTGCTTAAACTACGTTTTTCCAGAATTGAGTCAAAGGACCTCGTTGTTACGCATTGTTGTCTCAGTACGTAATGCATCGCAGTCCATCGCTCGATTGTAACGCAACACCTATTTGCATTCTAGGTATACCTGTGATCGATACTACTCTAGGTACTTTGAACCCATACTCTAGTTCTTATCCTATTGTTTTCTATATTACCATATGCATTTGAGTCTCATATTAATTTCCAGGATATTAGCTATAAAATTCTTGGACAGAAGTTCCTTTTGTTTTCCCAAAAATAATGGGTGATAGATATTACATTGAGAAAAATTTTGTTTATCGAATATCTTTGTACAAGTGCTTAATGTAATAGAATGATCGCATGAGAATACATCTCTCTGATATAGGGAAAAATGTGGAATGATGAAATTGCATGAGATTTAACAAATTTGCTTCGTTCCTTGAAGCGGCAAAACGAACGATACGCAATTTATGTAGAAAGTAAGGAATTGCACTTTGCCAATTACATTGACGTAATTGCTATGACAAAAAGTTGCCAGTCCATTTGCTCTTAATTAATGCCATGGAATTGAAACCTTTACCAAGTAGAATTGTATGATCAACCAAAGGAATAATTTTATGTTGGAAATATTGTCACATTTTTTTTCATTCTTGCCGAATTTTTCTAGCCTTATAAAAAGTCAACTTTTCCGTGATGCATATGAGCTAATGAATTGTCAGAAATATTTTGTTCCTATTGTACTTGTAGGCAGATTGTTGTATAAAGCACTAGATTGTGATTGGGACATCACCTGAGGCGATTCATTTTTTTTTAAATATAATGTTGAAAATCTTGTGTGCTGGTTGACATCGAGTTTTTTTCTTCAGTTTTTCTGTACATATGTAGAAATATACTCCTGATGTTTTTTTTTCTTTATGTATCTTGCGACTGTGGACAAAAAGCAAGATTACTTTCACGTGCTTATAATTATAGTAACTTCATCCAATCGTACATCAAATGATAACAGGTTATCATAGTTCTTCATAAATAATAAACATGGACGCTCGTTTACTTTCTCACCCGTCACTCATTCAAATGCTTATCAAACAAGTATCATACTTAATAAGAATCAATATTTCCGATACAAATATTATTCTGAGCTTAAAAAATAATTCCTATTTTACGAAATGTTTACTTTGATTTAGCGGGGGTGGCATGAATTGGTTAAATCAATATGCTTCTCTGATCTTCATAAAGTGGTAGCAGAATAACGTAATTTCCAGTCATGCGAGAGAAATTTGATTTTCCGGATATCAATGAGATTTCACACCTGTCTTCATCGCGATTGACAGAATTGGTTACAGGATTAAGTCAACTTCCTCAGATTCTGGCTCCTTGTTTGTTAAAATATACCAAGTAATATATCGAGTCGTTCATAAATAAATTTTTCTAGATCCGTCTCCAAAAATTCTGATCGAATCTTTTAATAATTGCTCGATCCATTACTTTAATATCATTAATTCGTATAATGCTCATAACGAAGTTTTTGACTGGAAGTCGATAAATACCAAAAGTCACATCTACACCACCAAGCATATTATCCCGGCACTAGTCCATTTTACGATTGTATCAACCTTCTAGCGGCACAACGATTATAGTGCAATGACATGCAATTATTGCGCAACAATATACAACACATACTGCAGTGCAATTTATGCTTGGGGCTTAATCATACCTATTAGCCACATTTACAAAGACCTGAGTGGCCTGACACCAAACCAGATAACCACAATAAGGAATGTGACAAACGACATTAGAATGTTCAAAATGTCAAAAGAAGAAAAGAGTATAGACTAATACGAGCATTAGTCTGACAAAAGAGTCATAGAAATATATCCTTACTAGACTGTATATAATAGAATATCCATTGGAGTCTTATTGGTGTCAAAATAAATCCAGGATCCAATATGTTCCAACAAGGCGTCTCAAATGTAATCCCGTAATCCTAAAAAAGGATGACGAAGGTATCCAAACGTTTAATATTAACCCTTAGGTATGTACATACATCCTGGAGACAGAGGTACCTAAGGATTTCATTTCATCAATATACAGTGCATCACCTTCTCTGAAAGAAAGCCCTACCATGTCTAAATAATTCAAATATACCAGGTGTATCCTCAATGAATAATATCTACGTAGCACAGAGGGTGAACGTACCAACTTTTAACCTAACATAAAGTTACCGCAGTCTGCACTGCGGATACTACATTACCTCCGGTCTGTTTCCGTTCGCAAAACGTCGTTACACGTTTCAAAGTCACTCGTGTTAAAATCGATTACCAATAGTCCTTATTGCCGTTCGTTACCACCCTGCAAACTGCACATAATTATCTTGTAAGAAATAGTCGATCCTCGCGACTTCCTGCAGAGAGCGAACAGTGAAGCGACCCTGCTCGTCGTTTGAGGTTAAATGTGTTTCCTGCAAGGAAGATATAAAGGATACGGATGAATACTTTTCTTTAAATTCAAAGGAAGAAATGTAATTGTAGACTTTTTGGAAATATCTTACTAAAGCGATATCCGTCAGACATTTTCTGTATAAAGTGTTCATGTACCTGATACGCCATACTAATAGCTACATGAACCCTTTAGTAAGGCAACCACAGTATCACCCTGCTGTCAATTTTTGACTTATGGTTATAAAATGGTAGGCGGCATCAGCTCCTGGAACAATATAACCTGTGCAAAAGAGATTTTTATTAGCAATGCAAATTATTGATAGGTATTTAGTTGGATATTCAGATCTCACAAAGGTATTTCCTATTGGACTCGTCTTTGCTGGAATAATGAGTATTCCACAGTTTTATTGACTTTCATTGAAACTTAAAAGCATGCAATTTCACACTGACGAACTCTGTATGCATATTTATGCAGGACTGAATTATTTAATTAGACAAGACTAGCTCTACGCATCTTTCTATCCGTACATATTTTCCACGTGGTGAATTAATTCTTGTGGAAATTACGATTAACGTGAATTATTCAATGGTACGATTACAGTATTACACGTGAATTCTAGTCGTTTTTACGTCAGCCACGCGAAATCAGGTCGTTTACGGTAGCAGTAGGTAAGCAGGTTTTCTTATGAAAATCCAGAATTCACTTTGCCCTCGATGGCCAATCATGGGAGACTGGCGAGTGGCCAGAGTGTCAACTAAATATTTAACGAAGCCGCGTATACAATGAGTTATACAGTTCAAATGCACTAGTCAGATTTGACAGCTGTCATGTAACAACTTTAAGTTTAATAAAAATTAAGAACTATTTCAATACCAGATTTGCTGCTGTTTGGAAGCATTCTGTATGTCCATTCTTCTCATGCATATACATATAAATAAGTATCTGATGGGTATAGTCTGTCTCTCTCGTACTTACGACAAGCATAGAAAATTCGAAAAATCTAAAGTTTGCATTTAAATTGAATCAACCTGTACAGTTAGTCATTGAATTGTTAGCATTTAACAATTTGAATCACCAACAGAGTTGCGACTGAATTGAAATTAGTTTCAATGTACAATCACCGTGTTGCTCTGTTTCATTGAATGTTTACGCGAATCAATTACACCCAGGGATGAAATAACATTTTATGGATGTTGACTATCGTATCAGGTCAAAGTTCGGATCGACAATGGTACAATAAATGAAGTCTATACAAAACTGTTAAGTCAATATTACAAGACTCCTCCTTGCTATACCAAACATACTATAGTCAATTACGTATTCCTATCCTGACTATGACACTGATAGTAATTGGTTACAATTTTTTTTAGAAATTCTAACCTAAAATATATACCTCTAGTAGAGATAAGTTTCTTTTCCACGTGTCATCATTAATCATTCTTTTTACTCCTGAGCCTAGAATCTTTAAAGATTCCAACACATAGCCCAAGTATATTAACAAAAAAAAATGAAACTTCTTGCACCATTTCTTTCTCTGTATTGAACGATGATAAATAATGTGACGTATAGCAATTCCCAGCAATAATAACACTCATTTCCGCAACTGTCAGATTCTATGCGAGTCCATAGACATATAGTCTGGGCATCATATGTGTTCCTGGTGTTATTTCTGCGTTCTATCGCCAAACGTTCCGAGGAAACGTAACGTAAAGCTCTAAGGGCAAGGGTAATTACCTATTTTTTGAGATTACAGAATTTCTGGAACGATAAAATGGTTTTGTGGGTTTCGAAATGTTGCGTGCTGTCACAGTGCCGATGCCAAGATAGTTTCTGTCGACACGCAACATTTACCTTTAACGTGTTGCATTTTTTGCCATTATCGTTATTATGTTCTTTTCATGCATAGCTTTGCTCTGTATGGTGGCCGTGTAACCAGCACGAACAATCAAACTAATCATGCTTCAAAATGGGTTTTAATAATGCCGAGTATTACTCCATCTTGCTGTGCGATTATATAATTTTAGTGATAAGTAACGTGGCCACAGTGCGATGCTTTTACTTGATTAGATTTATATCCGTTCGGAAAGAGAGAGACAGAATGGGGAACTAGGTTCCGCATATTATTACACCAATACACGAATATTCAAATAGCCATGGCCACACAATATTTTACTTAAGCCCTTGATTAATGTTTATCTGTTATATGGTTGGATTATCATATCTCATAACGTTGTCTTTCTCAATCTCACTTAAATTATAGAGAATATTATGTATATAGTATAGGCATTTGATTTCTCATTGGTATCCTATTTCCACGTGATCAATTTTACCAGAAAAATATCACTACTGGGTCCAATGATATAAATTCTATACTAAGTTCAGTTTCTGTTTCCCAAAGGTGATTTCTCTGCATAATATTGTAGATTAAGTTTTCGTTAAGGGACACGTATGCTGAGTCATGTCTGCGGTATGGCAAAAAGAAATGGTCACTCAATAACCCTAAGAAGTGGTCGTTCCTTCAGGATTTCAAATATCCGTCTTGATGCCTAGTCAAATATACCAAGCCTAAAAAGAAAAAGACTCTTGTTGAAGAAAAAAAATTGAATTGTAATAAAAACAAAAATGGAAAAATAAGAAAGTGTAAAATCGTACACTTTAAAATTCCTTACCGTTGTACTCGTCGCGTTAAAATATTCTAGCGAACAAGACCAGTGAGAGATATTCTCATCCGGCATTTAGTGAGAGAATTTCGAAGACATGAGATACAGCTCGCTATCTTTTCCATATTGTCCCATTTCTCCAGCATCCTGCCTTTTTCACGGTAGCAACCCTCGGCAGTAACGAGATCACGAGGAATGTATAATCGAGTACGGCATCAACTAAAACAAAAGGGATGATAAATATATACATGATGCCTCCGCTTTATCATTAAAAAATTCTCATCTTTCCAGCAATGGTTTTCACGTCTAACACCAGGTGCATGTTCTAGCGCAGTGAAATGTATTTTCGTCCAAGTCACTTGAAAACTCTTGAGACTCCCAGCTACTTTCCTTTCCTATTCGTCAACCCTTCTTACCTGAGTACTTGAATGTAGGAGTACGTACACCAGGTCGCAAATTCCTTCGTTTTACCCGGTGAACTTAAAAATGAGAAATGTTGAAGAATACGTCCTAACGTAATTACTTCTTAACGAACCAATTCAGAAAAAAAGGAGCAAAAATTAAAATCGAGTATATGGACTGTTGAAGACTCGTTCCTCTTGTTAACATACATATGTAATCTGTATGCCTTGTACTTATCCTTAGGGTTAAATCGATATGATAGTTTCATAAGAAAACATATAGAACGAAAGATAAATCCTTCTATGACAGCAGCAGCAGCCCTTTAAGAGCTTTAAGAATGATCGATGAGCATCATCGTCATAAGGAGTCATGGTTTTTCCTATAAGAAAAACTTTTCGTTCAAATATTTTCCGTTGGCATTGGATATACTGCGGAAGGCGTGGGACGTTTCGCAGGTGAGAGCATTGGCAGTGTGCCATACTGGAATGACCCACTTTTGACGCGTGGATTGACCCGAACAGCGTCATTTTATTTGCCCGTACTTATCTACGTACAGCGGTACGTTAATTCTACTGTAAAATGAGGACAGATTGTTAACTGGTATACAATTATCAACTTTTACATAATCAGGATCGCTCATCGCTTTGTTACATTGCTCATACACGGGAGCTTTTTTCTCTTCTTCCGGGTTTCATTTCTAACTTGACTGGCCTCATTGGATTAAACCTACAGATATAAAAGAGATATTAGACATTGAAACTTTAAATTCTCCTATTGTAAGGATATTTAAAATTCGATTTGACTTTTGGTTAACGTTCACAGGTGTTGAACCCGTAAGGTCCTAAATAGAAAGGGAATGCAAATGCGAACCATCTTTGAAGCCCAATGTCTCGGGGTAAACAAGGACATTAGTCGACTGTTTCCACACGGATGAGTTTACTATGCTGATTACGTACGGAATTTCCAAGGGGATACTTCAAGTGTTTGCCATTCCTTCGCGTAGTTCTACTAATGCTTGTTTGGTGATGATTATGGCTTGGATCTTAGGATAAATCGATTTTTCTTCCTTCTTACATCATTTATCCATTGGCTGTAGGCTGTATCAAAGAAATCAGTGTAACAAACTGTCTAGTGCAAAATTCTAAGGGTGCAAAGAAGCTCTCGTTATCAATGGATTTGTTTTCGAGGATACGTACTATTATTCTCGAACAATGCAGCAATCAAGGAGGATTTCTCGACGATGTATGACATCGGTTGAAAGAGGAGTCAAGACTGAGTCTCTTTGGCCGGTGGCGGATTGAGCGTCCCGACGCTCTAACGTCTCAGAGGGATGAAACAAAAGCTAAAGGCGTTTAGGAGAATTCTTCCTTATAAAAATTACTTTTATCTGCACTTTATTACTCACCTTATAATAATATTAGACCAACGAATAGCTATATACACTTTTCAACTGATTTATATACTTCATTTTATATATTGAATTCTCATCGTTTCCAGATATACCAGAGGGCGATAGAAAGAAGATCGGCGACATTTGTAAGGATGATAGCGAATGCAGTTTTGCTGGTTCTCATTGTGATCCAAGGAAGAAGAGGTGTTTCTGCAAAAGTGAATTCGAGGCAACAAATTTTATTGACAAGTGTGGTCACGGTGAGTTAACCCATGAATTGAACTATAAGAATTCGGCAGTAGGGAACTCATCCACTGCAAAGGATTTACTATTATAGAATTCACCCATCCTTTCTTGTGGTTCGAGCTTACAAGGTACTTGGAGTAACAGACTGTACCAGTGCAGAAGCAGAAAAAAATTGTCAGTTCACAGTTCGACAATTTGCAACAGCCTGCAAAAATACATTCACAAAGTTTACTCATTAGCTTCTTTTAAAAAAAAGAATACAAAAAAACTGGGCTGTTTATAAAAGTCCACCTTGGTACGCTCCATTACGTTTAAATGGCTGTTTTCCTTGCAATTCCAGTTAGTATGACAAAATGGCTACGAGAGTAGCTATACCTTTACAGCCCGTAGAAGTGTCTTTATTGATGTTAGATGTTCTATGTTAAAAAGAGCTCCAGTGCTAATTTTAATTATATTATTTTAAATCCTACTATTACCCATAAAGGATTATTGGCAATTTTTTAAAAATAAAATCAATATCACCACAAGTGTTCCCTTAACAAGTGTTGCTTCTCCCTTCAAACTTCCCCTAGCATCCAATAGACCACTGAAGTATCAAACTGATGCATCACAACATCTACTGGAGACAATAGCAGTCTCTGTCGGTCAGGATAGCTCAAGTTCCAAGAAAGGATGTTACGAGAAACTTTAATAATAGCGAAAGAGTATACGTTTTGTGATCTAACTTTGAAAAAGTTAGAGAAGATTTCGAGAAGCCCATAGAAGAGAAAATCTTTTGTCTAACCTAGAACAGAGAGGAGAAATCATTAATTAAAGCTATTAACGATTATCGACCTTTTGCTTTTAGCATGTAGTAAAGACGTTCATTTCTAACAAGGTTCTAACTAATTTCATAATGAATTTCAAGAGCCGATAGGCCTACCTATTGCCAAAGAGATCCCGTTGACTGTGCCATAATGTTTCATGTCTGTTGTTAAAAGACAAACAAAACGTCAGGCATGAAACCTTTCTGACGATTAATAGAGTCAATTAACTGTTTTCCAAGCCCAATTCCTCTTACCCAAGAATCTTCCAAATTGAGGATGTTTCTGAACCCTTGAAAAAACATTACCGAAAACATATTTATGAAGGATAAGGGGTCCCTGACCTACCTCAAAGCAAAATCCCCTACACTTTCTCTATGTTAAATACATCCAACAATCCCAGATCAATAATTTTCAGCAATAATCAAAAAATACTTTTTCAGGCGCTAACGTCAACGAATCGTGCTTCTTCAGCGAACAATGCGAAGAGAAAACTACGAGAACAGAATGTCGGGACGGACGCTGCATTTGTATGTTCGAAAAAATTCCCATGGTACGAGCGGACGGTACCATAGAATGCATTGGTAAAATTAATATTTCATAATAACACAAACTAAAGTATGACTCTGCAATTACTCAAGATCAACTGTTATCATGTACAAATTTTAGCCGAGGTCAACGAACCACCCAACCTCCAGTACGTGGACCCAGCCATGATAGGTGTCCTGGTCGGTATGGCTCTCATGTTCATAATAATCTGCGTTGTTCTTCGACTCTTCAGCAAGTAAGTCTTCCTCTTCCGATTAGGATGATAATGCGATCATCATTGCAATAAGATGTCCAAAGCTTCAGATCTGCAATTAATAAATAATTTCTTTTACAGGGCACGTTGGCGCGAAAATCGTACGATTTTTAATACGCCAAATGCACGGCTTATGAATGTATCCTTACTGAGGGAAAGTAAGCTATTGCATGGTCAGGAACGACGTGGCTCTCGCGCAAGTGTGCGAGGACCTTCTAGGCAGCCGTCGATGGCCTCCTTGCGTGCACATTCACCCTCCGCCTCGCAAGGTGCGAAACACTCTCAGCGAGTGAGCCGTACGGGTTTTTATTTATTCACTTACTAAGCAAGCAACTTTATTCGCCCTCGTAACAATAGAGCCAAGACTTCTGTCGATACGTAGGCGTTCTACTAGACTGTTCCTCGTAAACTTTTTAGATTGTGTATGGAGCCGTCCTGTTCTCGCATGATATCTATCTATATCTATTGACAGGAGGGCTGTCTCCTGGATGAAATTGTTGAATTTCATAGAATTTCTCTTATAGATAACAAAACATATATATATCGCAATACATTAATCTCAACTCTGTTATTGCTTTCGGATCTCTCGACTATTCGCTATCCTTGAAATTCTGGTATGCAATTACTGTACCGGATAATAATTCTGATAGTGTTGGGAATATTAAGATTTTCCCGTTTCGTTTTATTTACAAAACTTATTATTCAATCTTACAGGAGCTTGACACGTTACTTTTTGTACGTGGATGAAGAATACCAATTCTCTCCCCGTGCATGCTCGACGACACGGATCACTTCTTTGCCGTGTCCTTTTGAGATTGTAAATATACGGTTATAGATATGGCAGTCGGATAGAGTTTTTGCTCCCATATAACTAGAGCAGAATCACGTTCCACACGACTGGTGTACCTTGTCTTGTTATTTTTGTTTTCCCTTTTATTTCTTGTTTTTTTCATTAGAGTTTGCCGGTTACACAGTTTAGAGTTTTGTGGTGTCTTCTACTACAGTGATTTGTTATAGTGAATGAGGACACCTCACGGTTATAGTTGCTTGCTACAGTAAACGAATTGCCTGATCATTCATGAAGATAATTAGACCAATTACGAGTTATACCATGTAGTATTCATTCCTAGTATAAACTACGGTACACATTCACGCAGTCATTAGTCATTAGGAATAGAAAGAAGTAATTAAGAAAAATGAACAAAGTCAAATTGTACAGAATTCTCTTGTGGATTATTTTTTATCTTCTCGTGTACTCTGTCGAGCTTGCCTTAGACTCTGCTTCTTCTCCGTAGCTTAATATTCCAACTTCTATCCCTGCATTGAGTTACTCTTTAATTAAAGAGTGAAGATCAATCGATTTTCAGTACTGTGTACTCTTGGTCGTACCTCAAGCATATTCTATAATAATTCAAATTTTCAACCGAAAAGGAGAAGTAAAATGTAAAAAGTATGATTACCATTAAAGCCATGCATTAGTGAACACGTAAAAAAAGAAATCATACCTATAGGTACGATTTTTAGTCATTCTTAAAGTAGCATTTGTCACTCATTAACTGAATATCTGTTGTCGTAATGAACCGGCCTTTGTTGCCAGGGTCTCATGCAGGATCTCGTCGTGGAAGTCGTGGAAGTAGTGGAAACGCATCGGCAGTCTCCACCAGATCGAACAAGTCACCCCCAGCGACTCACTCGAACAATGCAACCGACCCAGTACTGGAGAACGTCACAGTAGAAGTTCTGGAAAACCGTGCGTAGCTCAAAAATAAACGAGAAGATGATTGAATGGGATGAAACGAAAGTAAATTTTGGATCTTACAAGTCGAACTTCAGTACACTCTTTTCATTATGAGATTTCGCCATCGAGAAGCTTGCAATATTTTCCATCGCCAAACCGTCACTCACCGCATTCTCTTAGAGGGACCTAGAAGAGACAAAGACATCTATTAGATAGCCAAGAAGGTCACCGAAAAATTCTAACGCTAATTAATGATCTTCGAGTGTCAACGTGCTGGCGTAATAAGCGTGCTGACGTATCAGGATTCGTAACGCGATAACAATTAAGACCGTCAGACACTGAATAGACAAGCAGACAACAGATTAAAAGAAATAAATTCTTACCCTGCCACATTACCTATCTAATACTATCACGCGTTGAATTTAGATTCACTGTCATTCGAAAAATTTTACATAAGCTAAACAAGACGGATGAATGATCTTAGCTGAATCTATCAAAGGAGGCTGCACGCATCTCTCTCTCTCTCTCGTATACCCTGTGACTCTTGTCTAAAAGTTCTTACCCCGACTAAGGTACGACACGACGAATAGAATTGAATCGCGTGGGAATTTGAAGCGAACAGAAGCAAGGTACGTATCTAGTTAGCGATGACAATGGCGATGACGATCCATTAAAACGTTGCGACAGCCTCCAATATAATTATACTTAAAATTATTTATGTAGTACGATAGGCAGTCACAATCAAAGATAGATAAACACTATCGATGATTCATCAGGTCCAGCTGATTATACAGTTTCCAATGACTGTTACGCATGACGACTCATTGATAATCAAGAAATCACGATGGCTTGATTGGAACTAGTCAGTCACTCGTGGCCGTATCTTGAGAACAGGAAGCAACAGAATGACGGTGCTCTGATTGGTTCACACAGAAGCTAGACGAATGGGACCAGAAGAAAGTGTTTTGAGACAGCAGCCTGGAAATATAATAGAAGCATTAGTACACTATGTCTAACCTATATAATCGCGTCAGACGATTAATTAACACTTAATAATAATTAATAGCAAATCCAACGAACGCGACTCTAGATGCACTAGATGCGTAAGAGCGAATGTTCTTCGTATAATAAACAATGATAGGCTCTTTGCGAGTAACTTAAATATTTTCCAATAAGCTTTTGTCACGTTATAAGGTACTCTTCACAAGTATTGATAATATCTGCACAATATAAACGTTACGTATATTATAGTGCATAGGATTATAAAGGAAAGCTACGAATCGAACGAAAGCTTATATAAGTACGCGGTAATACAATTAAATTTCATATATCGATTGATTATATAATCTCACGCTCTCGATTGTATCTTGCACATACGTTTATATAAGTATCAATTTCAAATATTCCCGCGAGACGCATCTACGCAGACGCTAGACGAAATCCGCGGGTAATCAAATACATAATAGGACCGGTAGAATTTGAATTTTCAATTGAAAAAAAAAAAATTAAAATCATTACCGACTTAATAGTCGTATAATAATATATCAGCAGTTTAGTGCCTACGTTGTCAGGTAGTTATTATTATATATATAATATATACAACGTACCATTAACGAAGCTTATGGCATTACTGCATTGATTGAACACGTAGCGTTAGTACGATAACGCCTAGCGACTGTGCTACTCTGTGATTACTACGTATTTATAAGGATATCGACATTGCAATTGCACCACACGCAGACTCGCTTAGATTATATGTAGATATACATACATCTAGTATATCTCATCCCGCACCTAATATCCTTCTAATTCGAGGCTAAGTAAAAGACACGGTGACGGCTTATTTTCATCTATTTCGAAGTAAAGTGACAAAACTTAAATATATATATATATATATACACATACCTATGTATGCAAGCATACGTATGCATAATACATTGAACAGCGAAACTTCGTCCTGACAAAAAGAAAATCGAACGACCTTTCAATAGGGAGTTATCGCGTTTACCTTTAGTACACGTATTTTCCTATAACTCACAAAACAATTTTAGAATGTAAATCAGACTCGTAGATAACTCGTGTAGCTTGTGTCACTAGGACCGATCCAATCCTGAAGGGAAATTAGGGGAAGGTTTCCATTTTAGGGTTGGATCTCGTGTCCACGACCAATTAGATTACTGCAAGTGGAGTGTCTGATATATTATATATATATATATATAATGCATATACGTATGTTTACGGAATAAGTATATGAGAAATAGGAAGAAAAAAAGTGGGTGCTGCTATCGGCTAGACGCATCAAAAATTCGAATTGAATACTCCAATTTATAGACTATGGCTAATTAATTACACGATCGGCGGATAATTGTAGCTAAGTTCTATAACGTAATGCGTAATAAAAATTTGGAGACTTTCCAATATCACCGAGGACAACTCCACGCGGAGCTTTGAGGTTTATATGTAGGTATAACGCAAGTGTACTTACGTACGTTACTCCGTGTACTTGCTGATCAGTCGTTCGCACCTGTAGATTTTTCAAAATAGATTCTTCTTGTCTCTACGAAAATGCACAGGGTGTCGTTGTGAATGCCAAGAAAAGACTACGTGTCTCTGACTCGGTTCTTCAATCATCTTTTCGCAAAAAGCCGTTGACAATGTCTGAAACGATGTATCAGCTGTCTGTGATTTTTAAATCCTTAACACGATCATGCTTCATTTTGAAAGAAAGACGGATAGGGCAGTATATATATATATGATGTATGTAGGTACGATCTAGGATGATCCGTTCATTGCACGATCCTACTTGACAGACAATTTTGGTTTGACTCGATTTCTCCTAACCTATATTACTGTCAGTAAAGGGATAACGTCTCTGGAATGTTTTCTCATAAAAGAAATAAGAAAATATATTTAAGACGTTCTTTGCATCATACATTTTTATACGCAATTCGTAAATATTGTTAATCCAATAATTTATTGCTATAGGCGAATTCATTGATTAAGAATTTCTTTATGCACCGCGTGCCAAATATCCATCTTACCACCATGCTTCCCACTTTGATGAGCTCGATAATAATATGCTTTTTATTTTCAATTATTCTGTATCCTCGCCTATTTAAATAAAAAATAATATATTGAAAGCCTTTTGAGGATTATATCCTCCATGCTCGCTGCTCAAGAACCGTTAAAGGCTGTACTGTGAATACTATTTACTATTATGATACGTCTGTATAATAAGATTGAAAAAACCTCGAATGTTTATGAGAGTATGCAGAAAAGAAAATGAACTGACCGATCGCTAAACGAGGTTTATTTTAAAGGAAGAAGTGATTATTATTAATGAAAAAAATATTTAAGAATACATGTGATTGCGTACTGGTGATGGATGGCCCAACTATGGGGAAGTGTCTGGGTAATCCGCACCATTGGAAGGATCTGCGTAGAATTGGTTTTTACTTTTATGTTCTCTCGTCAAAAATGGAAACCTCGTTTTGTCACGTTCTTAATATTCCGTCACTCGCGATGCGGACAGAGTAAATCACAGCAGGGAACCAATATTATCTTACTCCAGGTTTAGAAACTTTATAGCTCTAGTCACGCCTGTAGAACGTTGACACCTTCGCGATCCAATGTGCATCAGTGATTGGGAGTTTTTCTATAGCGCATTGAAAATCGGCTTCAAAGAATCACGTTTGGTTTGCTCATTGAAGTTGTAAAGAAGACGTGAAAAATTAATCCATCCGCCGACGAAAAGACGTTCACTTCTTTCTTCGACATTGTACACCTTATATCTGCATGACACGATACATATGTAAATCGTAATACTATGGGTTGCCATTTTGTTTTTAAGGCGACGATATTTAACTTACTACGTTTAATAAGTCAGTAGAACAATTGTACCTTTTTCGCAGGATTAATTCTGTCACGTTGTATGATCTAATAATAATTAAAGAATATTTTTAGCGAGGCAGCACCTTATAGAACAATTTATAATTAGACTTTAGATGACTTTTCGAGGGTGGATCTGATTTGGATCAAACGTTTAGCTATTATATATTTACTTATTTTAATAAATGAAAATTTTACGGAGAATCAGGATTTAGCGACTTGTATTTATCAATATACTTTTTTCTTAATCACTATTGTACGTGTATTTGAAACTGACTTAGATATATATGAATATTAACAATAAAAAAGGATGCAGCTTGATACACAGTTGATTATAAGTTTGAATGATGATTTTTCAATGACAGTATGTAATTTAATTATTTTAATGTCCACGTTCTTTCTGTGCACCATTGCACGGTGACAGATCAAGATTTTATGTAAAACGGGTACGTCGAGTTAGAAGTGCATCGATTCGAAATAGTAGGCTTGAATTTTAAGAGAATTATACAATAACGATTAAGTAACTAACGCTCTGCGGCGATATTCTCTAAGGATCTAGCCAGAATTTTTAGAGAGCAACAAGAACAGTGGTATTACTATATATATGAATTAAACGAAAATTGGTACACGTACGTAAGTAAAATATAAAAAAATAGCGTCTATGTAGAATCAGTGTGGATGGGTGCGGGTTAAAACGCGAGTCCCTCTTTTTCCAGTCTTAAATATTTTATAAAACTTCGTATAATGTAAAGATATATATGTTATATATTATTGAATTATCTGTACTGTAATATCTATACTGCATTATTAACGAGAACTTAGCCTACCTTGTAGTCTTTATATTATACATTTAATATTATAGCTTACAAAGAAATAAATATCTATCTATACCTATTGTACTTGAAACTATTAATACACAACTATAAATCTTTCATTTTAATAAAATCGTAATACACGTCTTTGATTGGGTTTGTCATTGTCATATTTAATATCTTTTCTTTTACATTTTTCTTCTAAATTTATATTGATTATGATGCATTGTTATAACTATAGATATTTTTATAAATGAAATACACACAAAGCATCATGGAAAGTCATATTTGGCGGTTCATGAATTTTGAATTTTAGCGCAGTACAACATCACCGGATGTGGATAAAGTGGAAGAGTACCATCTGCTGGTCACGCCTATATACTTCAAAAGTTTTAAAGGGTGTACCATGCAGTACTGTGGTAGAATGTGGATAAGACTTTACTTGAGAATATAGGAATGCAGAAATCTATGCTGATCTATGCGCATGTGACAATGTCAAAATATGGATGTTCACTAATAATAATCCTTTCGCATTTTAGAGTTGAAATTAAAATGAAGTGACGGTGAATCAGTATTAGAAAGTATTGTTAGAACGTCATAATGAAGAGATTTCATTCACTATTACTAACATGCTGTATCTGTCTTTACATTTCTCAGATTAGTTAGTCAACTTTATTCTAATTCGGTATGATGTTGCATGAACTATCTTTATTTACCTGGCTCTCTTTATTGCAGATACTCTTAGTAGAAATCTAAAATACTATGAGACACTGCATGCATCACACTTTCAACATAATATTGTGAAAAGGGGTACGCAGCATAGTTATCATCCGTACAACAAAATCAGTGAATTAGAATTTTATAGTCATGGACGGTATGGTATATTTTTGTATTTTTTAACAAAATATTGGTTTTTCTATCATGGTTACAATATTTATTGTAGTTTGTACTTACAGACACTTTCGATTAATTCTAACACCTAGAAGGGAAGTTATACATTCCAATTTTAAGGCATATGAGGTAGATGGTGATGGAAAGGAAAAGACAGTACATTTAGGTATCCTAATGCTTATTCTTGTTGTATGTAGATTACAAGCATGCATGTAATAATGTAATTTGATTATTGCAAATTTAGATCAAGACAATTTTTACCATGGCCGTGTTTTTGGAGAAATGGATTCTCATGCCCAAGTACATATTGACAATGGTGTTCTTACGGCTACTATTGCTATACCTGATGAAACATTTCATATAGAGGTGAGGACCATATTATAGACACCGCAGCTTCATAGTTTATGACTATGTGTGATTATTCCAGCCATCATGGAGACATCTTCCATACACAGACAACAAAACAATGATTATCTACAAGTCATCGGATGTGAAACTCAGTTGGGAACATTTTGAAGGAGGAGAAGGTCATACTCATGGAGCACCTAAGACATGTGGCTATATTAAGGAACAACCAGGTATGCGTAACAATTGGCTTAGAAAATATATTCATACAAGATCTTAATTACTGTTATACATGCAATTATAGAATCCATTAAAGAGGGAAATGAAGAAATAGAACAATTTTATTATGATAAAATTACTGCACATAACAGAACAAAAAGACAAACTGAAACTTATGAATATACACCAACAAAAACTCGTTGCCCTTTATTGTTAGTCGCTGATTATAGGTTTTACCAAGAGATGGGTGCAAGTAGCACAAAGACAACAATTAACTATCTGGTATGACATTACTTTCGTTTCTTATTCTATGAATTAATATAAAATATACTTAATTGATCATATTTACAGATCAGCTTAATTGACAGAGTACACAAAATCTATAATGATACGTTATGGCAAGAACGTCAAGAGCAAGATGGCTTCAAAGGAATGGGTTTTGTGATTAAAAAAATTGTCGTTCATAGTGAACCAACACGTGTTCGTGGTGGCGAAACCCATTATAATATGGTTCGGGAAAAGTGGGATGTTCGAACCTTATTAGAGGTAAAAAAGCATTGACTAAATTTAAAAAATTCAACTCTGAATCAATCATACTGTATAAGATCTCATGTAGGTTTTCAGTCGTGAATACAGTCACAAAGATTTTTGCTTGGCTCATTTGTTCACTGACTTAAAATTCGAGGGTGGAATTCTTGGACTAGCTTATGTAGGATCACCCCGTAGAAATTCTGTTGGGGGAATTTGTACGCCAGGTAAAAAATAAATTACAGAAAAACTATGTCATTGGTCTTCTTCAATATTATAGCCATTTTTATGTACGGTTTGCAGAATATTTTAAAAACGGATACACTTTGTACTTGAACTCTGGATTAAGTTCCAGCAGAAATCATTATGGACAACGAGTCATCACCCGGGAGGCCGACTTAGTTACTGCCCATGAGTTTGGACATAATTGGGGTTCTGAACATGATCCTGACATTACAGTAAGCTTATTAAATTATATATATACATTAGAATGCTTCTAATATTCAATTCTTGTATACAGGAATGCAGTCCAAGTGCCAGTCAGGGTGGATCATATCTCATGTATACCTATAGCGTAAGCGGATATGACGTTAACAATAAGGTACGAAGTTTGTTAATAAAGAGAAAACAGCAAACCCTCCTTTAATATTGAAACCAACACCTTGTTTCTGCACAGAGATTTTCACCATGTAGCCTACGATCGATCAGGAAAGTCCTACAGGCCAAATCTGGTAGATGTTTTTCAGAACCTGAGGAATCATTCTGTGGTAATCTTAGAGTTGAAGGAGATGAGGAATGCGATGCTGGGCTTCTAGGTACTGAAGATAACGATGCTTGCTGTGATAAAAATTGCAAACTACGTCGGAATCAAGGAGCCGTATGCAGGTAAATATAAATCTAGTATGTCAGAATCATATGCTAATTAATACCAAACATCAACGGTTTTTGTAACAGTGACAAAAATTCTCCATGCTGTCAAAATTGTGCATATATGCCACTTGGAGTTAAATGCCGCGATGCACAATATGCAACTTGCGAACAAGAGTCAAGATGCACTGGTGCATCAAGTGAATGCCCTCGTTCTCCACCAATGAAAGATGGCACAGGGTGTTTGGAGCGGGGTCAGTGTAGACATGGAAAGTGTGTACCATACTGTGAAACACAAGGATTGCAGAGTTGTATGTGCGATATAAGTAAGTAGTGTTATTTGAATATATTTATATTCATCCATATTCGTATTATTGTTAATATATTATATTTTTATAGTTGGAGATGCCTGCAAAAGGTGTTGTAGAATGAGTTTAAATGAGACCTGCTTCCCTATAGACCCTCAAGATATTTTGCCTGATGGAACACCATGCATTCAGGGCTTTTGTAATAAGGTAATACCACTTGAAAGTAAGAATTATTTTCAGAAGTGTTGGGTAATTATTTTGCGTTTTACTACTTTTCAGGGAATTTGTGAAAAAACTATACAGGATGTTGTAGAACGATTTTGGGATATCATTGAGGATATTAATATCAATAAGGTGATGAGGTTCTTGAAAGACAATATTGTTGGTGCTGTAATCATTGGCACTGCTATACTATGGATTCCAGCAAGTTGTATTGTGAATTACATTGATCGTAAGAAAGTTAAAGAAGCTGAAAAACGATGGCGGTGGAAGAACACAGATGAACTTATTCATCCTGATGAACAAAGACAAGTTATATATGTAGGATTGCCCCGACAAAGATTACAACAGACTACGCAGCAGTCCTAATTTTTATTCCATTTAATCTAATTAGTAAGCAGAATCGTGAGTAGAACTAGTCACACAAAAAAACTCATTACCTGGAGGGCAGTAACGTTTTACACGTTGAACCTATTACTGAGAGTAAAATATTTTAAAATCTTCTCATTAAATAGTATAAGTATTTAATTTTTACAGTATACAAAAAAGCTACCATTTTACTGAAGTATTGTTCGATGTACTTATTACATACTTTAATTTATATTGTTGAACGTCCAAAATTAACATTAGTGTACATATGCACTAAAAGTGCAAACAAGTTACCCAATTTTAGTCTTAACTGTAGGATACTGTCGAATATAGATTTTTATATAAATAATATATATACATATATGCTCTATTCATTGTAACACAAAGTGCAATAAAAAATGTAAATGTAAAAAAATGTAATTGAAATATTTTTAATTTTATAGGACGAGTCATGTAACATAGTAGATAGATAGGTGCTTGCAATGCATAAGGCATATACACACACAAGTATATGTATAGTCGAATATAGTATAAGGTTAGGTTAGGTTATTCTATTGGACAAATTTACCTCACATTGGAAATGGAACTTTAGCCGATGTTAGTTTTTGGAATGTCGCTCGTGTAACCGTTGAGATGTAACCTACAAATTCTAACTCATGCAATACCTAACACGTTGTGTATGTTGCATTAGCATACCAGCCGGTACTGATTTTACCGTTAACCGGCCGTCAGAGAGCAAGTGAAAATGACAGAGAAATTGCCAGAGACTATAAATTTCTCTAAAGAAGAGGAAACGGTTCTGGAATTGTGGAAAAAGTTGGACGTCTTCCCGAATTGCTTGCGACAATCTAAAGGTAAACCACGATATTCATTCTATGATGGACCTCCTTTTGCTACTGGACTACCCCATTATGGGCATATCCTGGCTGGCACGATCAAGGATGTTATCACCAGATACGCTCATCAACGAGGGTATCATGTGGAACGTAGATTTGGATGGGATACCCATGGTCTACCTGTGGAATTTGAAATTGACAAGGCCCTAGGTATCAAGGGTCCTGATGATGTAGCTAAAATGGGTATTGCGAATTACAACAAGGAATGTCGTAGTATTGTTATGAGGTATGCTACTGAATGGGAGAAGATTGTCACTAGAATTGGACGCTGGATTGATTTTAAAAACGATTACAAGACTCTGTATCCGTGGTACATGGAGTCAATTTGGTGGATCTTCAAAGAGTTGTTTAATAAGGGACTTGTCTATCAAGGTGTAAAAGTTATGCCCTACTCAACAGGTTGTAATACCCCTTTGTCCAATTTTGAATCTGGTCAGAATTATAAGGAAGTTGTTGATCCATCAGTGGTCGTTGCATTTCCACTGTTAGATGAACCAGATGTATTCGTATTAGCTTGGACTACTACACCATGGACATTACCTAGCAATTTAGCATTGTGCTGTAATCCAAACTTTGAATATGTTGAAGTTAAAGATGAAGCATCTGGAAGAATTTATATTATTTTAGAATCAAGTCTTGATCTTATTTACAAGTCTAAAGATCTATATACTATACAAGGCAAAAGAAAGGGTACAGATTTGAAAGGCAAGAAATATGAACCTCCCTTCCCTTATTTCTTGCAAATAAGAGAAAAAGGTGCATTCAGAGTCTTGAATGATAACTATGTCACAGCAGACTCTGGTACTGGTATTGTACATCAAGCACCATATTTTGGCGAAGACGATTACCGCTGTTGCTTGGAAGCAGGAATTATAACCAGAGACCAACAAGTTATCTGTCCAGTAGATAGTTGTGGTCGCTTTGTTGAACCCGTACATGATTTTGCAGGACTCTATGTAAAAGATGCAGATAAAGAGATCATAAAGTATCTTCAAAAAAATTCTAAACTCGTGCACAGTGGTACATCCAAGCATAGTTATCCTTATTGCTGGAGATCCGATACACCTTTAATCTATAAAGCTGTACCTTCCTGGTTTATCAGGGTAGAACAAATTAAAGATAAATTACTGCAAGCAAGTGCAGAGACATACTGGGTACCAGATTATGTAAAAGATAAGCGTTTTGGTAATTGGCTAAGAGATGCCAGAGATTGGGCTATCTCTAGGAACCGTTACTGGGGTAATCCTATACCCCTTTGGGTATCCGAAGATGGTAAAGAAGTCGTCTGTGTTGGAAGCATCGCCGAATTGGAGGAACTAACTGGTACCAAAGTAACGGATATTCACCGGGAGAGCATTGATGACCTAACAATTCCATCCAGGCGTCCTGGACAACCACCACTTCGTCGTGTACCTGAAGTCTTTGACTGTTGGTTCGAATCTGGATCCATGCCCTACGCACAAGTGCATTACCCATTCGAGCGCCCCAAGGACTTTGAAGATTGCTTTCCTGCCGACTTCATCGCCGAAGGAATTGATCAGACTCGGGGATGGTTCTATACTCTACTAGTTATCTCTACGGCACTCTTTGGCAAGCCGCCCTTCAAGAATCTTGTCGCCAGCGGCTTGATACTCGCATCCGATGGTCAGAAGATGTCAAAGCGCAAGAAGAATTATCCAGATCCAATGGAAGTGGTGAACAAATTCGGTGCAGATGCTTTGCGGCTATACTTAATTAATTCTCCTGTCGTCCGCGCTGAGAATTTACGATTTAAGGAAGAAGGTGTAAGAGATGTTATAAAGGACGTCTTTTTACCATGGTACAATGCGTTCAGATTCCTGATGCAAAATATTGAGAGATTTGAACGCGAGGAGAGGACAACTTTTGTATACAAGGATGTGAAAGACTCTGCTAGTCTGTCAGATAATATAATGGACAGATGGATAGTATCCTTTACGCAGACGTTGCTACTCTTCCTGAAGCAGGAGATGCAGGCTTATCGACTCTACACTGTAGTCCCACGTTTAATAAAATATATAGATAATCTTACCAACTGGTACGTCAGGATGAACAGAAAACGTATCAAGGGTGATAATGGTGGTGCTGATTGTCAGCATGCTCTCAATACCTTATTCTCTATTCTCTACACGATGGTCCGTATTAATGCACCTTTCATACCATTTTTAACGGAATTCATGTTCCAGCGTCTTTCCAAACTTATATCGTCATCCAAAGAGAACTTGGATAGTGTCCACTACCAGATGATTCCAAATACACTTCCTCAGCTCATCAATGAGGACATTGAAAAAGCTGTTTCATATATGCAAACAGTAATTGAATTGGGAAGAGTTGTACGTGACAGGAGAACTATCCCTGTGAAGTATCCACTGCCAGGAGTCGTTGTCATACACCAAGATCCCCATGTATTAAAGAATATTGACTCCTTGAAGTCTTATATCCTAGAAGAGCTTAATATCAAGGAACTGATTCTGACAAGGGACAAGGAAAAGTATGGAGTAGCCTTAAGAGCTGAACCTGATCATAAAGCACTTGGTGCTAGACTCAAGGGCGAGTTCAAATCCATGACGCAGGCTATCAAAGAACTTAGTGACAAGGAACTTCAGGAATTTGTCTCTAAAAAGGAAATCACAGTTCGTGGGCATAAACTTGGAGAAGAGGATCTGAGATTAATGTTCAGCTTCACCGGTCCTGCTGCCAAAGAGTTGTCTGAGCAGTACGAAGCCCACAGCGAAGGAAACATTCTGATCCTATTGGACGTGACTCCGGATGAAACTATGCAGAATGAGGGAATTGCCAGGGAAATAATAAACCGTGTGCAGAAGTTAAGGAAGAAGGCACAACTTGTACCTTCCGATGAAGCCATTGTCTACTATTCCATTGGGGATCCTAAGAGTACTTTAGCACTAGTCGCTGTTAGTCACCAGCAATTTATTGAAGCAACAACAAAGACGCCACAAAGAGACATTAAAGAAATGCCTAAGGATGTTACAGTCATCATCGAAGAGACTCAAAAGGTTAAAGGCGTTGATATGAAGCTCATACTAGTTAAAGGACAAAAATCCAGTCCAATTGAAAATAATGTTAACAATGATGTAGAGCCTTTTTCAAAGTATGTAAATGTAGCCTTAATTGATATCCAACCAAGATATGGTGCAACGAACAGTCTAGGTACAATTTTACTAGAGAGTCCAAAATTCAATAATTCCCTGTCGTACAAATGGCTAAGACATGAAATTGAAATCATCTTTGGAATCTACGGATGTCATTACGATTTATATATTAATGGGAAACAAATTGATGAAACAACAAATCTTCAATCCTTGCATAAACAAATAATTACTGTTGTTCGTAGTGGTAAACCTGCTTCAGAAGTTACCAATGATCATAATTTTCCGGCTTGTCGTTTTATTAATGTGAAAAATGGTAACGAACAGGGAAGCATTCTTTTGGAAAATCCACAAGGAAACTTCATTTTGGATTCTAGCACTTTGCACGACAGATTACGTTTTATTTTTCAAAAATCAAAGCTGTCTCTAAATCTACCAAATAATGGATTATCTCAATTACATGGAACTGTACTGGAAATTCCTTAAGGTAAAGATAGTCCTTATTTGTGTCTTTTTTTGTTTTTGAAATATCTGAACAATATTGTCTTTGCTTTACGACCTTATATTTTCTTCGTGATCTGACAATATAAGGTGGCTCATTTACTACACCTTATATATGCTATCTTCACGAAAGTTTTAGAGTTAGTACTGCTTTGACGAAAAATAGAGTAATTTATAAAAAATGTAAATACCATCTACAGCAGTATTTAATAAAAGACTATTTAACATTTGATTAGTTTAATTTAATTATATAAAATTTTGTAACCCGGTTTTATTGAAATGATATCCCCCAGGTGCAAGTAGGTAAAATTAGTTTTCAGTATCAAATAAATAGACATTTATTCGTAATGCATAAAATAATTACAACGTAATAGTTAATTACAATTTACAACAAAAGAGAATAATGATAAATCGTATTACAAAGATATTTGTAAATGTGGCCCTTATTTCTTTTTACATGATACCTCGAATAAGACTTCTAACATGAAATGTCATTAGATTTTTGGCCCAGTCAATGACAGTGCACTTAATCATAAAATCTGACATATGATAACACATTTTTAAAATATTGACCTCGTAAATGTTCTTGCAAGCAGTGATTACTCTGCAACGGGTTTCATTTTGCAGAGCCTTAGCTACTCAATTTTTTACGATCAATTTCGTTCCACAGTCATCCTGGATTACTAACCTGCGAATGCATCATTTTATAGGTTGAATCGAGTCGCGTGATAGAAAAGATCATAACACACCTTCTCGCGGGTTAAGAGAACAGGTCGCTCTTCTTGTAATTTTCTTGATAGAACTTATTTATTTAAAAGAAAAGAAAAATATCACGTACACCGTTATCCAATTAGCATATGACTTTTAATATCATTCAAACCCTTCGATGATGCGAGAAATAAAGTATTTTTGGTAGTTTTATGATGCTCCAAAAAAAAAATTATTGCGTTAACATAAATTGCAATTCAATCTGTTTCGTAACATTAAATATTATCATTTCTTCCTTCCATTCGTTAATCTAGGACTGACTTATTTTGTTCTTTTAATCAATACATGAAAATCCAGACGCATATCGAATTGGTAATTACAAATCTCACCACGTTACGCAACTTTTTCACGGAGAACAAGGAAGAAAAATTCTTTCATAAAGACTTTAGTGAGACCCTCGTTCTCGCATACGCGACCAGGTCGTTAGGTTCATCCGTGCTAACGAATTGAGGTGCTAGATGATACCCGTTTTTTTAAAAATACGTATTAATCACACACTTGCTTTTAAAAACTTATAGAGCTACATTGTCTATTGAGATTATGCGAAGTGTGATAAGATGGTCGTGTTTATCCAACAAAACCTTAACGAAAAAAGGGCAAGGAACATGCGAGGTCCGCAGGATATTTATTCGAGATTCCTGATACTGTCTCGATCAGGGAAGAAATGGCCAAATAGAGAAACTGTGAATATTGCAGTGAGTCCGTAAAGTGCGAGCGTTGTTGTTGCAGTGAACAATTGGGCGTAATGATAACGCGAATACCAGGCGAGACCTAAGATAAGGGTTAAAATACTAACTAATAATCTGCTGAGGTCCCATTCAGCACGCACTACACTTAGACCAGCTCCTGCTGGTATATCTTGGAATGGTTGAGGATTAAAATACAATGGGGATGAGTTCTCCGATGACGTAGTTTGAGAAGGTGGTATTGATGCTGGACGTGGTTGATGTACCAGACAGTGGACCACACAATTATTGTACAAGCCACAACGTTCTAACGTTTGACTATCTGGCTGTAGTACTTGTCCATTAAAAACTAGTCGTACTAACTTCTGAGACTCTAATTCTATTTGAAAATGTCTCCTGTAATTTTAAATTGATAAGATAAAAAGTTAGAAGACGACAAATTAATTAATCTTACCTCTTAAAGTCACCAAGTAATTCCTTAAGGCTTCCTGTTACCATTTTTTGATCCTCATTGATAAATTTTAGTTTTATACTGATTTGATTTCCATCTATCGATGATGATTCCTCGTTCGTGCATTCTGTTATAGTCGATGCTGCTTCTGTTATATTTGTTGTAGTTTCTGAAGTAGTTATCTTGGGTGTTCTATGCCTTAAGCCAGAGTCTTCATTATTGAATGAGTCCATTGCTTCAATGAGAACATCTTCTGATGTGGCTGCTGTTGCAGTTGTGTCAGATTGTATTGGCATGTTCTCTGTAGCTGTATATAAAAGTTTGAAAGAATACAGTAACTTACCAGCTATACAGAAAGGTTTTAGATTACAAATAGTATGGGAAAATATTGATTGTACCTGTAACTGATGATGGCATAGGACATTGTATTTCCATTGTATTATTATCATTTGCGTTTGATACTGCTGACTCATCCAAAGATGATTCTAAATTAGGTGGTCGACTTGATGAATCCACAGATTGATGATTAGCTCTCAATTCAGCAATACGTGTGCGTGTACGATGTTGCAGAATAAGTACTGTGCGTATCAATGGTTGATCAGCAATATTTGTAGACCGCCATGCTAACCATCCCACTAACAGAACACCCACTATAATGAAGAAGTCTGTGACTTCATCTCCTACACCTTCGATATAAGACATCTTTTTCTTTAAAATAAATCTGCAATATCAAACATATTATACCTTTGTACATTTGTTTTCCAAAAATATATATTCACCTAATGCAATTTCACTGAAGACACTACAGCAGTAATCAAATACATACATAGCGCAGTCTTCAAATAATTCATACCATGATATTAATAGTTAAGGTTAGTCAAATCTTGAATATTTTTAAAGTATGAGCAATGAAAATAATGCTCTTTCTGTTAACCTTCAAGAGGTAAAAATATTAGGCTCCAAAATGGATACGATATTATCCAGATGTTGAAGTATATTTTTTTTATTGATACGTAATGCGTTTATCATTCCTCATGATGATTCGTAGGGAAGAGCATTACGCATAATTTGCATTTTAAAATAAACTTTTACCTATACACTACTCCAAAATATGGCTTCTGACGTTTATCATGGAACAACAACAGTACAAACCCGATCTTAATTACCACCTATTTCTCACCTGGATTTAGAAAAATGACACAAGGGCACGATAGTATTAAATTCACGTCGAAAAAATTATAAAACTCATCTACAAACATCTGGAGATGACGCAAATAGTTATACGACAGACAGCGACGTGCCTGTACGAGGGATCCACAAGTAATTCTATACAAAACTCAGGTACGATCGAGCGTGTAGAAAACACGTTTAACATGACACACTTCCTTGTAAATGACCCTCATCGCTACAACACCAATCGTGAAAGTGTAAATAATTGTCGGATTATTAAAATTATTCATTTAAAGTATAACGCTATTTGAAATAATCGAGAATAGAAATTAAAAAATCATCAGTTTTGTTGTAGCATAATTATCAAATATTAACAGTGAATTTTGTATTGTATCGAGATCTCCTACATTACAACATAAAATTGCAGCGATATTAATTGACCGCATTTTGTAATCTTTTATTAAACTTTTAAAATACATATATACTTTCGTTTGATATGCTCGTATAAATTAAGTGTATTGGGCGCTCTTTTTCTCTGTGATTTTGAAGTACGAAGGATAAAGTTTTTATCGAATTCCTACTAAAAGTCAGTGTAACAAAAATTGATTTCGGCAAAGAGTATTAATTTTATTGTTCATTTACTTTGTAGCAGGGTCAGTAAATTCGTCGATACGATACTGGAGATTCGAGTGATTCAAAAGTAAAGTAGAAGAAGTACGGCGGGGTAGAGTAATCAGTTGGCATATACGTCAAAATGGCAGAGCTGATCGCGATACCTCTTAAAAAACCGTCCGATGTGGACGTTATTAAACCGCTTACCAATGTTATTAAATCGACATATAATTCTGCTGAAAATCAGAAAGATTATACAGAGGCCATAAACGAATTTAGTAAGCTGCGAAACAATGCTTTGTGGCGTGCCTTTGAAAAGTATGAAAGCTCCCTGGAGGTTATTTACAGGTATGACTCATTTATTAATCAATCGTTATATCCGTATAGACATGTAGAACTTGTTTAATTTATCTGCGAGAAAGTATAAGATTTTTCTTCTGTTGCTATATCATTATAAAATCATTGATGTCGAGTTTGGTCTTCTCTGTAACTTTTGAACCGAGTATTCCATTGTGCTTTCATTGTATTATTTGGAAACAATATTAGGTGGTTGTTATAGTTGTTTAATTTTCATTTATAGCTACTATGATCAGATTTGTGCCCTGGAAGGTAAAATACCTACACATGAACTTCAGATCCCTTTCAAATGGAAGGATGCTTTTGATCGTACGATTTTTGGAGGAAAGCTGAGTTTAAGTAAGGAAGAATTTAAATATATCTATGTATGGTTACATAGATATTTTGATATGATAAGAAATTTGTAAATTACACTTTGTAACTTTGATGAAAAGACTCGTGAATAATTTACATACATTTTCATTTACAGCAATAAGTACATTAGCTTATGAAAAAGTATGTGTACTATTTAATATTGCTGCTTTACAAAGTTCAGTAGCTGCAACACAGTCGCTTGATAGCGACGAAGGCTTAAAGTTGGCTGCTAAATTGTTCCAGGTCAGTTTATATATTTTATATGAGAAAGTATAAATGTCATTGTTATGGTTTTTATAAAATAGTGTGTATTTCTGTATTTAGCAATCAGCTGGGATCTTTAATTACTTAAAAGGCAATGTCATGTTAGCTATTCAACAAGAACCCACACCTGACATGAGTCCAGAAACCCTTGGTGCACTATCCTCATTGATGTTAGCACAAGCGCAAGAAGTTTTTGTTTATAAAGCAATTCATGATAATATGAAAGACAGTATCGTTGCTAGACTTGCAGCTCAGGCTGAGGAATTATATGCTGATGCCCTCAAATTGTTCCAAAAAGAAATCTTCCGAGCATTCTGGGACAAGGAATGGGTACCTTTGGTAAAATTTTTTATTTTTTTATTCGTAGAATCCGTCTACTATTATATATTACATTTGATATTGAACATGCAGATAGCTGGAAAGCAAGCTGGTTACCGCGCAATGGCAGAATTTTATCAAGCTTTAGTTTGCAAAGCTAATAAAACAATTGGAGAGGAAATTGCTAGACTGGAGGTGAAAATTCTATATATAAATATATAAACCTTGTTTTTATACATGGAAACTTTACAAAGGTTTTGAATATTTAACAGCGTGCAGTAGAACTCTTCAAGTCAGCACAGCAAAGATCCAACAAACCTACATTATTCCAAGATTTTGCCCATAAAGCTCAGAGAAACTTAACTGAGGTAAAGAAAGATAATGATTTCATTTATCATGAGAGAATTCCGGACATTAAAACATTGGAGCCTATTGGAAAGGCCAGCGTAGCAAAACTGCTCCCATTGCCAGAATATTTCAGTGCAAACTTTAAAGGTTCGTTAATTGTCAATAATATTTATTTAAACAATTTTTTCTTTTCAATAAACAACACAATGTAAGATATTGTTAATTTCAGATGCTTTCGAAGAACTATTGCCAGTCAGTGTCCATCATGCAATATCCTCTTACGAAGTTCGCAAGAATGAACTCGTAAACGCTGAAATAACAAGACTGCGTGACTCTACGCAAGTGCTCAACAGGTACATTCTTTAATTCGAGTATTAATAATCAATTATTTAAAACTAGATGTAGTTCCAACATTATATGTCATTCTCAGCGTCCTGGCAAGTCTGAATTTACCCGCTGCTATTGAAGATACAAGTGGAACTGAACTTCCTCAATCGTTACTGGAGAAAGCTGCTTCCGTGAGAGTAGCTGGCGGTATAAAGGCTTTGGAAACAGCAATGAATGATCTGCCAGATTTACTTCAGCGCAACAAAGACATACTCGACGAATCCGAAAGGATGCTACAAGAAGAACGTGAATCAGATGATCAATTGCGTGAGCAATTTAAAGAACGTTGGACGAGAATACCCAGTTCTCGTTTAACTGAACAATTTACTATGAATGCTCAAAAGTATCGTGAAATTATAAATAATGCTGTCACTGCTGATAAGGTGATTATTACCCAACAAGCACAATAGTACCGTGATCAAAAATAATTTACCTCTTTTAAATAAATCAATCAGGTCGTACGTGAAAAATTCGAATCCCATCGTGAAGGAATGGAAATTCTCAGTCAAGACGAAGATAAACTAGCCAGTGCTGTGCCTATTGGATCTGGTGTACAAGAAAGTCGCGTAGTCTTTGAACTAAGAAGATTAATGGAAGAGGTACATATACAGCCTCCAGTTTAATATCGGCCCTCGATAGAAAATTGGCTCATGTAACATATTACGATCTTATTGTTCATAGGTGGAAACTATTAAAGCTGAGAGAGATGTAATCGAGAGTGAATTGAAATCTGCTACTACTGACATGAAAACATCTTTCCTCTCAGCTTTGGCCAAAGATGGAACAATTGATGAGCCTAATTTATCCGTCGAAAGTATTGGCAAGTGTTATGGACCATTGCAGAAACAAGTGCGAGAAAGTTTAGCTCGTCAGGAAGAATTGATTTCTAATATTCAGGTAAAACATTCCGTGCTACACTCATTTTTATAAACACCATTGTTCCATATTATATATACTACTTGAGAAAATGTTAATATAAATTTAGGCACGACACGCTGAATTCACAAGTGAACAATCTGGCAGTGGCAGCTCGCGCGAAACTGTTCTCTGTAAACTGGCCGCCGCTTATGATGCTTTTAAAGAATTAAAGGCTAACTTGCAGGAGGGAGCCAAGTTCTATAATGATCTAACTCAAGTAAGTATACTTAGAAGATTCCTTAACGATTCTTGATCAGTATCCTAAAGAAAAATATTGTTGCAGTTGCTGGTCGTTTTCCAAAACAAAATAGCCGATTTTTGCTTCGCACGAAAGACTGAGAAAGAAGAATTAATGAAAGATCTAACGACTAATCTGAGTCATGCTGGACCTGCTGCTACGCCAACAATACCATCTCATCATGGAGGTAAATAATAAAACACAAACAATATTATCCACTTGAATAACTTCAGTAAATAATTTTGCCAATGACTTTCTGTAGGATATCAGCCTCAGTCTAGCAATGAAGGTGGTTCACAATTACCTTATCCGACTCAGCATCAGGGTAGCATGCCTGTTCCCTATGGTGCAACTCCTGCTGCTCCATATCCAACTTATGTGCCTCCTCCAATGCCTACGACTTACAATCCATACGCTACAATGCCATATCCACCTCAAGGTACGTTTTTCTCATATTTTTTAGAAAGTTACATGAACTCGTGATTATTTGAACTAACAATTGTATTTATTGGTTACGAATATGTTCCAGGTGGTTATAATTATCCATATCCGCAGCAACAGCCACAGGGCCCATATACTGGTTACGCAACGTTTCCTCGTTATGGAGGTACCAATCCTCCCCATGGACAAAACCCATGGTGAGACGGTGAGCGATAAAAGTGAAATTCTAATTCAAAATAATCAAAAGAAAATATATAATGGTAATTATAATCGCGATTTCGCGTAATAGCATAAGCGCGATTATGAAATATTACGATTTCAGGAAAAAAAAAATGATTGTGACCATAATTTTTCGCATTTGTTACTAAACTGTCGTTCATCGATGTTTAATGTTCGTAATGATCATTATTCAACGGTATGTGATCATTGAGAATTTTTAAGTTTTATCAAGAAGAATGCACTGCTCTACTTTTTTAAAATCTATCCTGTGGCCAATGTTTTGTAATCTATATCAATATGAATATTAATTCTAAAATTGACATATTACGTTGATCAAATCAGGAATTTATTTAAATACAATTATCAATAGTTAGAATATTGTTACCATTTCATTGCTGGCCAATCGCAATGATACAAATTTCATTAATAATAAAAATCGCACTGTCTGTCATAAAATTGTATTATCGTTCACATTATTATGTTTCTGCAAGAAACAAAACTCATCGATCAAATTCTTTATGAGGCTTCACTAAATAAAAATGTAATTGATAAACTCAGATGCAAAATGAAATATCGATACAGAATAATTTTATTATTATTTAGGAAATCTTGCTTCAGTATGTATATTTATTATACATATTCTATCTTAATTTGGCCTTTGTCAACATATGTATGGGTTAGGTAGTTATTTTCTCAGAAAATACTCTAGAAGAATGTGGGTAGCGGTAGCGGAAGAACAATGAAACTTAGATTTTAACAGGCTTCTGAAAGGGTATGTTAAATAAATTGTGATTTGAGTCCGCCTTAGAATATCTTTAACAGAAAAAAAGAAACCAGATACAAATAGTAACGTCCGACCATGATGGTAAGACGAGACTTGCCTCAATAAAGTGCTTATTTTTGTTATGAAAATAATATATATATAAACACATTATTGACTTTAGTATGTCTGTTATCTAAGCTTTCTTTTAATTTTAATTAACAACCCAAGTGATGATTACAGGATAGAACTTTGAATATAAATTTTAGTGAAGTTGTTGTTTAAAATAAATTATTCATGGTACTATGGTGTATCAGGTGCGAGGATGTCTAATTATGTCACTGATATTTTCTATAAGCACGGATAATTCCATGTATGATAAGGGTTAGGCTTTATAATAAAGAACTACTGTATTGCAACAATGAATGAATTCTTTATAAATTTTGTTTGGTTCATTACGAAAGAAAATGAACATAGAATTGTATATTTTGTATTTCCATCCAAGTATGTTTTACAAAAATAATTGTCACTCATTAATAAGGTTGTATTTGATTACAGTGACGCTGAAAATGCAGACCGAAATATTAATTTGAGTAGTAAGCAAAAGTTTCTAAAAGTGTTACATTTTTTAAGTACAGTATACATGATTTTGGACAGACAATACTTTCTCTATTGTTTTTTTTTTTTTAATAATATATTTAGGAATGTCTTTATTAATTGTGCCAGTGCAATTAGAGTTGATGTACCTTTGATTATGAGTCTCAAAGGCACGTATAACCCTATTAACATTTGAACTTTATTATCTAGTGTAAATACATATAACTTGAATAAGTTCAGAAAAATACAGCATATCCACAAAAAGCTTTAGATTCAATTAGCAAAATTGAACTGATATTTGAACAATCTTTCTAAACTAAAACATACTGAATTTCATATTTTTATTACTCGAGTAATAAATACAATGATATTTAAACGTGAGAACATTTGTCACCTATATAACTCTTAACCGATAGTTACATGGTGACATGTCTAATCTTCATGTAGAGAAATTCCTTGGTATGCGCAATAGATATATTCGGTAGATAAACAACACTAAATGAGAAGAGAAAAAGAAATTTTGTTACATTTTGTTGGATCTTCAATGGTAAAAAATTAATTAAAACGGCTTTTCGACGACACTGCTGATTGACGCAACCACAATGCATTTAGCTAATCACATAAGTAAATAATAAACACGTGTCATATAATCAGTTCTTATGTAACTTCAAATAGACTTTTCGGCGCAGAACAAGACTAAATAGTTGTGGTTTTATGTACACACAAAATTTCATTAATTGAAAGTTATTTTTATCTTTCTGGCTATTTGTTTAAAACATCCTTTTTTATATACTAAACGTGAATCCGTAAATAGCTTACCAAACGTGTCAAGAAAAATAAATGAAGATGGTGCGTAGGTGAGTAGTTTATTCTTTAGAGTGTTGACTACTGGAGCTGGAGGAGCGTGAGCGACGTTTGAATTTTGGTTGTGCAGTTGAATTTGAAACATCCTCAATATTCTCTTGCTGTTCCTTAGGCTTTTCATTGCCTGGGGTAGCCAAATCGACTCCCAGCTTGGGGTCAGAGCTATTCAACTTGTTATCGTCGTTCTTTTTCTCATTATGTCTTTGACTGTTTTTGTCAGCCCTGCTGGATCTATAAGAGTCTCGACGACGTGGAGAATACCTCCTACTTCTCCTATCACGACTACTCCTACGATCATAATCCCTAGATCTTCGACGATCGCGCGATCTAGATCGTCCACTTCCTCGTCTTCTGCCTCTATCCCTGGAATCGCGTCTAGAGAACCGATCACTATACGAACGATTTCCACTACGTCTATCCGACCGACCGTCTCTACGTTTTGAATCTAGCTTCTCTTGGGATTCTGATCCGTTCTTATTCTCCAACGCCATGCCATTATTCTGATTTTGTGAACCTGGTTCCGGTAGATCCTGGTTGTCCAGAGGATTTTCCTCCTGGAATTTACGCTCGAATTCACTAGAATTTTTATCTCCTTGATCTTCCTTGCTGTCATCATCTCCAAATTTCTTCTTACGATCCGCTTCGCGCTTCTTTTGCTCCTCCTCCTTTTTCATACGTTCCTTCTCCAGTTTCTAAAATTTTCAATAAAAATCAACATATTGTCATCTCTTAGAATGATTCACTTAGATCGTCAAGGTTTATCATATTTACCTGAAATTCGTGTAACTTGATAGTACGATTTTGAGCTTGTTTCCAATGTGGCGGTGTTACACTCCTGGAACGACTACGTGAAGGTGTACGATATCTCTGAAAAATAAACGGAAAGTGTTATGTAGACACAGTGGTACTTTTACAATGGAGTGTTAATTACTTACAAATATGCCTCGCCCTTTAAAGACTCGCCCAGTTTTTCTGTGGCTACGCATCCTCTCTCTGCCATAGTGCTGCCTGAATTCTTTTTGATTAGCGTTATTAGTTGGCCCGGCACGGTACAAAAATTTATTTGCTGGAACCTCGGGGATCTCGTCCGGATCGATTTTTGTGACGGAAACTAAAGGATGAGGCTTTCCTTCTTCTTCGGGGTCCGATTCCTGGATTTCACCTTCTTCTGACTTTGCCCTTTTTTTACTAAAATTCGTGAATGTAGTTATGACCAATTAAGCTTTGTTGGACACGAATAATTAACAGAGGACAATATGACAATTTTTAATATAGCATAACGTATTACCTTACCATTATTTATTTAGTTATTAAATTAATATTATGTATACCTTTTCTTGTTCTTCTTCTTTTTCTTACTCTTTCCCGTGTACGAATCCGAATCGGATTCCGATGAACTGCTTTCCTTCGTTTCACGCTTCTTGGCTGTAACAAAATAAAGTAATAAGAATACATATTTTTTATTTATATTATTTTATCTAAAAATGTTATAATATATTAATCGATATTACGCTCACCTTTAGTTTTGAGTTTCAACACAAGCTCGCCGCAGTTAACAACTTTGGCATCCTGTAGAGGCCTTGACATACGATCCACTGGAAGACCCTCAATGTGCGAGATGACTTCCTGGCCGGAGACTACCTCTCCGAAAACCACATGCACACTGCAAACAAGAAATTTATATGAATTAAAATCATGTCTTGATAGGACAAGGTGAACATTTTTGTGTTTGACACACTTCGCCTTCTTAAATTTATATTATGAACTTACTTGTCGAGGTGAGGCGCTGGTTGCGTTGTACTACAACAACAAAACATGATTAAGGGGATGAGTGGTGAACAGAAAGAGCCAGCTTTCAGTGGTCATTGTGTTGTAGTAGTGATGTACGGACCCTTCCCTCACGACTACACAGAAACAGCGCGAAGTTATTCATTCCTCCAGATTTATTTTGACTGCTGAACTTTTCAACTTGTTTCAATATATTCCGAAGGATATGAATATATTTCTAAACCCTGAGCCAAAAATTTCCCTTTCAATTAATATATGAAGCTATGCGTGAGGGACTCCCATTTGATTGTTACGACTGAAAAAGCTTTTAAATACATTGTATGATATCCTACTTAAACTATATAGTATGGAATGTATTTAAACATTTGCAATGAGTAAACATATTTTCATAAGTGTAATCTTGGGTTTTATCTTTTCCTTTTTAACTGCAATAAAAGGTCCATTATTAATTAGAGTTATTAAGACAGTTATACAAATTTCAATGTAAATGCATTTGACTGAAAACAGTAAGAATGTTATTAATTACAATTACAGAAATGAAAACTTGGATAAATACTTACATGAAAAACTGTGAACCATTTGTGTCCTTACCACGATTAGCCATTGATAACAAAAATGGTTTGCTATGCTTTATATCAAAGTTTTCATCTGCAATTTGCATATACGATGATAAATATTTTATTGATTCAAAAAGCTGTGAAATTTGTAATCCATTAATATTTTACCTGCAAATGTTCCACCATAAATTGATTCTCCACCCGTACCATTACCCACTGAAAAGTCACCACCCTGGATCATGAAATCCTTAACTACTCTGTGAAAAACTATCCCTATGTAATGTAATGGCTTTCCAGTTGTTTTCCCTAATCCCTTTTCTCCAGTGCAAAGAGCACGAAAATTTTCAGATGTTATTGGACAAACATCGGAATAAAGCTCAAAGATTACACGCCCCATTGGAAGTCCTCCCACCTCTATATCAAAAAATACTCTTGGATTGATTTTTGCCATAGTTATCTGTTTTATATGCTGTCTGAAAATAGAAAAATATTAAATGTGACAGAAATTCATAATATGCATATAGTATATGATTTGAAGTAATAATAATAATTAATGACTATAAAGTATAACAATTAGAATGATACCAGCTGCACAAATAATTGTGAGACACGAATATTTTCAATAATACTTCACATGAATTTTGATATACGAGTATGGACAAGATAACAATTTACTCACTAGATGTGCTAACAGGAACAAATTATGCTATAAGGTAGCAACACTCTGCCCTAATGTCCAGAAATCAATTATCAAACTCCTACTTCTCTAATGCACATTAAATATTACGTTTATTATCAGCAAAAGCTTAGAAAGCTTAGAACACCGAAACCGTTTACCTCAGGTTAGACTTACTTTTTTAGTGTTCCCAAAATCATAGAAAATGCCTGCCTGATTCATGCAAATTTAGAGGCTGGGAACGAGACTTGATGATTAGTAAGTGAAGTTTAGACACTACTTAATCGATATATTAGCTGTAGAATATTTAATAATTCATCATTTTTCTATATTATGAGGTTTATATTATTGAAATTGATGATTTTGAAATTATAACAATAGTTTTAATATATCCGAGTGATTTGTGAATAGAGCTTAATTTGATGTGGCATGAAATAAACAATTTATCGAGAACTATCCATATTCCCGTTTCTAGTCAACAAAATGATGATTTTGGTATCACAAGTATTATCACGCCTTAACCTTAAGTTCTTTGTACCTTTAAATTAAATTTTAAAGTTGTAGGAATTTTTCAAAAATGCCGACCATCGGTGTAAAGCGAGATTTGCTTTTCAAAGCACTAGGAAAAGTATACAGTAAGAGATGATGATTAGTTGTTGTGCCTTAAATGCATGTTTTATATTTCCAGCATTGCTCTTAGTACCATATTGTCTATTTAATATTTAAAATTACAATAAAAATATAACATTTTAATATATATATATAATTTCAGCCGATGATGAATTTCAAAGTTTGTGTTTTCAATATGGATTGGAGCTAGATGAAGTGGTAAGAAATATTGGATCTATGGATTTGTATTCTATTTGTTAATCTTAATCAAGTAATTTATCATATTTGATACTCTACAGAGAATAGGCAATACTTCATATTATGTATTCATTATTCTTTAGACGACAGAAAAGCAAATGATCGCTAAAGAACAAGGATCGGAGCAAAGTATTGGTGCGTCAGAGGAAATAATCTATAGAATAGATATTCCAGCCAATCGATATGATCTACTGTGTTTGGAGGGCCTTGTTATTGGACTTCTCGTATTTGAGAACAAGTATTATAATTCCTTAATAATTTCACGGTTTCTCTATACAATTAGCAAAAGGGATGGAGTGATTTAAGATGTATCATTTTTATTTCAGAATACCGTTACCTCATTATATGGCAATAACTCCAAAAGCAGGAATACAACAAATTATCATAACAAAAAATGTATGTGTATAATTTCATTATTTCAGTGACGAATGATAAGATATAGACTTTTAACATTATTTTTACAGTGTGCTTCTGTTAGAGAACATATAGTTGGTGCTGTTCTACGTAATGTTACATTAACAAAAGATTCATATAACAGTTTCATTGATCTACAAGACAAGCTGCATCAAAATATATGTAGAAAACGTACTCTCGTATCAATTGGTACCCACGATTTAGATACAATTCATGGTCCATTTACTTATGATGCTATGCCACCGAAAGATGTCTTTTTCAAACCTCTTAATCAGGAAAAAGAATATACTGGTGAACAAATCATGGATCTATATGCTGTAAGTTTTTTCCCACTGATCCTGCTATATTTATTCAAAACTATTAGTATAATTAATACATGTTTCTCTTCCAGAATCATGCCCAGCTGAAGCAGTATTTACATATTATAAAGAATAGCCCATTTTATCCAGTGGTATATGATGCTAATGGTGTGGTTTTATCACTACCTCCGATTATTAATGGAGATCATTCAAAAATTACACTGAACACAAAGAATATTTTTATAGAATGTACTGCAACGGATCTCACAAAGGTAATAATCTATAGATATAATATTCTTTGAAAGTCACTTTCACTGTAAATGTTAAGAAAGTTCTAGATATAAAAATCCATCCCAGTTTCACTGTTATAATTTTAGGCAAAGATTGTTTTGGATAATTTAGTATGCGCATTCAGCCAGTATTGCAGTAAGAAATTTACGGTCGAATCCGTAGAAGTTGTTTATCCAAACAACAAGATATACATCTATCCAGAATTGAAGTATCGTACGGAAGAAATTAGTAGCAATAAAGCAGCTGGTTACATTGGAATAACGTAAGGACAATCTAACAAATAATCCACTGTAGTTACGGTAATAGAACATTAATAAGATTCGAAGAATTTAGAAGTATTGAAACTGCCTTAAATGAACATTACCAGTACAAGATACAAAATGCTGATTTGAGATGAGTCTATAACATGAATTACATCAATTAGTTTCTTTATGTGATACGTTCCTTGTTTGGAATGTTTACGATATACTATATAATAATGAACAACAGATCCCAATCCAGTATCACTAATTCAGGCAAACTCCAGAACAAGTGGCAAATTTACTTTCAAAAATGTGCCTCAAAACAGAGGTCAAAGGCCAGGATCGACTGCTGGTCCAGGTGCCTCCGACAAGGCACGATGTAATACACGCGTGTGACATCTATGAAGATATTGCTATTGCATATGGGTATAATAAAATAGAGAAAACTGTCCCACGCACGCCAACAATAGCTGAGGAGGTATTTACGCAATTTTTCTAAATAATATTACCTCGTGATGATCAAAGGGTGCATCGAGGAATCTATATATTTCATTGTAGTGTCCACTCAACAAGCTGTCTGACCAGCTACGCGAGGAGTTGGCACATGCTGGTTTCACAGAGGCATTAACTTTTTCATTGGTATGGCAAACATCCAACTAGTTCATCTGTGCTAATACATCCAATTCTACAGTGTTGCAATTAAGAATATTGTTTTAGTGTTCCCGCGAAGATGTTGCCGACAAGCTGGGTCATGACATTAAAAATGAACCTGCTGTACACATTTCAAATCCAAAGACTCTCGAATTTCAGGTAAATAAAATAGTTATCATATATAAATTGTCAAGTGTTAAACGAAAGCATTATCTGGACTGAGTCATTCTAGGTAGCACGTACAACACTTTTATCGGGTCTTCTGAAAACTATAGCAGCCAATAAGAAGATGCCTCTACCACAAAAATTGTTTGAAGTTTCCGATGTCGTATTACGCGATCCTACTGCTGATGTCGGTGCACGTAACGAAAGGCGTATCTGTGCTGTGAACTGCAATAAATCTGCAGGATTCGAAGTCATTCATGGTCTTTTGGATAGATTAATGCAATTACTTGAAGTACCTTGGAGTTCCAATAAGGACAACGAAGGTTATTATCTTCAACCAGCCGAAGGTAAGATATATACAGTAATGAACGTTATTCTTAAAAGCACAAGAATGATAAATTTTCATTATCTTTGCAGATCCCACTTATTTTCCACAGCGTTGCGCAGATATAGTAGTATTTGGAGAAGTGATTGGAAAGATGGGTGTATTGCATCCAAATGTGATTAATAAGTTTGAATTGCATTTACCGTGTTCTGCTCTGGAAATAAATATCGAGCGTTTGTTAGAATAAGGATGCTTTTCATAGCACCTCTGAATAAATCATATTTATTAAAGGCAAATTTACACCATCTGTAAACTTTTGTATCAAATTCAATAACTAAATAGTTAAATTTATTTCTTAATAATATACCAGTTATAAATAGTATTTCGAATATTTAAAGAAATCAAGGAAAATCCTGAAAGATAATAACAAATATGTTACTACAGTATTCTAATTTTTAACAAAACATCTCAAATATTTGCATTCACATTGTTTTCCTATTACCTAACGCATAAACTTTACTCCTAATACATTTCCATTTTTAAAATAGCTCGCCAGTCTCATCAACAAATGAGTATTCTAGACGGAATCGATCGAAAGATCGTAGTTCAATGTACACGTAGTGCACAATGAGATCGCAACAACTTTCGTCACCTCCTCGGAAACAAAGTCAAATTTGCATCCATATTATTGTCCATGACACAAGCATGAAAATTCAGTATTTCAAAGCGAGGCGCGAGGCGCATGAAAATTTCTGGAAAACGATAGAAGCGTTGTTGGGTAGAAGAAAGAAAGTTATAGCTCGAACATGACTAGACGAATGAATAATCGAAAAATTGAAGGAGAAGCAAAGGAAAGACCTTTAGAGCAGAGTAGAATGATAACAGCATTAACGAAGGATATAATTTCGGGAGAATAAAATTCAAATCTGCGAATAATATTTGCGCAGAGAGTATGGATCGCGCGGAGAGTATAGTTGAAGTTACGCGCCAACAGATAGCGACTGCGGTGAATCTTTCGAATGGCCGAGGAGGCATCCGGGACTCTCGCCGTCGGCCATAGTAGACATGGCGGGTGTTAGCTTACGTGAATGACGGCGATTGTGATAGAGATATTGCCGAAAATCAGTGTTCTATGTGTATTTCGCGGCACGGTAACGCTCGATTGGTGTCATATGATTCATCCGGAAGGTAAAAATGCAGAATGTAGCACAAGGAACAACCTCGGATAGCCAGAAGCACGAAAAAGCAAGCGTTCACCAGCACGACATTGGGAAAACGTCGTCGACTCCCCAGTCCTCGAACTCCAGCCCCACGAAGTCAGAGACCGAGACCTTCTCAGAGCTGCAGCCCCGCTTTATGACAGACTCGTCGGAGAGTGAGGAGGACAGCGTTTCAGAGGTAAACGGAACTTGCTGCTCGCCCCCGTGCCCAAGAGAAAGAGTGTCTTTATAGCAGCCCGTGAATCGCAAGCACGAGCCCTCGCATCCGACTTTGTGTTTGCCTACTTGTCTTCCTGTTTGCCTGCCTTTGCCACTGAGTCAGACAGTCTTTATAAAAAAATTCGCGAATGCGCTGAAACTATAGGTCATCCTTAGAACAAAGTGAATCCTTGCGTCGCGAACCTTCCCGTTGCTCTAGAGTACGCCTCTTGGCGTAGTTCGAGGATAGGTGGCGAGGCCTTGTCACCAACCTCGCGAAAGGGATTCGCTAAAACGGGCCACGAGTACGACGATTAGCCGTATTTCTTCTTTTTAGAGTCGCGATATATCTGCCAACAAGACAACGTCCCTCCTTGATCCAAGTGATATTTGCGCAGTGCGTCGTTGATACTCGCGAACCATCGAAACTTTGTCCCCATCGTTATACCAAGAGCAAATCTTCCCATTCACTTTAGGAGTGAATACCCCACCAGGGTAGATATGCGCGTAGCGCGGAGTGCGAGAAGTCAGGTTGCTGTCTCCGCTCTCCGTGACTAGTTGAGTTCGCATGGCCCTATAACATCACCACCAAACGGGACGCCCTTCCTTCTTATTACTCATTGCGCCTGATATATTTAACGAAAAAAAGCCCAAGGGAATTTCGCGCAGGGAACGTTATATAACCGGGATATATGCGTTAATAGCCAGTAGCGAGACGTCAGTGGAGTATGTATGTGCACAGCACCGCTGCAAGTGTCCCCCATCTTCTACCGAACTATGTACGGCGCACGTTATTTTTTCCTTTCTTTTCTTCTTCTTTCTCGCCATCTCTCAGCTTGTTTTTTATCTCTCTCTCTTTCTTTCTCTTTCGCACTCTTACTACATCCATTCTTCTTCCATTTTTCCTCAATTCCTCTACTTTTCTCAATTCAATTTTTGTTCCCTCTCCTTAGCATTGTATCCCGAAAACTCCGTGTACTTCTGCAGACAAATCTCAGTGTACCAGGACCCAGTTTCCTTGCCGTTAGCATCTCCATAGTCTTGCATCAAGTTCTGAACGCCACACACCTCACCTCTTTATCATCGCATATGAGCACGCCCATGCTTCTCAGTAGTCGACGACGTCGTTGAATGTCGTCGCCGTTTGTAAACGTGCTCGACCGGACACGTGTGTCTGTGCCTTTGTACCCGAGCGCAAGAGAGAGAGAATGAGAGGATGGGCTGTACGCATCGCAAGCATGAGAGCGTATCTGTACAGCAGCAATACTAGCGTGCGGCTAAGTCGGGGGGATAGATATGCGCCTGTGAAACGAGTCCCCGTTCAGCGTGAGAAATATAAGTGTATCCATTGGTGTCGGTTCTCTTTTCCCTGTAGCCGTGCGGTGCGCCACCGAGCGGATCTCATCGACGTCTGTAGAGAGAAGAGTGTATTTGATGTACCAGTGTACACTGCCATGCACTAGTGTACACTGGAGTGTAATAGTATTGTACATACTACTCGTGCACGTTCTTCGACGTCGTCGTCGTCGTGGTCGTGTCGTCGTCCGACGTCGACGTGGGGCCCATGCGTGTAAGTCTGCGTGGAAACCGTGAACGGAGCCACCATATTATTTGATATTGTACTGTGTAGCCAGCGAGCTCCTTAAGGTCTTACGGAATTTAAATTTAAGGACTTTGCAAGGATCGTCCAGAATAAGCGTATCCTATCCTGAGCGAACTGACACGCGATCCTTGTCTTACGTTCGGGTAGATGAAGGGCTTATTTTTCTCTTGTCCGATAGGTACGCGACCAATAACGAGGGAAGTGTCAGTTTCATCCAACTTGGAATGGCTGCACATTGTTCAAGCTCTGTGTTTCTAGCTGGCAGCCACAGCACCATTTGCTAGACGAGATACTACACTTTCACCTGTGTTGCACCTTAACATCAGCCGTGCCCCGTTGCTTATTCCGTTATTGTGCGAAAATAATGCTAGGGACTTCGACGTTTATACGTACTCTGTGCTTGACTGACGTTTTTCATCAGTATTTCGTGACGACTATTTGCTTGGGGTGAGGCTGCATCTCAGGACAGTTTATAGTGCACTTTGCGTACGTACGTTGTAATTGCCTCGGAATGAAGATTGTGCGGATATTTGAATTCGAAGTTACATTGTCTCTTTGTTAGCAATCGGAATTGTTTTACTTATTCGAGAATCGTCTTCGTTCTTGCGCTGGTAGGCATAACCTCAATTTTGGCGTTGCAACTTTATAACAAGGCGTCCGTTCACTGCCGTACGATGTTGTGTGCTTGATTATCAAATTATTTTTTCTCAAAAACAATGTACTGTGTTTATGTGTGACGGATGTTAATAAATAATAGTTTTTGTAGACTTGCACTACATAATATTCTCATATTTAAGCTGATTTCAGGGTATGAGACTTGATAAATTCTTAATTGATAAAACACATCAGAGACATTGTCTTTTATTTGTTTTTTACTTACTACATTCTTTTGTGGCTTTTTCAAATACTTTTTTATATTTTTGAATGATCAGTTCAAGTGTGGCTAATGGACACTTATGCTTCGTGATACTGTACGCTGCTCAAATATTTCAGTATTTCCTGGTGATCGTATCCTTCTTCACGTTTTATGAAATATGTGGCTTTAATTACTGATTTTGTCAACAAAATATTATTCTAAGGGAAGAAAACATTTTTTTTCTTGATTCTATGTTGATTCATATATTAATGGAGTACAAGGATGTTCTTTTTGTGTTATATTCAGTGATAGAGGTGCACGATGTCAAATTTAAATTATTAAAAATTGGCATTTTAGATTTCACATTAACCAATGCTTCGCAATTTGAAAATTACTGTTACTTTAATTTAAATATCCATATAATAAGTACCATTTATTATATTAAAAACTATAATGAGCAAGCTGTGATCAACAGTAGATTCCAACCTTACCTCTTATTACAAATGATCTAAGCAACATCAATTTACAAATATTTCACTGGAAAGGATTAAATCTTTAAACTTACTCGACTAACCTCAAAATTATGAATGAGCCATTTACAGCTATCAAATCCTAATTTAATTTGAATAATAAATGCGTGGTATCGTATCTTACTAGTATATTCTTCAGTACTAATGTCTGAATTACAGGTGGAGTGTTTTGCAATCGATCAAGCCGAGTTGGACGAGGATCATCATCCTGAGAACTCCAAATTTCTATTGACCTCGGAAGACCCGGAGCGATCGGTGGATCCCGAAACTCAGGCGCGCTTAGAGGCTCTTCTTGAAGCGGCTGGTATCGGCAAGTTGTCATCCGGTGATGGGAAGCACCTGGCCGATCACGAGGTGCTTCGTCGCTTGACGTCCAGCGTGTCCTGTGCTTTGGATGAGGCAGCAGCTGCGTTGACCCGTATGCGAAGCGATAACCCAAGAAGTCAGAACGAAAAGCGTTCCCTCGTGGAGGCTTGCACCGACGGCGACGTTGGTACTGTCAGGAAGCTCCTGACTGAAGGACGTAGTGTTCACGAAACCACCGAAGAAGGAGAGAGTTTGCTCTCTCTTGCTTGTTCAGCTGGCTATTACGAGCTCGCACAGGTTTGTCAGCAGTGTTGAAAAATACCTATGTTGAAAAACGAAAAAACGAATTACAAAACATTCATTGTTTCCCGAACTTGACAATATTTGGGATACACCTATCATTTATGAAGTTTCATTATTTCATTTCATATCGCCGGATAAAGATTAATATTTTTAGGTTCTTTGAGATCTAATAAGGAAAAGTTTATTTGAAGCTACAATTACCAACACATACATGGCTTCCGTCTTTATCAGGGTTATGCAAAGCATAGATTTTACTATTGTGGATTGTAGAATTATCTGGTTATATTTCTTTGTGTCAAAGAAAAAATATTACCGTCGCAAAGAGCTGGGTATTTTTTTAAACAATAAATTTATATGCGTTGCGTTTAATCGATGCCAACAGAATCACCAAATATAGATTAATCCAGCCGAAAACCAGCTGCAACTTCTTTCTGGATTACTTAAACAAACTTCTCAAATTACGCTATGATCATTGTCAACGGTATTTTTGAGTTATCTCCGAGTATGTCAAAACAGCTGGTTATATTATCTATCAGTTCCATTACTGTACACATTGGCCATGCTTCTTTCCTTTTTTGAATCATGTCTCTTGTTAATTATTATTCACTCCTATCAAACGAAGATCATAGTTTATGTTAAGCTAGCAAGGAATCGCTGAAAGGATATTAAAAAGAATTAGTATAAAATATTTATAATCAAATCGCGCTGTGTCAACCGCGAAATTTACGCATCTCGATTTCGATAAGTATCATCATAAAATGATCAATAAGTTTCCATCTGCGCGATACAAAAGTTTGACAGCTGTCAGCTGATATAGTTTTTTTTTTTCGTTTACATTTAAATGTCCATAAGACACTATTCAAAGTAACAACCTCAATCGCGTTATTTCATTGAATACAGGTTCTTCTGGCAATGAGTGCCAACGTGGAAGACCGTGGCATCAAAGGGGATTGTACCCCTTTGATGGAGGCTGCCAGTGCAGGCCATGTGGACATTGTAAGCTTACTTATAGCACACGGAGCTGATGTTAACGCTCAATCTACGTCAGGTAAGCGATGACGTACATGCAACGTCCAGACTCCCGAAGAGTCAAACCTAGAACATCTACTAGAAATACTATGAATTATTGCAGGTAATACTCCTCTGATGTACGGGTGCGCTGGTGGTCATGAAGAAGTTGTCAGGGTACTTTTGGAAGCTGGTGCTAACGTAGAAGACCACAATGAGAATGGTCATACGCCATTGATGGAAGCGGCCAGTGCTGGACACGTTCCTGTGGCTAAAATCTTATTGGAGCATGGCGCTGGCATTAATACTCATTCCAATGAATTCAAGGAGTCTGCTTTAACGTTGGCCTGCTATAAAGGTCATTTGGATATGGTACGATTTTTATTGGAAGCCGGCGCAGATCAGGTAACACATCCCGACATACATTAATAGTCCTCGGTAACTTCTTAGTAACTCGCTCGACATTTACCTTGACTTATTAGTACGTTTTCCCCGTGTAGGAGCATAAAACTGATGAGATGCACACAGCACTCATGGAAGCGTCTATGGATGGTCATGTAGAAGTTGCCCGGTTACTATTGGACTCTGGTGCGCATGTTAATATGCCAACGGATAGCTTTGAATCGCCGTTGACACTGGCAGCGTGCGGAGGCCATGTAGATCTGGCGATGCTTCTCATTGAAAGAGGAGCTAATATTGAGGAGGTCAATGATGAAGGTTACACCCCCTTGATGGAAGCGGCAAGGGAAGGTCACGAAGAGATGGTTGCTTTACTTTTGAGTCAAGGTAATCTTTTAGTATTTCATTTTTGTATGGGGTTGTCATAATTTTAAAAATCCTGTTTGATGCGATAACTATAAGGCTTTGTGTGCTTCAGGGGCGATCATCAATGCCCAAACGGAGGAGACTCAAGAGACAGCTCTCACGTTGGCTTGCTGTGGAGGTTTCCTAGAAGTTGCAGACTTCCTGATAAAAGCAGGAGCGGACATTGAAATGGGTGCCTCCACACCTCTCATGGAAGCAGCCCAAGAAGGACATTTAGATCTTGTTCGATATTTACTTGAGTCCGCGGCCGACGTCCATGCCCAGACTCAAACTGGTGATACGGCTTTAACATATGCTTGCGAGAATGGCCATACAGATGTCGCCGATCTTCTCCTGCAATTTGGCGCAGACCTGGTATGTAATTTCTAATGTATTTTTATATGAATATTTTTATTTTGATTTACAAGCAGAGATTAATGGATGTTGGTTATTTCTTATTACAGGAGCACGAGTCGGAAGGAGGTAGAACTCCTCTGATGAAGGCTTGCAGGGCTGGTCACCTATGCACGGTACAATTTCTCATATCTAAGGATGCGGACGTCAATCGGCCGACGACAAACAATGACCATACACCTCTTTCGCTCGCCTGTGCTGGAGGACATCTCGCTGTCGTTGAACTTCTTCTTGCACAGACTGCCGATCCATTCCATAAGCTAAAGGTATATTATCGACTCACGATCTTTTGGTCGATGAGGTAAAACAAATGAGCCGCTTCTCATTTACGTTTTGAAATACTTTTAATTTGCATAGGATAACTCTACGATGCTAATAGAGGCAGCCAAGGGTGGACACACCAGTGTTGTCCAAATTTTACTAGATTATCCTCACAGCATCATGATGAGCACACCGCATAACGGTGCACCGGCGCCAATGTTGTTGCCTCAACAGCAGCAACCGCAACAACAGCAGCAGCAGCAACCACAGCAACAACAAACACAACAACAACAGAATATTGCTCATCAACAGCATGTGCCTCATCAGCAACAGCCGCCTACCCAACAACAGCAACAACAACCACCGCAGCAACAAACCACCGAACAACCCCAAACTCAAAACCTTCAACCTAAACATAACACCCAGAAATCATTGCTCAGGAAGAATCGTTCAGTTCCCATGATGCCGGATATGAGTCTAACCTCCGCTGAAGCGCAGCAGGTTCGCACGCAACCCGCGGGCGAGTCCGTCGCTACCACCAAGGATGACACGAATATCCTCGATAAAGGCAGCGGGGGTTTTACTAGCCTTTCCGAACCTAACATTAGCCTTAGCCCTGCACCAGCGCCGACACCAGCACCGGCCACCTCCGAGAGTCGGAAGAATGCTAGGCAAGAGCAGATTCTCCATAAACAACAAATTCTTGAGGAACTGCAGGTGCGTTTTTTTCGAAATCGATTTATTGACAGCTCAATCATATTAGAAATTTTGGTAAAAATAAATCATCCACTTCAATCTCACCAGCTGATCATTTGGGTGTTAATTCTTTCTAGAGGGTAGAACGCGAGCTTCAGATCAAGGGCGCGGGTCACCTGTTCTTAGGTTCTGCTGGTACGGCTACGGATTCAATTGGAATTGTGCAGCAGCAACAACAGCCGCAGCAGCAGCAACAACCGTCGCAGCAACAACTCCCGCAGCAGTTGCAACCACCCCAACAAGACTCCACGGAACCAATCACGCCATTGCCAGGCATGCTCAATATTGACCTACCTGCACAATCAGTTGAAGCTTCTCATGGTATGCTTTTACTTGCTTCTAAATTTTGTAATCTCTCGAAGCCAGCAGTGAGTGTAAGCGTTACATTTTTTTTTTCAAGGGCTAGTATGTAGTTCTCCGGACTTGCTAGAAGAACTTATGAGCTCCGAAGAGAACGAGACGAGTCCTACAGCAGCATTAATCTCTTCGCAAGTTTATGCCGCTTTTCTCGAGGGCAGGAAAATTGGTCTGCAATCGTGTTTACGAAAGGAGCAGGAGGCTTTACACCGAGGCTCTGCCATTGTAGAATCAATTACTACCGTGACTGACATTCGACCAATGACTCCACCACTCCCTCTCGCGCTCTCTTCAATTCCTGTAACGTCCGTTGTAACCCTAACCACTTCAAATACATCATCGACAACAACCCCAAGTCCTCCCAGTGTCTCGACGCCTCCGACCGTCACGACCGTATCCCAACCCATAACTGCGAGCAGTGACGTAAGTCAGAATACTGCTATAAGTGATCGGCCAAAAGCAAAGCCTGTGTCTAAGAAGGAGGGTAAGAACATTCGGAAAGCAGCATCAGGAATGGCTGGCGGCAAATTACAACAACAACAAGCAGCGTTGATAGCTGGTTTCCAACAACAGTATCAGCAGAAACAGCGACAACAAGTCTACCAGGTTCAGCAGGTCCACCACCTGCAGCAGGTCAACCAACAACTGCAACTGCAATTGGATCAGGCTCAGGTTTGTTGGAATACAACTTCTTGCTTTCTCTTCAAATTGTCTTAATTTTATTTTGTAGAATTTATCGAAAATTCAATACACAGATCATTACATTTATTGTCTGCTACGTGGGATGTTTTTACTATGTCTGTACAGGTGCAGCAACAGCAACAGCAGCAACAACAACAACAGCAACAGCAACAAGGTGCTGATGCCAGTGGGAGTGGCGGAGGTGGTATACTTGTACCCAGTCAACAAATAGCTCACACCCATTCAACCCATAATCATCGTCGACATGCGCAGGTACGATATATACAATACCTTCATAAGTTTCTGCAGACTCATATGTGGTACAATATAATACACACTTTTTTTTTTAATCTATTTTTCCTTGTTTAATACATTTGTTGCTACTCTGTTCTGTTTATTTTCAAATATTTAATCTATCATAAATAGATTTCACGAGTGTAACGCTATCCTGACTTTCCGAAAGTATTGTCTTTCTTTATCTTATAAATGTTTAGCTTATTGGCCGTTCTGAAGATCGTGCGATACTAACTATAACATTCTGGAGCAGTTAGTATGCAAGACACTAGACAGTTCGTTGAATATATTATTGTTTTAACACTTTGCACGAACATTAATTTTCAAGATAATAAATCACTTTCACTTCTGGATGTCTTCCTGTTGTGTGTAGGCACCGCTTGAAAGAAATCTTCAGGAGTTGGAGCCACGTTTGGCCATGTTTTATCTACAAGGACGTTTGGACGTTATGAAGCACCGAGCATTGGAAGAAAGTAGGCAAATTCCTATTGACGATGTTGCCGAAATTTTTGAGTCTATTAGTTTTGATGATGTATCTAATGGTAAATGTATAATCTTACAGAATTTGAAGTATATCGAATATTGAAAATATCTGTATTACGGTCGATGGGTTCATTGTATGTAACTTCTTGTTTTTTTTTTACATTTACCAGTAGCCGAAAATCAAGAAAAGCTCGAAATGAAAAAATTGGAAGTGTCTGGTAGTAAAGAGCAACAACCACAGCAGCAACAACAACAACAGCAGCAGCAGCAGCTTCCGCCACATCATCAACAGCAACCGCAGCCACAACTACCTACACAGCAGCAGCAACCGCCCCAGCCACAACCGCAACAGCAACAGCAGCCTCAGCCTCAGCCTCAGCTTCAGGCTCAGGTTCAGGTTCAGCCTCCGCCGCCGTCCCAACAACAGGACCCAACACCGCAGCAACAGCAGCAGCAGCTACTGCAACAACAATCTGGCCAGGTAATTTAGCGTACTGATTTGATTTCAATTATCTAGAGTATCTTTCTTTGAGCTATCAAACTCGATTTCTTATACCCGTACGCATAATTGTATAACCTCAGGTAACTAGTGCGGGTGTACAAATTCAAACGGACATATCCGGAGGCTTACAGCCAGCAAGTAGGCAGGCCATACAAGATCAAATATTGAACGAACGAATGATGGAATTTCAGCAAGGTTTTCGAGTTGCGCAAAGTATTTGCAGTGGTCTTTTCCAGCCGCAACTGCTTTCACAGCCTTCTCAATTGGGTTAGTACCATTACTTTTATATAAAGTTAAAAAAAAATGTTTAAATTAAAAATTCCTGAGGGAACTAACAAGTTGCTTCATATCCGTTGTCTTCTTTCTTCAGCATTTCCGGCTCAAACATTACCAGCTGTTACGGAAGCTACTGAAGTAATAGACACTCTACCTCAACCTTCCAATGGCTATGCCCAGTCCACTGCATGCAGTACCCATCAGGTCCAAGTAGCAACTCAGACTCAAGCGCCGGCAGCAACAGTTGCTGCCTCCATAGTAGCACCTGATAAGAAACAAGTATGTACCGCACCACCTGCTGGGAAAGGAAAGAAATCGAGGTATCCTCTGCTTTCCCAGCAGCAATCTTGTCAACAGCAAACAACTTCCACTGCCCAGCAACAGGGGGCTAATTTCCCAGCCCAAAATTATCAACTGGATCCAGCTGCAGGTAAGTTAACCTTACGCCGTAGTAGCAATTAATGTATCGGCCTTTGATACGAGTTGCTATATGATATTCACATTAAATAGAGGATAGAATCAAAAATTCCTTCGAGGCATACCATTCTCATTCGAAATTTATTTTATCTTAGTTGCTGGTCAATATACAACCGGTGTTTCGACAGTTGGAGCTTATGCAGCAAATCAAGTTCCACCAGCTCCATTTTCCTGCATGGATGTTGACTCCGAGACGGATAGTAATCATGACACTGCCCTAACATTGGCATGTGCCGGTGGCCACGAGGAACTCGTCGAGCTTCTCCTGAGTCGCGGTGCTGATATCGGTAAGTACAGTATACCTAGGCCTATATCTTTTTGATCAATTACAAATATGCTGTTTCACATCCTCGTTCACAGAGCACAGAGATAAGAAAGGTTTTACCCCGCTGATTCTGGCGGCAACAGCCGGACATCAGAAAGTCGTGGAGATACTTCTTAATCATGGTGCCGATATCGAAGCACAATCTGAGCGCACGAAGGATACGCCCTTATCCCTTGCATGCAGCGGAGGAAGGTACGAAGTAGTGGAGCTATTACTTAACAGAGGTGCAAACAAGGAACATCGGAATGTCTCCGATTATACTCCACTGAGTCTGGCAGCATCCGGTGGCTACGTCAACATCATAAAGCTATTGCTTAGCCATGGCGCTGAGATTAATTCCCGAACTGGTTCCAAATTGGGCATCTCTCCCCTCATGCTCGCCGCCATGAACGGCCATACCGGTAAGAGACTGATTCTATTCCAATATCTCTAGGGATTGTTCTCAAATTACGAACAGACTTACGAACGTGCTTGTCATACGTCTCAATCGCATTCTTTATATTTTAGCCGCAGTTAAATTGTTGCTGGATATGGGTAGTGACATCAATGCACAGATTGAAACGAACCGCAACACTGCGCTGACCCTCGCATGTTTCCAAGGCAGGCACGAGGTCGTCAGTCTTTTACTCGACCGCAAAGCCAACGTAGAACATCGAGCTAAGGTATGAAATTTTTTCTGTTTTAACATCAATGTAGATCACGTCTCTCTTTTTTCTTATAGAAGTCACGGTATCATTTGCCTAATACTCCCATTGACTTCTTATTCGTGTAGACGGGGCTGACACCTTTGATGGAGGCTGCTAGCGGTGGTTACGTCGAGGTAGGACGAGTATTACTTACCAAAGGTGCGGATGTCAACGCTACACCTGTTCCTTCATCCCGAGACACTGCCCTCACCATTGCTGCCGATAAGGGCCACTGCCGTTTTGTAGAGTTGCTACTGTCAAGGTAAGGACTCGAGCTTATTAGGGCTATAAGTTAGGTAGAGCCACCATAATTGATATTTAACTTGGCTTTCAGGGGTACGCAAGTTGAAGTGAAGAACAAGAAAGGGAATAGTCCACTGTGGCTAGCCGCTAATGGAGGTCACCTTAATGTTGTGGATTTACTATATCATGCTGGCGCGGATATTGATTCGCAAGATAATCGAAAGGTTTGATTATACGTGCTTCTCTTTCTATGTTCTATTGCTCGATCCATTACGTGATCCTAACTGAGAACGAATAATTGTTTCTACCTTTTTAAGTACATTTTGATTGTTTTCTCATTTTTAAATTTTATTACAGGTGTCTTGCTTGATGGCTGCATTTCGCAAGGGTCATATAAAGGTTGTCAAGTGGATGGTGAATCATGTAACGCAATTCCCAAGCGATCAAGAAATGACCAGGTACATAGCCACCGTCAGCGATAAAGAACTCCTGGAGAAGTGTCACGAGTGCGTTAAAATAATAAGGGCAGCCAAGGAGACTCAGGCCGCCAAGGCGAATAAGAATGCAACGATACTTTTGGAAGAATTAGACATGGAGAAGACAAGAGAGGAATCGAAGAAGGCGGCAGCTGCGCGACGACGTGAGCGCAAGAAAAAGAAGAAACTCGAGAAGAAGGAGGAGAAACGAAAACTCCACGAGGAAACGAAGAAATACGAAACGATCTACGAGGATAAGGAAGAAAACGGTAAGAAGTCTGGTGACGAAGATGACGACAGAGGAGACGACAGCGAGCAAGAGGCTGGGGACAATTTAGAGAAAATGGAGAATGCACCATCTCCGGTGAATAGAAGTCCCGAGGATCTTGACAAGGAGGAAGGCGACAGCGGTATCGATGCTAACAGCCAGGGTAGCTGCAGTAGCAACGACGTCAAGACTCGTGAGAAAAAGAAAGAAAAGAAAAAGAAGAAAAGTAGTAGTCCAAGCAACAACGAAAAAGAAACATCTCCTCATCGATCACCAAAAGCGGTATTAACGCCCAGTTCGAATTTATCTCAAAGTACGACGGTCACTGCTACTAAATCGCAGAACACCAGCACCGAGAAGTAAGTGAATTCTCTCAAGTTTTTTTTTTGTCTATCTATCAGTCGGTGACGATAATTTATAATGCTTGTTCATCCTCACCTATCTTCTCTAGGAGAACGTTATCCAACGTTACCAATACGGTGTCCACCTCTTCGAGCTCCTCTGTCTCGAGCACTAGAGCAGCTACCGCAGCGGCAGTCAGCTCTAGCGAACGGAAACATAAGGGGCAGCTAGTTTTTGAATCGTCGAGGCATCCTGCAGACAGGGAAGACTTCGAGGCTACCGGTAACGAGACGTATATGCCTGGCAAGGGAAAGAAATCATACAGCAATCAATACGATAGCGATTCGTTAAATACATCTGTGAAATCAAACAGTTCTACAAGTCCAAAGCAAGGTGGAAAACGCGAAGAAGGCTGGAAGGAAGTAGTGCGAAAGTAAGAATTCTTAATACTAAATTTTTTGTGTGTTTACTGTATTACTTGCTGTCTAGCTCATTGCTGATGGATAAGGTGTGGTTGTGTGGAATGATTGATGATTAATTAATCGAGCCAATTCTTTCATGCACCACTTTGCGGCATTGAAAAATATTCACGTGCACCTCATAACACTTTTCATTAATCTGGCGATAGTACTGTCATGTGAATCATTATTATTACTTTAAAGAAATTATGAAAAAACTAAACTGATCTATTTACATTTCACTAGGGGCCAATCCGATGATTCAGGCAGGTTCATGAACTCACCATTCCGTTCAAAGAAAGTGTCAGTACCACCGAATGCTATCAGTCGAGTCATTGGCAGGGGTGGCAGTAACATAAATGCTATACGCGGAGCAACTGGTGCGCATATCGAGGTGGAGAAGCAAAGTAAATGCCAGGGTGAAAGAATTATCACGATAAAGTACGTACAATCTTGATTTTACATAAGATAAAGTGCTTTGTTCTCAACGAAATTCTTGGATCTTCGTCCTGTGAATCTTGAATACAGCTTCTGCTTTAAGGATCGCTAATAATAAACATAAAAGCACTTTCTCGTTTCCTATATTTCGTGTATATTACTTTTGCAGAGGGTCATCCGATGCTACCAGACAAGCTCACACGCTCATAGCTGCTCTCATCAAAGATCCTGATGTTGATATTCTCCAAATGCTTCCGAAATCAAAGCTACCCGTTGTTACAAACTCATCCTGGGACAAAGCTATCCCGACTATCGCCGTAAGTTATCTACAGTGTAATTGTAAGATCTTCTGTTCTTGTTTTTCATGTTCATCGTCTTTTCTTTCCTCCTCTGGTTGACCTCATAGAAACGCTTGTTACATGAGCATCAAATTATATGTCCTCAGGCAACGAAGGCGAAGGTGGGATCAGTAAATAAACCACCTAGTCTGGTGTCCAGTGCCACAGGCTCACAAGTCAACAAATCTGGATACACTTCAGGAATTTCATCGATGGGTCAACTGGTGCCTATCCGTTCCTCAGCTACAGTGAAAATCACTGGCGCTTATCCGGCACCTCTGCCACGAGCTACTGCCCCAAGACTAGTTGCCGCTGGTAAGAAACTATACAAAACTATAATGAAATTGAATACACTTTGTTAAAATTATTTTTTCAATGATCTTACATGACCAGTATTATTATTAGAGATAAATCAAGATTTTCTCCCTGTCATTCGTTAAGAGTACTGTTGCATATTTTAAACGCACAAGTTTCTATCGAAAAACGTAATAGAGACGCGTTGAGAGAATGGACAAAATTTTTATTTCACGTCATTATCGTTAAGAAATGATACTAATGTATTTTTCTACATCATAGCCGAGAAACGAGCACAGGCAGCAGCCGCGGCCCAGATGGCTTCTGCGTCGAATACGAAAACGACAATGTCGTACACGAGCGTAATAATGACAGCGGGACGTGCGACGAAGATCGTCTCCACGAGCACGACCCAGACATTCGCTGCTAAACTATCCGAGATCACTGCGTCGACTCACACCTCGACAACTGTCATGCAGTCTTCTCACTCTGCAGGAAATAAGCAAAAATCTCAAGCCAACACTGTAACTGTAATGTCATCCACGGCTCCAGCTACGCCTCAAACTTCACCCCAGCAAGCCGTGACCAGCACATCGCCAAAGCACTGCCGACCACTGCCTACCTTGTCAGCTCCGCCGACGATGCCCTCGCATTATTCTGGAAAATCAACTTACTCGCCTGGCTCGAACGGAGCGAATTCTACTATTGGTCCTGTCGTCTCGAACGGGTCTGAAAGTACTGTAGTGTCTACGTCAGCTAGTTCTGTCCGCGTGACACCCTCGCCACCAGCTGTCTCACAGCTCCCAACTATTCAGCAACAGCAGCAGCAGCAGCAACAGCACATGCGCAGCTCTACCCCTATAGCACCCGTTATGCAGGAACAGCAGCAGCAACAGTCTAGCAACACTCCCTTGGAATATTCTCTGTTTAACGATACGTTTACAAAGGTAACTCAGCAGTCGATGTGGGGTGGCCGAGAGAACGAATCTCAGAAGGGTATGAATTTCGCGACGGTGGCTGGTGGTGGTGTCTCGGTGAATACCTCTGGAGCATCGTCGAACAAGTTCATCGATAGCGTTCCCCCGCAGGTTAGTAAATTTTCCACTTTTAATTTACTGACGATTTAAGGTGCTGGACCCTACAGCGGCGTACTTATATGACTGTTTTTGATCTCGATACAGGTGGATGCCTCGAAGGCTCCTGGTTACAGAGGAACTGCCATGTGTTCCCCGGTCTCGAGTAAATCGAGTGGCACAAATAGCGCACCAGGAAGTACTATAGGTCGTGGTGTATCGCCTTCCGCGGTACATAATCCAATACAGCCACCGCAGTATCAATCATCTGTAAATTACAACGAACATCCGCTTCCCAATAAGCCACCCTCGAGCCTCGCTGTAGCACGTCCGTTGATGCCACAACAGAATATGGAAATGGGGGCTGGCATGACACCATTCAATAGGCCAGTATTTCAGGGCGATCTTAGCTCTAGAAATAACCCGGGTCATCAGCCCCACGTCATGCCGTCCACTTCCCAGCCGACGCTCGACGTCGGTCTCTTCAAGGGAAACAATAGCGGCTACGAGCATCCTAACGTTAACTCTAATCTTCTGAAAATGGTACCGAACGAAGGTCAACCTGGTCATCCTCTGTTACCTTTTCATCCTCATATACAAAATTTTGCTCAGACAATGGCACAATCGCCATCGGTCAATACGACAGTCAGTATGTCCAGACTAAATCCCAGGGCACCTGATTTCTCCAGCTCTCTTCATTTAAACAACAAACCGCAAGTGACGATGTTCAATGCTGGAACTGGTATTCATCCCAATATGTTTGCCACTGTCCCGGCACCGCCGCCATCCGCAATACAATCTAATAACTTGGCAATGGTGGGAAATTTCCCATTGGGAAAGTACCAAGCACCATCTCGCGGTACGCCTAACACTAATATCTCAACAAACGGTCAGACACGATGGCCATTCGCACCACCTCACAACAGTTATCCTCCTCATCAAGATCCTATGATGGGTCAGATCAGTTTCTCGAATCATCTGGCAACAATGACTGGTCAGCCGGGAGGTATCGATCTAATAAGCGGTTTAGAAAATGGTGGTTCACCTGCTATGTCTCCCTCGTCGTCGGCGCAGGTCGCTCAGGAAATGAATCAACTTAAAATCGAGGATCGCAAAGTCCCACGACCAATCGGCACCGAGAGGGCGTGGAAAAATTATTCAGCTGGCATGGGACCAGGTGGTGATGCGGATTCCATGAATTGGATGCTTAACAACGAAAAATTTGTTGGATCTTGGGCCAGTCTTGCACCTGGAATGGATAGACATCAAATGTATCGCTCGAATGCTTCATTTAATCGCATGTCCAATGTGGATGCTGAACTTCATCAGATGGTAGAGTCTACCTTCCAAGTAAGCTTATACTCATTACTTCTGGTAGAAATTTTATACAAATACAATTTAACAACCTCCATCGAATGTTTTTCAGGGTCATTTGGACAATCAACAACCTTACCCTAATGGAAGTGCAGCTGCGCTCTCTCTGATGCCAGGATTAGCCCTATTGCCTGGACAATTTGGATCTGCAGGATTACCGGAATTGCCTCCAAACGAATCTGCGAAAATGGAACCACCAGCGTGGGGAATGTCTGACGCCGTACCAGACAAACAACATCCGGTAAGTTTTTCAATTTGTTTTTAATCAATACAAAAACACTCAGAAACTTTTGATCTCGCTACACCGTCGTCAACCTTACTTAAATATTTTTCTAAGTAGTCTATAAGTATTCACTCTAGCACACTCCCAATATTTCTTCGTTAACACAGAAAATTAATATTGTTTTTATTTATCAAAGTAGTAGACAATCAATTATGCATAACGCCGTTAAACTCCAATAACTTCAATAATTATAATATAAAGATCGGAACAACCCTGACGGGGATCGTGAATCAGGCCACGTCTTTATCTACTAAACCTACTATATTATTATAACCTTGCTTTCAGGGATGGAATAAATGGAGCCATTAAAATGGAAGAGCCTTTCATCGACACACAGCTTTCCTCGTATTACCTTGGACGAGAATGACGAACCTGGAATACAAAAAATAGTAGTAGATGAAACTGGCATACGAAAAACCGTTGTTTCTAGACACTACATAAATTACAATACTACCTATATTCATTGACACACAGATCCATATTACTTATCATGCTAGGTGATAAGATGGTAAATCCTTACTACAATTTATTGCTATTATCTATTATACATATTCGATACCAGTAATTAATGAACACGGTGCCTGTTGATTAATGCAGGAACACCAGAGCTATGGATAATCGATTTGAGTGACGCGTTTGGTGGACGTCGACCTTACGTCATATCCGTTCTCTCTTGATCCTTTGATAGTCACACGTACCTTATCAAAGCTAATCGATAATTGATATGCTGATGATGGTGACTGTGTCATTCTGCCATTGGGATGGTCTCTACCTATCTGTCTAACTTAAATAACCTATGATACTTGCCAGACTCGTCACAATAAATTCAGATATCATAATTATGTCGCCTTTGGCTTCTCTAGTAGCGATGTTTTGCACAACAGCTCTTTAATCAGTGATTGACTGTTTCATCATGATCAGTAAAGCAACAAAAAAAAAACACGTAACCTATAAATTTCTTTCTTTTTTTTTCGACTTATTTATGTTGAGAGTACCTATTATGAAATATCTATTACTATTTGCTATAAGAATGATATAACAAAAACAATTTGAAATACTATGAATATACCATGATTATGTAAATAATTGACTTTGTCATGAAATTCCGATTACTTCCAACGCTGCGAAGGGAGACCGAAGGGGGCGAACTTTCTTTTAAGTTCGATAGACTTTTCTTCTTCCCAGCCGTCGCGATTATTACAATTGCTCCTTTCCTCCCACCGCCGCGTGCCATTTTCTTACTGATAAAAAAGAAATTCGTCTCATTCTTGTACTCTTCCATCTTTATCACGTTTTACATAAGCGTCATGGTTGCTTGACTCTCACGATTATCATCATCATTCACGCGTACGATGAAGCTGTTTATCGCTTTCTTTCCTTACTCAAGTAATATCTTTCTTCGTCAATCACACTTCTGACCAGGGTCACACAAATCACACATTTTTCCTCAGACACTGATCTCGCGTGGTAATCTCTGTTTTTCGTTAATATTTTTTTCTTTCTACTTCAACCACCTAGATAAATATTGAACTCGGGTTAACGCCGTCTACTTTGTATAACACAGCTTTACACAAATTTAACGCTAGATCCTCGAATACCAAGAAAAACTCGAAAGCAATTATTACAAGCCATCTTCGAAGGTTTCATGCTCGGCATGTAGTGTAAGCGATTCTTGTTACCGTTATTATACAATATTTCACAAGGGACGAAGTACTTGTACCCGGAGTAAGGAAGAAAGAAGTCAGACTCTAAGGTCGCGCGGATAGCTGTAAAGCCCACTAGAGGAAAAGACAAAAATGAGAGAAAGGAGATATCCTCTAAGGTCGAAAGCGATGACACGTGTATATGGGATGACGCGCAATTAATTAATTAATAAAGACGATGCCTGACGTTAAATGTTCCTCGAGATGTCTTATCGTCAATCATCCGCTGCTAAGACATACGATAACACGTTTATACTAATGTTCATCTAATGAAAAAGGGACTCCGAGGGGATGACTATACTGAAGCACACACAGATATAAATATATATAACCCATAGGGATATCTTTAACGAGTATGAAAAAAGAAAAGAAAAAACACGTTAAACGAAGCGGAAGAACAAAAGCAGAACCACCAGTCTCCTTCATTTTGTAATATCACCGTGAAAATTAGTATACAGGCGTTTGTAGTAAGTATTTTTTATGGAGAAAACAGCGAAAGAGAGAAAATGGAAAAAAAAGACAGACTTACTGAACGACGGTCACAGCGAGATACGCGTTTACGTATGGGCAAGCACACAGAACTGTTGCGAGGAGAATAGAAATAATTCTCGAAATTCGACTTTGAAGTAATCGTTGGGAAAAGTTATTGCGCAACGACGGATTGTGTTATCGATATAATATATATATTGTACCGAAAACTATTCGGGTCAATGAATAACTATTTCATTGTTAAGAGGGCAGAGCGAGCCGCCGACACAGCATATAATTTTGTGCATCCTTAGCTAGAGTACTATATATATCTATATATTTTACGTGTATATATATATATATATATATAATACTATTATGGCTATGGTGGTAATAACGTTTATTATTATATTATGGATTATTATTACAACACACGTAAATATAGAGACGATATATAGAGAAAAGAAAAAAAAAGTCTACTTTTACTGCTCTTGGCTTGAGCGGTAGTAATGAATTACTATGTACACTATGCAGTCGATTATATATATATATATACACGTATATATATATATATATATATATATATATAATGTTCATTTATATTGAACATTTGGGAATCTTGCATCAATCGCGTGGGGATTTTAGCAAGTGTTCAATGCGTATAGCGACACGACGACGCTGTAATTGAAACGGTTCCCAAATAATGTGACTCAATCTTTTTCATTTTTTTTTCATTTCACTTCGGCTCGTGGAAAATCATATACGAGCGCCCTTTGATGTGTATTCCAGGGAGCGCTTCAATTATTCTCGATATGAATGGTACATTGTTATAATTTAAAGCCTATTTTCAAATTTGATTTATGATAACTGCGATATATGATATAAAACTATTATATGACATATAACAATAAAGCAAATAAATGAATATAAATGTCGGGAGTGGATGATTCATATATGTATATATGTATTGTGTGACTATATATATATATGACTCGGAGAGACTTTTTGAAATGATTTAGGTGATTGAGGATTGTTTGCGATGAAATTACATTTCTTTATTTTACTTTCGGTGTTTGGTTTTAAGTGTGGAATTATAAGCGTGCACGCAGAGTAGGTCCATCCTTAGATTATACGCATGAATCATCATCATCGTCATTATTGATCAAAGTTGTAAGAAACAGACAATCACGAAATTATTGAGTTTTTTTTAAATTTAAGGTTGATAATCGGCCCTTTGTACTATATTTGTGAATTTTTATATCCTGGATATATCTTTGCGCTTGTCTATTGGGATGATCTTTTTTTGAGATAATTATAAGCTAGCAATGTGTCGGATATAAATAACGTACTCTTGAGTTATTCTCATTCTTAATATAGCTTGTGAGCAGTTTGAAATTCCAACGGGTCGAATAACCGGTGGAAATTTACCGCTCATCGAATTAGGACGGCGCTGAGTGACGGATTTCTTTGTTACTAAAATTCGCGTCTCTCTTTGTTGTTTGTGCTTGTTTCCGGTGGAGAGAATTGTAATATAGTCCTGGGCTCGCGCGGAAAGTTATCGACCTATGTAGAAGGTGTCAGGAGTAATTGGATTCGCAAGAAGGAGCGAGAGTTCAAATTCGCCTTTGGAACACGCCGTCGGCGATTCCTTCGGTGAACAAGTGGACATTCTCGGATGAGTGCTTTACTGCAATCCTTTCCAGATGTATGTGAACGCAGTTTTCTCCATAGGAATTTCTCCTGCGGGGCCGTCATCTGGTTGTTTATGGCACGCGATTTGCCTGCAAGGTCTCGGTCGTTGGCATTTTCCCACTTTTTGTTTCCCTATTCTCGGGTGACTTTTAGTCGTGAAATCGACATTATCTACTTGCATCTGGTTTGAATTCGCGCTTATCATTAGTACTATTTCGAATTTCCAGGTGGCGTCGAGGTAACTTTACGTTACAAAATTCTTAATATGGTGCCGTCTATCGGTGATTACTGATATTAGAGTTACTTTGGATGTTTACCGAATCGCTTTCTTGCAGTTCGAGCTTAAAGTTTGTATGCTGGCAGTTTGTTTTTGACAGCTGTCTTTGTATGAAATCTAATGGAATCGTTACTATATTTGCGGGGACGGATTTTTGCCTTTGCCTTTGTAGTGTAGTTTATTTTTTTTCGTAGATTACTTCCTACCGGTAGGAATTTATTGTTTTACGTATTGTGCTTTTGACGTAATGTTGAATCAAAATCATCCAATTTTGAACTCTATTGATACTTATATAGAACCTCTTTTGAAACGAGTGCTACAAACTCAAAGACTAGGTAAGACAGTTTTTTTTTAAATTATTAAGTCGTTTTGTGTTTAGAATTTTGTTGCTTTATTGGCTTCTAAATATTTTTGTTTTAGGAGTATGCTGTGGTACTATAGAACTGAACTCTATAAGCTCCAGCTGTGGAAAGGCTAAGGCAGATCGTTTTAATTTGTCTATACCGTATGCAGGCCAGAGTCTGAATTGGAGCATTTTATTCGATTCGCAATGTCCAGATTTAGGACCAGATTTTATGTTCAGTGATGAGACATTTTTAGCTGATCCGGATGCTGATACTTTAGCCACTCATGTTCCTAGTCTTGCTAAATGGAATCCTACCGATGCGAATTCCTTACTTAGGGTTCTCAGTGAGCTCTTTTGGTATTACAAGAAACATCAAGTATGCAAAATTTATATTATATTCAAAATTTATCATTGATAGATTGATAAAATTAATATTGTAATTGTCATATTCCTCTTTCAGATAGATCTACTTGAGAAACAAGGTGACAGATTACAATTAGAATACAGTACACTGGTTGGAGAAACAGAAATATGTGCAGAAGATGTAGAAATGATTTTATTACCATCCGGTACCAGACCAACAGAAGCACGTTTCCTTATTAGAATGGCAATGGATTTCTCTCAGTTACCAGCACGCAGCAATCAATCCAGAAATGATGCTGCTATGCTACTGGTTACCTTTCATGGTCAAGATTGGAATCACATAATCCCACAGCTTTATCTTTCAAAAAGTTTGGAGGAAGCATTTGGTGGTCCATCTGCACTTCACATACCGCCATTTCCACCAGACAAATATTTAATGGATTACGTACCAGAGGTTAAGAAATTTATAAGTGAAAAGGTATATTCAATGTCATTACGATTTCTTGATCCAAAATTTATTTGAAAAAACTACCTAATAATTTTTTTTCATAATCCAGATAAACTTTCTCGCCCTATGCTTTGAGAGGAAGAAGAGCTTTGTCACCGTATTGCTGTTACTACAACGTGGTAGCATCGTCGAATACGATGCTATAGAGTTTAGTTATATCTCTATCTTACTGGAGCACCGTGACTTTTATTTCCTGGTTCACTTCAGGCTTCCTCCTGCGTTTCCAAAGGAGCAGCCATTTATAACACTGCAATCCGTATATCACATGACATCTCAGGGTAAACTATACAGTCAAATTGTTGAAGACTTCCCATTCAGTCCTCGTTGGGAACCCCTGCAAATGGTTACCAAAGCACTGGCACATATTATAGATAACGAGGTTCAAAAGTTTCAGACAAACTCCATAAGGAGCAGCCACTTCTAATTTTTCTACTTTATGATATCAATTTATTACTTGTTACACGGTCACACTTTATACATATAAACTTTTTGATAATTCTACTGTATACGGTATTTTCTGTTTCTAATCATAATTCCTTTCCGTATCGTTTTATTCGTATTTTTCCTAGGGTGATGTAAGATGTCACCAAATGTCCAGTGAGTACAGTAATTCTGTCTTAATTTTAACTATAAAATATTATTTTCAATATCGGAGTAATCAAGAGGAGACAGAAATTTGATTCGACTTGTATTATATTACTGATCTATGTAAAGTTTGTAAATGATTTGTTTAAAAAGAAGCATAATGTATATATAACATAGGCCTTTCTCAGCTAAATCTTCATTTATTATTCAATTATATAATACGATGTCTTGAAAGGTTGTTTTGCCTAAATTTTTGTCATACGTTCCAGGAATATGTCCTTACGTAATCCGAATTTTCCCTGATGAACATTCATCATGCATATCTTACGTAGCACTATAGCTTTTACAGGTAGAGTATTTTATTCATTGAATAGAATGTTACTAATCATCTTTGTCTATTTTGGATAATTAGAAAATAAATAATTTACAACGCCTTGTGAAATATGAAAATCTTGTCATTCTCCTCTGTGCTGTGTAACAAAGTATAAAAATGATATTCAATTGTGCATCTCCTCTATGTTTGTTGGATGCATTGCAAAAGGTCTTCCTCTATAGACCTATCATGCTCTTATATACGTAAGGATGCGATGATAATGACCTGAGTATAGAATGTAATTCAATAACGATGATATATCAAGTGATAATATCCGTAATATTAATAAAAAAAAAGAAGATAGGGTATTTAATGAGTGGAGTCGATATGCATAAGGTACAATTATCATTTATAAATTTAAATTTACAAGGCTTATTATAGTATAGATTTAATTTTAATATTAAAATAAACTTACAGAGCATAACACTATATTGAATATTCAATGGCCTACATTCGACCCTTGCACTGCCAATAAAAGACAGAAAAAGAAAAACATTCGAACAGAACATCCACGTGCAATAATAAAACTTACTTTGAAAGAAGAAAACAAGAATTGTTGCTATGTGTTTACCACTCAGTAAAAGAAAAAATGGTTGTGGCAAGAATCTTGCAAAAGACTGACATGCGCATCTGCAGTCTCTGTACCTTCGAAGGATGACCAATGAAAGGGTTGAATGAGCTGCGTTACAGAAGTTGACAGTAATAATAATCAACCTTTCGATAAGTGCCCTGGCATTCGTACTTAGAAGATCTATCCCTGTTGTGTACAGTAGTATCCTATGCATTCGTACTTAAGTAACAACTAATATCTTAATGTTAAACGTTCTGCTGCAAATCGAATAATAAATCAATACGATAATCCATGAGAAATACAGCAATAAATTATATAAATGAATAAATATATATCAAAATATGCGCTCAGTATCAGATAAATCCGCCCACGTGATCGCTATTAAAGAAATCCTCCTTTATTCGACGCGTGTAGCTTTGGCTCTGTTCCTGTCGCTGTTGAACAAAAATTACTTTCAACAAACTGATACTTGTAATATGCTGATCAGGATGAACTCAGTTCGAGTTTCATACTGGGATCCTCGAGCACCGGAAACAGCAACTCATTCTTAATTTCCACGGCTTCCGCGTCGGATAGTTTTAGGAACTTGATCACTTTGTCGGTAGCCGCTATTCCGCAGCTGCTTACTTCGTTCTGTGGTAGAGGTAACGCGGATACAATTATGATTACGTATAATGCCAATGACATTAAATATTCTAACTTTATGTATATCAAAGGTATAATTACCGATGCTGTTAAATTCATAAAATTGAAAAACTTTTGCAGTACAGTCACCATCGTGGCGAAAGTGTTGTCTGGAAGTCTGTTGCGAACCAAAGACTCGTAATCCTACAAGATCATTAAATGGCATCATTGACTTTGATTACATTATTAATAAATAATAAATGTCTTATATATACCTTGTTATCCATAACTAAGTAACCCAGTAAAAGCACTACGTATGCACCTATCAAAGTGTGTTCCATATGCCGACCTGCTTTCTGCAATACTAAAGTCCAGAGAATTGAGTATACTTTTGTAATAAAATTATTATTCATATATTCCATATAATATTTTAATAATCAATACGTACACTTTGTAACAGTTTCCTCGATAAATTCCTCTTGAGACTTAGTAGTCGTCGACACCGTTTCTGTTTGCTCAGAATCTTTTTTGCCGTCAAGAATGGCGTCGGTTTTTTGTTCCTCAGCACGCGCAAGCTCCTCTTGTTTGTAAAAGAGATCGATAAGGGCCTCCACGCCACTCTCACCAGAGACTGTAATAATATTATGAGAATGTTGATGCAACGAAGCATAAAACAATTATAGAGTAGGATAAAATCAATAATCCACTTACTGTCAAATACATTTTCCGGCGACGGTGGCGCCTTGGATTCAATGAGAAGCTTTTTATTATCGTCACACTGCTCCACCAGATTTATCAAAAGAATCAGAGCCAGCATCATCATATCGAATCGTTTCTCCTCCGGAAGAGAGTCTGGCACACGTAACAAAAGATATAAACTGCATTCCACGACACCAGCCTGAGACCCAACTGCTTGGCTACCAAAGGCTATAAAAGAATCATTTAATAAATTAGAAATCAAATTTATGTCATGGCTAATGCTACAGCAGCGGTTATAAAACAGTAATGGCCATACATTGCCTATTAAATCGATGCGTCAGATTTATGAGAACTTTGATGATAGCAAATAGACACTCTCGCACCACAGCACCAGTGGAGCTCTTGTCACTGGGATCTATGGTTGGGTAAATGGGAATCTCGTGGCCACAGAGATGATAAAGACTGGCCAGGGTGCTTACCAAGACACCATTATCGTACTTCAACAAGTATACTTGATTTTCCTCGTTCATGTGTGTAACCTGATATGAATAAAAAATAATTGCAACACTTGATCTATGACAGTAGATCACACGATAATCAATAGTAGAAATAAATGTTACGTGACTACTTTGACTTTAGGGAATGCTTACATTTTCTAAAACTCTTAAACATCTATCAACTTTACGTAGTTGGTCCAGCAGAGGATCAGTCCAGCCAGATCGTGGAACATTACTGGCATAAATATGGCGATGGCATTCTCGAATAGTCTTGACAATATGTTCAAGACCTCCTAATTCTCTTAGTTCCTCCTTGAACCATTCTCCAGCTCGTCTTGACGTCAAGCTAAGAAGCGTTTCCATGGCCAATTGACCAACCTATTAAAAAAGAAGACATTAATGGTAAGAATAAATAATAGTATTGATTTATATTCGATTAAAAAACTCACTGTAATATTATCAAGATTCAGGTGTTTTGCATGTCCCTGAGCTTGTATGTCTGCGCAAAGTTGTCGGACTTTTTCTTTATTTTTCAATAACTCAGCTCTACTAAGTCCACAATCGTCAAGGGCATTCTTGTGACTTGCATCAGATTCTAATAAGCTTAGCATTAGTTCTAAGCAGTCGCGATCCAAATCCATTGCTAAACGATCTTGGCTTAAGACAAACATCACTGTTGCTGTACATAAGCCTAGACTCTGTAAGAGACGAATGGGGTTTCATTTATGTACTACATTGCTTTGTTTTCATTGAAATAATCTTGTTATTCTAGTAACCTGATCTTTAGTTGCATCGTGCAGAGCTTTGAAGAATTTTGCCACTGTGCCATGAGCACGAACATGCATACGGAATGCAGGAGCCATGCATTTACTAGCCAATCGTATAGCCGAAAGGCAACGTGTAGCATTAGGATTGTTTTCTCTCAAAGTATCCAGAATATATTCCACGTCGTCGTTGAACTCTTGGAATTCACCACTCTCTTGGATCTGATGAGCTTTCTTAACATTCTTGACAACAGTATAGAACTGAAAGAGCAGCGCGACGTAAATGATTATTAAATGATATAAATAATAAAATTGTTTAAATAATGATATTGTATAAGTGTGCTTACTCCTTTGACTTTCTTGCCACATCGAATACTAGTTATAGCTTCAGTTTCATCGGTAAAGTCCATATCAGTCTCAGGATAAGTCACTACTCGAGTTAATTTGGAAGGTTCAAATTCTTCCTCATAAGCAACTGGTCCAGCACTCGTGTGTGAGCTGGAAGCTGTATTTTGTACGTTACTACCAGTACCAGATGTATCAGCAGGGTTGGTTTCCTTATCGCTATCACACCATTTGTGTTTATATAGCGCACGTCTTTTATTTCCGTTCGTTGCACCAGTCGAACGGCTTTTGAAAATACTGCCTTTCTTGGTAACGGGTTTGGTCATCATATTGGTCGGCGGTGCGGATGATGGTTGTGATTCTGGAATTGGACTTGGAGCATTCATAGGAGTCTCGCTTTCGGGATTTCCATTGGGACCTTCACTATCATCGCTACCAGAGAACCAGTCCTGGTCCACCAATGTTTTGGCAGCAGCCAATTCGTTGTCTATGACAGGTGCTAGTGGCTCTGGCTGTATTTCTTCTTTTATTTCCGTTTTAACTTCCTCCTTAATATTTACCTCCTTCTTCAATACTTCAAACGTTGGTAAATCTATGGAACAGTGTTCCACTTCGTCGGCTATACTTTCAGTTGGATCCACCTTTGGTTCCACCTTGGTATCAACATCACTAGAGAGTATGTCAATCAGTTCTTGAGTCGTGGTTGGCAGTGGTTGATCACGTCCTATCAGTGGCTCTATCGTGGGCTGTTTTTCATAACTCGTATTACAGTCAGTCTTGACGATATCGTAATGAGTTATGAGGGTGTTATTAGAGTCAGTAACAGATTTGCGTAGAGTTAATGAGAGTCCAGAGCTATGAGAATTCGGTGTGGTTGGAGTCGATGGGGTGGTTGACGTAGTGGGTGTCAAGTCCAGATGAAGATTCTTAGCACGGCTACGTGTTGTTCGGCGCATATCAGAATTATCTAATGGTATAGAGACAGTAGTAACTACTGGTTGCTGACAGGAACGTGTTTCTCTTACTTTGAGATCTAATTTCGGCGATATTTCCGGACTGAAAGATTGACGCTCCACATCCAGCTTAATAGGACTCGACAGCGGTGTCGTGATCCTGTACGTTTCTGGTTCAGATTCTTGACTTTCCTGGGTATCTGTGCAGACCAGTCGAGATGTTCCTTTACATATTCTCAATACTATTGGCGGTTTTGCATCCTCGCGATTAGTCATCTCCAAGCTTGTGCCACTGTCTGAAACTTCGCTGATTTTCTTTACGGGAGTGTAAGACGGTTTTGGCAAAAGCTGTTTGGGTGGTGGTTGCTGAAGTTGTAGCTGTGGCTGTGACTGCAGCTGCTGTTGCAATTGTTGTTGCTGCTGCTGCTGCTGCTTTGGAGGACGAGATCGTCCATACTGTGAATCAGGTACTTGTCGATAGATAGCCGCATCCGCACGTAGTTCCTCTGCTACGGGAGGGGCATTTCGGCTTTTGAAGAATTTCTTCGGCTTTACTACTGGTGCCGGTGCGGCATCCGGTTTGACGTCGGGATCTGCTTCGAATGAGAAAGGATCCTTTCCGGAATTAACACGAGCATTCTGATTTCCATAATCAAGCTTCATTTTCTTTGCTCCATATGTGTTGTGAATTTCATCTCTTCTTCCTGAAATTAGGAAATGAGAAACCTGCTTCATCGTGTACAATGTGTTGTATTGATGTTTGCTAGGTATATGTACAATTATTTTTTTATACTATAGACATTGAACTATTTAAAAGTAAATAATCATATCAATTTGTGTTTCTTACTAAAGATAGGAAACGCATGCTGCAAGTTTACTTTATAATCTCTTTCTTTCCAATGATAAGATAACCCACTTCTTTTGGAGCGTATAGAAAATTTGGATTTTGTTGGGGGCATGCTAATCATGTGTATAAACGAATATTTTTTATTTTATAGACTCTGCTAGCAACCTGCCAAATTATCACTTCCTATATAATGAAATTAGTACATATTGCACTTCTGATGTATACTTGAAAGATTTTTTATATACAGGGTGTTCCGAAACTACCTGACCCGGTGGGTATGGCGGTGTTCTGGAGGCTTTAATGATCACGAAAATGACCATTAGATTGAAACCTAATATTAGACACAATATATCCATATCTTATATACAGGGTGTTCCGAAACTACTTGACCCGGTGGGTATGCCGGTGTTCGGGAGGCTTCACTGATCACGAAAATGACCTTCCTTTTGTCCGGAAGATCATAGTTTTTAAATGAGAGCAGGTCAAAGTTGACCAATCAAAGGGAGGCGTTAAGAGAAACGTAGGCACCTACGAACTCTGAGTTTTCTTCCCTCGCTTTTGTTTCTCGGTGGCTTCGGGCAGGATGTCGTCAGCCGAAGACATGCCTATTGGAAACAAGAAACAAGCTACCGAGAAACAAAAGCGAGGGAAGAAAACTCAGAGTTCGTAGGTGCCTACGTTTCTCTTAACGCCTCCCTTTGATTGGTCAACTTTGACCTGCTCTCATTTAAAAACTATGATCTTCCGGACAAAAGGAAGGTCATTTTCGTGATCAGTGAAGCCTCCCGAACACCGGCATACCCACCGGGTCAAGTAGTTTCGGAACACCCTGTATATAAGATATGGATATATTGTGTCTAATATTAGGTTTCAATCTAATGATTATATTTATAGAATAGATTTGTGCTACTATGGAAAATAAATTTTTAAAAACGCAGATTGCAGATATTTTTAAAATGTTAGAATAATTATCAGTGTAACAACAATAGACTGTAAATACAGCATAGTTAACAGTTAACAGTTAACAGACTTCAACTGCAATATATCATAATGTAGTATTTCCACATTTATCAGGATACAAAACAGTGTAAATGAAATTATTATCATTAAAAAGTAATGGAGAATTACTATTATCTTTCTCTTTAGAGAAACATTTCTTGAAAATATAATTTTATGTCATTATCATTGAAGGCAAAAATATAGAATATAAAAACAGTGAAACAAAGTATTCTACCATTATTCAAGTATTAAAGTCGTTTCTCATGTGCCATTAGCTATATCATTGCATTCCAGTGTTTATAATTCTTGACATATATGAATGATAATTAAACATAATTAAGTTAGCAGCGATCTAAATGGCAAGAATACATTGTAGAGAAACATTGATAAGAAAATTTTACTTATGTATTTCTTAATACAAGAGATATACTATATCATTGCAGAAGTGTAAAGATAACATAATTAATATATGCGCTTACCATTGATGTTGGTGCTTCTGATCGATGTGAAGGAAGTAATACCCCATTTTCCAACAGTTCCTGCAGACTTGGCAGCGGATGGTCTGTTACTGTTTTCCCTGAAGAGCTTGTCGAACTGAATGCTAGCTGGTGTCACATTACTCACCTTACGACTATATGATTTAGTATAGCTACGTGACGTCATTTTCGTTTTCTATCTGTCTCATAAACGTTCTGCATTCCAAATGATACAAGCAATAGAAACAACTGTCCTTCTCATAATTTTGAAGTCTCTGGGGTCATATTCTTGAAACGCCAAGCCAGAACGATGGAGACGCAGGACGTAAAGTAAAATAAACTTGACCAAGTCAGAGTACCAGCGCCTAATGCGTCCACACGTGAAAATGCCACAGCACGATGCAATCACCGAACAGCTAATACAACCGAATAGAATCTTCGGAACATATGAAGGAAACAAACGCCATGTTCATTCGCTCTCTCCTTCGATGCACAATTTTACAGAGAACCGTTTTTTCTCCCGACTGATGAACACCCGTGTTACTTTCATGTTATAAGATTAACCAGTGTCTTCACTTGCCCTCGAATATTCTATTTCATACAAGGCTACATGAATTTAATTAGAAATATTAATCATAACATGATCTTTGCCATCTGTCGATGTTTTTCGTTCAGACTCTGATACATATAGGCACAAGAGGTACACTACTGGCACAATAATAACGCGACTGCACAGCATAGTCAGTAGGTAGAGCCACAAGGAACAGCTGTTTTATCAAAGGAGGCTTGTCCAAGTATTTATTTTTTACGTTCCTTTGCGTTCCATTAGATTCTTCAATTATTGGACAATCCGTTACTCTCATTCACATATTACAATCTGATCGAATATTAATTTACTATGTTTATACATTAGTTTTGCATATTTGCACACAATTTTTATTTCATGAAAGGAAAGTAATTCGTGTGATAGAAGACACCGGTGATATTTGTGTAATTTCTTTTTCTTCCTCTAAGATCAATATTTGCATGGGAATTCGGCATAAGAATTAAATGATTCATATTAGATTTGGTGGAATGCTATAATAATAATGAGTATGCGTTACGTTATTTTTTACTGTCATCTTCCTTCGACTTTTATATACTTTCTATCGAAGGATTTGTCACATGCTATTTTATGCAAAAGCTGATCGAGCTATTTAAAAAAAAAGGCTATTAGTACTTTTTTTGTTTCAATATTTGACAAGAAATAGTACTAATGGTATATGATATTGAAGCATCATTTATGTATTTATTGTTTGAAGGTATATTGATGTTCTATAAGTAATGAGAAAGAAATATTTTGTTTTTAAATGATACAGACTCATTTGATGCTTAACATAATTATACAAATTATTGGTTATTATTATATGTATACAGTTATTTTTGATGATAACTGTATAGCATACACTTTTCAGAATAGGTGGTCGATGAAGTAAGACTATTGTATTTAACATTACAAAAATGGAAGAATGTGGCAATGGAACTTGTTTTGCAATGTGTCCTGAGAAAGAACGATGGATGTGAGTTTATGTATTTTTGAGTTTATGAATTGTTCAACTAGAATTTCAATGGTTTAAATGTGCGTAGGAGGGAACGAGAAGGATTGTTACACGTTTTTGAAATGGATGAAAAGACGAAAAATTCAAGAAAGCCTAAGGCTGATCCTTCTAAGATTATAAAATGTTTCAATCGACCAGCAGCAGGTCAACTTATGGCTGATCCAAGTCAACTTCGGCCTGCACCAACATTACTATTAACTACACGATACCTTCTTACAAAGTACTTATCACATGAAATAGCTTATTGACTTTATACATATTTTACAACGATTTTCATTAATTTTAAGGATTGTTACACGTCGTGACCGGGATTGGGCGTTTATATATGATTTTATATTTGATCGATTAAGAGCTATAAGACAAGATATTATTATTCAGAGAATAGGTGTGATACAGAGTATTGAGATATTACTGCCAATTGTCCGATTTCACGTTTATGCTTCACAAAGGTAAAACAGATTTCTTAAATTTTACAGTAAATTACTGATACTTTGTTATTTATAGACTCTGTGAAAGAAATATCTCAGAATTCGATAAAAAAATTAATAATCAACATTTGCTGGAATGCCTTCAACGTTTACTTGTACTGTATGAAGAATTAGATAGATTATTATATCAGAAAGATCGTGATGTTAATACAAGCATGGATATGTTGTCCGTAACTGAGGATCGGCAACAAATGGAAGCTATATACATTTTATTACATCTCGGTAATATTACGGTATTGAACAGAGTTCTATCCCTTCCTAAAAGATACAGATAAGTTTTATTTAGCATATGCAATTAATATTATATATGATCATGAGAGTTAATGATTATAAATTTGTCTGCAGGTCTAGGGATATTGACTTAGCTTTGAAAATATCTATTTCATGGCATTTGAAAAATTATGTTCGCACTTGTCGTTTGATACAAGAACTTTCTCCATTATTGGCTTGCGCCGTTCTGTGCAACATGCCGAAAATAAGAAGGTAATGACAATACAAAAAGTATATTAATGATATTATTAAATTCATAATTTTAGACACGCCTTGGCAATCATGAGTTCAGGATATAACAGTAAAATGTTGACATTTCCTGGAATTAAATTACAAGAAATTTTGTTATACAATGACATAAATAACATTCGGGCAGACTGTGGATTATTTGGTTTGACATTCACAAATGAGAATGTTCAATTCCAGAAAGCAAGTTTTAATGAACAGCAAGTACTAGTAAGATACTTTTTGTAATGCTTTATTGGTTGTACAACAGTATTACTAAATTATTCGATTCTTCACAGGCAAATTCAGAGATGTATTTTAGCATACCAGTACTACAAGATTTTCTACCTCGGATACTTTTTGAATGTACTTAAATCACATCATTGAAATTAGCATAATAAATGGTATATTGAATTATATTAGAAAAGCATTTTATATATTTTGTATTATTAATAAAACATATAACTCCACATGGATGGAATTATTAAATGTTTTTTATATCATATTAGATGACCGTGTACGTTCTTAAATAATAATTGAAACACTGTTCTAATGTATCAAGTCATTTCATAAGTAATGCGGTTTTCAGCTGTTTGTGCACTATTGGAAATAACCGCATTACTTATGGGATAACCTGATATAACATAAAAATACAATTAAGATCAATATTTTACTGAGAATCACTGGACGAACTACTGGAAGAATCTGTAGACATAACTTCCACGTCTTCCGTTTCTTGTTTGTGGGTGTTCATAGCAACACTGCCCTGTCCTCCCATACTCATATGAATTTCCCCCGAAGGATGCCAAGCAAACTGATTTGCCTGTGAGACAGGTGGTTCTGCAAGAGTAATAGAATGTTATAAAGTTGTATATATTTTAAAGACAATTTAATATATATTATTTTTCTTACCTCCTGCGGGATGACCTGTTCTATGAAGGTCTGAGGTAATACCTGGATGAGATCCAAGAAGTTGTCCATTTAAAGGAAGATCGCTTTGCCTCCCCAAGTAACCCAATCTCATTTCGATGTCTGTAAACAGAATTAACAATAAAATGCATCCTACTATATACAATAACATAGGGCCAGTAATAATATATGACAGTATAAAATTAAAAACCTGTTGGATATGGTCGCCGAGGATCTCCTTGTTGCCACGTAAGTGGTGCACAAACTGCATTCGATGCACTAATCCTGTGAGCAAACTTAATGAGTTCTTCCGAAGGAACAGGTCTCTTATTTGCACGTGCAATAGACTGCAATTTCTGTTTTGCCTGGTAGATAGCAGTAGCAAGAATTTGCTCAGCTTCTTTCAACTGCCTTTGCAACTGTTGAATGTCCTGATCCTGCCTTCCAACTTCAGCTTTTAAAGCTTCCATTTTCAAATTTATTTTGGCTTGCTCAGCAGCTCGCTTTAATGTTGATTTCAATTCATTGTCCTTTGCTACCAAAAGTTCTGTCAATTGTGCATGTTCAGTACTTGAAAGCTTCAAGTGTTTCTGTGCTATTGTGTTCTCAATTAGCTCCCTGCAATTATAAACAATATTTACATATTAATGTACCCTATGATATTCAAAAATACAAACGCCAATTATTATCTTAATCAGAAAAATAAAACCGTACACATTTTTACATAACTTACTTGGCTATTAATTCAATATCATCCACTAAAGATAGAAGAACCTCTCGGGTACTTTTACTCGTCGACATTTTTAATATCACTGAAATTTACTAAAGAAATAACATCTGTTTAAACGAGTTAAAAAATCTGCGGCATAACCTGCTCCAAAAGCGTCAAACATTTGCCGACATGTTGTCATTTGCAAACAGATACCTTAGCTACTTTACTGACTGAGCACCAGATAACCTGAACTGTAGATATTGAAGCAACAGTAGATTACGAGATATTCGATAAATTCTTAAATGCATGTTTACAGCTGTTTATATCATATGACTTACAAAAATTACAAAGTATAAAAGAAACTACCTTTATCCCCTTACTTTCATATTGTTACCTACGCCTGTTAAAGTTTAAAGAAAATGACTAAATAAGCTTCGCTTGGTATTGTTTTCAAACGTTCACCGGGTTTCACAAGTTTGTAGGGTTCCTGAAACCCAACAGTAGAAAACAAGGGTTAACTTAATATATAGAAAATAAATATAAAATAATTTAATCACGAGCTGACGAGACTACTGATTGCTACTGACACATCTCCTTTATGAGAAAGAAGCCATCAGAAAAGAAGAAGAGTTAAAGAGTCGTCGCCAAAACATGTGGACTTACAATAACTCTATCAACATAAAATAACAGAATCCTACAACGCAATGTTATTTAATCATGCATCCGTAAATTCTGGAAAATTCCACGTGAACAATTATTACGCTTGTCATAATTTATAGATTAATGTCAGTCAGTTGTGCCAAAAGAAATAGTAGGTACAAAATAATTATCGATTGTTTACACTAATATTGACCTGGTGGATAATTACAATGAAGAATGACGAATTTACTGTCAGTTGGCGTGAGAAGAACAGCAGAAATTTATGACAGTCACAATTATATGCAGGACGGGTAAAAGTTTCATTGAGGACAAATATACATATATACATAACAGTCATACATAAAGTCCATCGCCCGGTGTCTCTCAAGGTAACTCTTGGTCAGTTATTATAGTAGCATAACGTATACACGTCCTTCAGTGAGCCGCCATGATTGTTCCTTGTATTCCAACTCCCTTTGCTCCTTAAGAATTTAATTTAACGTATGTGTCATAAAACAATATTCACATTGAAACAATATGCATAAGTATTCCAACGTATAGCAATAACGTTGTGTTACATATTCATCAGTTCAGAAAGTCGCTCCAATCCATTAATATCACAAGGTCAATCATCATCTAACAATATATATATCCATAAAGCATATCAGCATACTGTTTATTAGCATTAGTTGCATAACGAGAAAGAAGCCACGTCATGTGGATTAATTTTTTTTTAATAATAAATATAGTCCATTGAAATACCTTTTGCATATAAGATATGAAAACAAATAAACATTCCTATGTCTCACAAGACTGAAACCGGAAACAAAATATATAGGTAGTCTTGTATTATTGTCTTGTTGTCTTCTACTTTAGGTTTGCACTTTAAGAAAAGAATTTAGATTGAAATTAAGATGGGTAACCAACTGACTGATAATTATCTTTGAATGATGGCATACTTTATATTTTTATTATTAGGAGTTTTGTTATCTAAATAACGCAGAAGGATCCCGCAGGATTTAAATCATGCAAGGTATTTATCTTTACTTGATAATGATTATTGTCTTACGGACGCTATTATATGTTTTATGTGTTTTCAGACTGACGTCTGTTAAACGTTAGTGGCGGGAGTCTTTTTGTATCGAGAAGGAGGTCTATGTGTAAAACAATGTAATTGACAAATCAGTCAACCGTGAAACGTCTCAAACCAAACGATGACACCGTCATTGATCAATGTCTGGGTCTCAACTAGTAGAATTTGCTAAAAGCATGTGAAAGTTAATGGTTTTATATTTTGCAATGAATTGTTGTTCCATTGGACGAAATACAGGTGTGTACGCATTTTATATTTTTTTCTCAGTCTTTTTTTTCACGCGTCAGTTTCCCTGCTGTTAATCACATCTAAAGATTCTTTTGCATAAACATCCTTCGAATAAAACAACTTTTAATACGGTTAGATATATAATATAGGTATCAGTAGTGTCTATAGTACAATGCGACTATTCTTAAGTGTGTCATGTGATTTTATCAACATAAAAAAGGCGTATTTCCCACATTCATCTTTCCATTGAGTAAGTACGATAATTAAGATTCTTTAAGATCTTTATTATTTATTTTTGGATACGCACCGAATGAATTACATATATTAACAAACAATACGATTAAATGATGTTAAAAAATCAACACCGGTTATTTAAAAATACCGTGTCTGCATGTGGTACCAGTTTGCGGTATATTATTTTGGTGATTTGGCGTAATTCGACCTTCCAATCGAATTCTAATAGCCTGAATTTCGTGCGCAGTTATGAAAAATAAGTTTGATAAATTGATGAAAATAATTAGAATTACAAATTTATACGAATCCTCATGAAATATAGTCTCAATGTTCTTACATAAAAGGTCATTGATGGCTCCTCTTACAAAAATCCACTATATATAACTTTTATCGGTGGAAAGTAAGCATGCAAATATATGTTGCAGATTACTAGCATAAGATAACGTGTAAATTCTTGTGGAATTACGTAAATAGGTAAAACAAGCCGGCATAAAAAACGTATGTAATACCATAGCAATGCCCATCACGAGGACGATTAGCCTGAACGAAGTTGCCTTGACTTGAAGTGAATTTCAACACGTCCTTATTGAAAGTGCGTGGAAATTTTCGCAAATCATTATCGCTATCACTACGCATAGTACCTAGCCCGATCCACATATATAATATATGTAGGTGTATAGTCCATGATAATAATAAGCCAAAGATCGTCTAATTATTGAATGACAATACGAAGGTTTCTTTGTCTCTGGTACAACGAAGTGCTGTTTAACATATTTTATAAAGTCATCTTCATTAATTTGATGATTCCTTAAAACTACTCTGAGTCTTCCTGTTTATTAATACTTGTTTTCACTCTCTCGTATAGGCCGGATCAATGTTATATACTTTCTCTAAACAACCGGAACAACCTGTTTCTATTGCATTGCCTCTACCAAATCATCGTCATAGTTTTAATCGCTGAAATGACTCCTATTAAAGTCATTGATCGTACGTGCATCGCGGCATGATTGAATGAACGGAATAGTTGCGTGATCAATGGGACAAGGCTGCTGCTACCGATCAATTGGCATTGAGAACGTCACCTGACACTATGAAAATGGCTATTCGTGATTCGCCGACTAATGACCAAATTTCGTGGGCTTTTTGAAGACGTTTCTTACGTTTTTTAATCGAAAGAAATTCGTTGTCCCTGACACGATTTTTTTTAGTTACGATGCGAACTCCTTTGTTGCCTTTCGCATCAGAGTACAATTATTCATTAAATATGACTCGTGGACCAAGGAAGATTTTCAGTCAAGATAATCGATTAAGACACACAGTGGAGGTAGAACAAAAACTATTTTTAACAAGGACTTTCATTCATTACAATACAATAGATTGTTTCAATCGTTGATAAACTTTTTTTATTACTTCATAGTTCATTTATAATCTACTTGCTGTTTAACGTTACACAGCTATGCCATCAGTAGGACAGTATCACAACACAGCATTTCAGGTTTATTTGCGCTCGAGAAATCGCGACGATGACGTAAGAAATTGAGAGAAAAAAAATTTACTATCGAGAACCCTTCCAAATATGGCGTGTATCACCCGGAAAATGAAAAATCAGGCCAAATTAAAAAAGGATTACAAGATTTGTCAATTGGGTCCAGACGCTTTATCCTCGTTGCTGTTATTATTACATATTATCTTGGCATAGTGTATCTTTCTATCTAATGTAACTAAGAGTATCCATAGATTCTTCAATTATCAGCAATATAGGCCAACTATAGACTCAGTGGGTTTACTGTCCCATTACATAATAGGATGGTGAATAGAATCGATAGTTTTGCAACGTAGTAACGAGAAAGGCCTAGACGTACCAGTGACCGAGAAAGACCGTTGTCAAGTACTGGGATACGAGCATTTATAAAATTCTAAGAGTATATGCCGTTCTCGTGCCGGCATTTAAATTTGGAAGAGATAAAACCTATACGAGAGAGATTTTATTTGCATGGGATACTCTTGAATTGGTCTTATGACGTCAAATTCGAATGTTCAATCTTCAGTCACTCAATCGACATTTAAACTTTGAGACATTATGTTTTTCCTTAGTATTCAGATCTCTCGCGACCTGGTACATACTGTAACAACCGTATTTAGATACTTTCAAGACTGAATTTACTCATCTACCTGCATGGAAGGAATGGCCTTAAATATTTATAAGAATTATATAAGGAACTGGCTGATGTGTAAAGGAGAAAGGGGGAGGACAAAAATTTGACCAACCATTCCGATCTCATGGAAGTAACGCTTTGGCCTTTGGCGAAAATTAAAAGATCAGCACTTGGAGGATTAATGATTCCCTTTGAGTATAGGTATAGTACATCCTATAGATTTCGATTATCATGTGACCTAACAACTGAGGTGAATACATCGATTCTTTTTTATGGATATATATGCATGTATGATTATTTAAAATTTCTTTGTATACAGTTCAACGACATCCATTTGGGAATTCATGGGAATTTCTACCTGTCAAACGAGTTTCGAGCAGAAAAACTATGACCTTTAACGCCATGGTCTTTCACTTTGCGAAAATAGAATAACTGCATTTAATAATTGCAGTTACACGTACAATGCTTTGCATCGTTAAGGTAATCCATCTGGTATGTACATTGCATTGATAGATATGACCCAGGTATACGCATGCGTTCCAAATGCATCGGCCGGCGGCAAGAGAGAAAGTAAGGAAAACAAGACAAAAGGCTTTCCAAACAAAGTGCGCACAATTTTAACCTGCACAACATATGATGACGTTTATCTTTTATAACGTGACGTATAGGAAAAGTCTTCCACGAATTTGTAGTTACTCCCCAGGATTTCGTAATCCTTGGAAAGCAGTTTGGAATCAATTTAATAGATAGGGATAAGGATTGAACATTGGCATGCTTGCAGATGAATATCAGAGTGTAAAATTAATCAAGGTATTGTATGCGTCATATGGACGTTATAAATAAATTATTATAATTTTCAGCCGACAAGTTCACTCAAAAGTGTAAAAACGGACCACTCGTATTTTAATGAGAATTTTGTTTCAAGGCGGATCCGGATCAGGGGATTTCCGAGCCGCTGGCGTACGTGTATATATGTATATATGACATACATATATTTTTATCCAAGAGGAGGAACTTGAGGAGAAATCATTTCAAAAATGAATAAATCGATGATCACAGTCGTAGGATCAGGTTTCCGGGATGTCCCTGCCTCGAGAATCATTTAATTATCGCATTGTTAACGCTTATTTATACATCTATTTAAAACTGTTATCCTTGCATTTACGCAAGATTTTACGAAGCACGAGTAAGATTCATCAAAAGACATTGTGAATTGGAATTATCTTCTATGACGGTTTTCAATACTTTTTCCCCATTTACTTGAAAGTCATTGAAATTCAGAATTTCCTTGTATGCAACGACGCTATGTGAGAGTAAACAAAAATACTTCAATTCAACTTTTTTCCATAATAAATTATCCATCCAAGAGCAGCTGTCCGTTCGAATGATTCTCATGTAAATTTTGCACCGATGATTGCTTCCTAAGAATGATTTTATAAATGACTTTTCAACACAGTACAAAAAGCACTTGGACGTTTGTAATGGGATTTTCTTAAATGAGCAAAAGGTGTATTAATAATGATGGAATTGGGGATAAAAAATTCAGTGGGTTTTTTATCTTGGATCAATTATGTATTTCAATGGATATACATTGTACGTATGTCGTATATGTAAACGTATAGTGTACCCAGTTGGTCTACTGATACTTACTCTTGTGTTGGTACTTAACGTGAAGTTCCGGGAGCAGAAAGTCTCGTCTACCTTGGCTTTACGCTTCCGCATCGATGTACTTTAATTCCTGTGCAAATGATCCGCGCCGTCGGCTAGGCCTCCAAAAAGCGATTGCCGATCTTCACGCTTAGTCATAGCTTTTCGTGTATTATGAGAATTCACTGTATACCAATTAGATAGAAGGACATGGACTTCCTTGATGAGTAGTAAAACGACTTTGTGCTCTTTTTTTTTTCCTCAAAGCATAAATGCATTAGCAGTCTTCGTAGACCTTGCCCCATACGAATCAGTTAATGATTTATAATTCATAAGAATTATTATTTACACGAGTAAAGTTAAACCGATTATGTAATTTCATTCTTATTAGCTTCGATATTCGTTTTCTTAATTTTCAGTTAACGAAAAACTGCTTTATTATCTAAATTTAAAATATGATGCTGTTTCTCGTCGAGTTGCATACCATTATGCTTTTCACGATGTTAATCTTCCGTCAGCTTTTGCATAATATGGATGATCTAAAGTTATGACTGTTCACGAGAGTATTTTATTAGAACAATGTTGCGTGGAATACGTTTACCTACTTTTATAAATTTATGTAAAAATATTTTTCGAAACTTGCGTGCGAATTGTAGTATAAGAAAATTCCAAGAGGAACCTGCTTTATCGTGCTGCTTAAGTATCAAATATCAAGATGATAAATATTTACCTGGATACGTGACAATTTTTTTTTTTTTCTTCAAAATCACTTCGACCAATAATCTATACCGATTCACGTAAACGACTCCTGAAATGAATCTTATTATTCTATCTTAAACATATTCTGCGGACTGTCGGATCGTCACGTACACCAGACGTGATAGACGACAAAAGCAACTAATAAGAAATTCCAGTCTGACTTAAGAAATAAGATTAACCAAAGAAAAGAGCAATACAATATTTTCCACATGGTTATTAATTTTACAAAATCATTTTATCACGCGCCAATGACAAATCAATACCAGTAACTAAAAGTCATATAAATGATTCTTAATGATACCAGAAAACCTAATGGTTCCTATGAAAACGTTAATTAAGAGAAATGTATAAGTGACGAATATACGTTTTCAGAAATGTAAAATGAATTTCTCGTCTTATCACCTTATCACCAGGTGGTATTAACGATATGTATAGCAAATATACCTACCTGCTCTTAATACTCATGGTAGACAGACACGCGCATTGATTAACCTAAAAGTCTATCAATTTGCTATGGTAATTATTAATATTCCTAACGATTAAACAATAATTATTAAAGTTATTGTAAAAGATTGTGATTTCGAAATTGAAGAATTATTAATCACTTTGTAAAAAACAAACTTAACGACGATTTATACAAAAATATTAAATCACAGTTCTCCAACGTGGGAAATCCGATGACGATTTCATAACGGAATCGGTGTGGATTATCCCTAGTGGATATATCATCCCGTTCTGCAATATTCAGATGGAGTAAGAGGACGATGGTTCCTGTGTGGGGTACACATGACCTCCGAGAGTTTCTTGTATAGAGAAGCGAACGGCGTCAAGTTGATCCAGTCCTTCGTAGTCCGTTGCTCTACCTTATTGCGCCAAGAAGAAGACGCGTCTTCGGATTCGTACTCGACTTGTTCCTCCTTTCGGTTGGTGGTGCAACACCGAGCTCTTCTGAGAAGAGAGTCGTTTGCACGCGCAACAGGAACATTTTTAGTGACTGATAATAAATTTTCACAGTTACCATTATTTCGAGTGTTTTCTAATCAGTGTATAAACTTGGTGAGGTACGGTGGTAGACTCATGACTAATATTTGTTAAGGTTATTAATTTACGTTTGTGATACGTGTTACCGTCTATTGTTGTTCGAGATTCGATTATTATTTTTGAATTTATGAATATTCACAACAATTGCATATTGAAAGAAATTTTTGTAATTTTTTATAACACTATTTTTATGGTTACATATTTTATTTTGTATTTCGGAAAAATTTTTTCGTAAATTTTATCAATGCTTAAAAGCTCATCGCTGTTAAAATCTTTTGTTTATGCTTATTTGAATTTGAGGATCTTTCAACGTATATTTTATGTAGTGATTGAGTGAATGTATTTTCCTTGATAGGAAAGATTCGTTAAACTTATTAATTTATAATAAATTTCATTTTACTGTTACAGATTTACGATGGTCACGTGCAGCACTGCATTTCTTGCTATTCAGTTGGGCATTATTTTCCATACCTGTTTTGCCGGTGAGTCAAGTCTAGAGACAATATCAAAACATCAAAGAATTCAATTAAAGATTTTTACGTTACGAATAACTTCGTTGACACTCACACTGACATTTGTTTTTTAACAACAAATTTCCTTCTCGCTATAACGCTCACGTTGAATTATGTAAATATTATAAATCCAGTCCCTATTCGCACGCTAGTTTTGGCTGTCTACGTGCAATTAATTGAAACACGCAGAAGAAAAAGTCGTAAAATCCAAGAAAGTATCGCTGATATGTATAAACACCGTTAAGGTCATACATTTATGTGAAATGCCATGACATAACACAGCGTAAATTTAATGTCCGTTATGTAAAAGTAGTCAAGCGCATAGATTTAATTGAGCGTTCATCAAACTGATATTTTTTACTCCCATATCTAGCCAAGTGTGTAAACTTAAAAAAAAAAACATAAGATTTTCAATTTTCTTTTAACAGAGGTAGTGATAACAGCGGATAATGGAGTCAATTGGAATATGAAAATTGATGAGGAACTTATTGACACCCTGGATTGGCGAGATCATCCTTGTAGACGAGCTTGCAAGGATAATGCACCTCCGATGGACTGTTACTATTTATTCAGGGTGGAACATTATGAGACTATGAGCAAAGCTTGCTACGATTGTCCATATAATCAGACAGATTGTTTCCGGCCTCACTGCATATCATCCGACGGCGTGAAACGTTCTCTTATCTTAGTCAATAGACAAATGCCAGGACCTTCGATCGAGGTAATTGTAATGGCGTGATGCAAAGTTGATCCTGTAGGAGTTCCGGCATCGTGTCACTAACAAGTATTTAATTAAATGCAATAGAGTCAGCAGTTGAATTTATGCTACTTGATTATTATTTGTAAAATATTATAATTATTGTACGCGCGAGAATAGGCGTGACTATATTTTCACTTGATAGTACGACCTTTAATTATGTGATAATCAATGTAATCTGGTTTGAAACTAATCAATCGTAAATTTATATCCGGCATAGAATGCAGCTTATTAGCATAATTCATTCGATTGACTATTAATCACTAGATTGACTGGAGTAGGTTTGCTAAAGTATATTTTAATTATCTCTTGAGAATGATTACTAATTATTGAACTGCATGATCATCCGCGTTAAATGATGGCACGCGAGTGTTGATTAGCTTGTATAATTAATTAGTGATTAGAAATTTTATTGATAGCTTGATCAAACTATTAAATGATTCGTTAACGCAATGAGGATTAATTGGACATTATAGTATGGGGTTTGATGAAATAATTGATTAATAATTAAATTATACTTATTAATACAGTACAGTTGAAAATTAAGTTTGAGAAATTATTTTAATAAAATTTCATTTATGCTTTCTCCATTAGGTATGCCAAGGCGACAGAATTGTTGTGGACGTGATAAATTCCTTGACGTCCGAAAGCACCAGTATGCATTGGCATGGACAGCATCACAGAGCTACTCCCTATATGGATGGTGTACCTTATGTTACTCAGTGTCCTATTTTACCTGGAGCTACGTTTAGATACAATTTTATTGCTGCCACTGCCGGTACCCATTTCTGGCATTCGCACTCAGGTAATAAGAATCCATGTAAATTTATAGCAAATTTTATCCCAATTATTTTGCTTGGTTACACCTCGGTCTTTTTTTTATTATCGCAGGACTTCAGCGAGGTGACGGCATGTTTGGACCATTGATTATACGAGTACCTCCTTCCAAGGATCATCACAAGGACCTCTATGACTTTGATGAACACAATATGCTAATTCAAGACTGGGGACATTTATCCAGCACTGAAAAATTCTTAGCTCATCATCATTCAAACGGTGACAACAAGTCGCCAAATCTTTTAGTAAATGGACTAGGTCGTTATCTACAATTACAAGATGCAAATGGAACAGTAATAGATATGCCCGCTGCGACGTTTTTGGTAAAACAGGTAATACGAAGTTTTATCTTTTTCTTGTTAGGATCATCTGTCAAGGATCTGTGTAATTAATATCACTGTTTACTTTCTGCAGAATTTCAGATATAGATTCAGATTGGTGAACACAGGATTTCTAAATTGTCCTATTGAGGTATCTGTGGACAATCATACTATGTATATTGTCAGTACTGATGGCAATGATATTGATCCGATCGAAGGTTGGTTTGCTGTATGCACGAACTTCGGTTACGATATGATTAAATTATTGAAGAAATTTTCATTCATGGATTTCTCAATGAGATATTGTCATATGTCATTCTGATTATTCTTCTTCGCAGCCGAGTCACTCGTGAGCTATGCCGGCGAAAGATTTGATTTCATAATCGAGATGGATCAAGATATAGATAATTATTGGATTCGTTTTCGTGGTCTGATGGATTGCGACGAGAGATTCTTGAGTGCACACCAGGTGGCCGTACTGCGGTACGCAGGCGCGCCAGATATGAATCCTATTGCTGAAGTTTCGTATGACCGAATTCCTATGAATACCACAGCCCTAGTAAGTGTAGAATTAGTTTTATTTTAATTACATGTTATACACAAGGACAGTTTGGAATATCAGACACCTTCTTGCAGCAAGTGAATGCCTTGAATCAAGGAACGGAAACGAATACCAGTGTCAGTATGCCTCTGTTGGCAGCTATGGATCCTAATGACGAATCCAACACACGGGAACCTGATCAGCAGTTTTATATTTCTTACGATTTTTACAACAAGGATAATCCACATTTTCATCGCAAAAACCTCTATGGTTTCCATCAAGGTAAACTGCATTTCAAATGAGATCTGTAAATTCATGGTAAGTCCGGGATTGCAGCTGCAGTGGCAGGTTCATTGCGGTTTCCTTGAGAAGTTCGATAATTATATAGTTTTCATTTATGACCGTGCATTGAGATAAACGGGGTATTGGAATGTGTCTTTGAAAAAAAAATTGAACTTGACAGAACATGATATATGATAAAAAATAATTGTATGGCATTTTAATCTTACGTCAGAATAACATTATAATAACTCTAAGAAGGTGGATCATAAATCATACACTGTTATTCCGTATTTTGTTTTAATCTCATACTATGTACACTAGATCTACAAGAAAAATAGTTTGAAGTGACAGATGGTAAAATGTGAGGTCCCCAGGAAATATTTCCCATTGTCAATGCTTCTTTGTCAAAGGTAATGTAAGGCAAGTCAATGGAAACCAATAAAAGGCTATTTACTACCTCAACCAAAAGAGCATTAGCAATTGGGAGATATTGTCACAGAAGTCCCTAGCATGGAACACGTGTTTTCATCTGTCACTTTAAGCTTGATTTACTTAATTTACTACCCCTATTGCATATATTTATTAATTGACATTGTATTCGTTTCTTTTTTTAGTACATGATAACCAGCAGAGACTGTTCACGCCACAATTGAATCACATCACTATGAAGCTGCCGCCATTTCCACTGTTATCACAAAGGGATTCTATTGGAGCAGAACAATTTTGCAACGAAAGTACCGTTCAGGATTGCGATAAGGATTTTTGTGTTTGTACTCATGTACTTCAGGTTAAACTAGGCAACGTCGTAGAGCTTGTCCTTGTAGATAAAGGTTTGTAGATTCAGTCTATTATACTTCATATAATTTGTCAATTTTATTTAATATTATTCTTATGTAGGTTTCACCTATGATGCTAATCATCCATTCCATCTGCACGGTCATCGGTTCCGTGTTGTAGCCATGGAAAAAGTTGGCAAGAATGTGACGGTAGAGGAAGTTAAAGAATTGGACAGAAAAGGGCTTATTCGTAGGAAGTTAGATAGGGCTCCATTCAAAGACACCGTAACTGTTCCTGATGGTGGTTACACCATAGTACGTTTTCATGCTGACAACCCGGGTAAGCGAAATAATACAATGGTTGCATCTATTTATTTTTTAATTGTGTTTTCATTTTATTGCAAAACTACATGTTAGTTTCTATTTATCAAAAATTTCATTTAAATTTTTTATCTTTATAATGAAAATATCCTTGCAACTTATCGACCGAGCAATAGCAGTTCAAGGAGGAATGGAACAGGCTGTTTGTGTGGGAGAGTAGTAACACAGACGAGGCTGGAAGCGAGTAACCTTCGTACCCAAAAATCTCATAATTGAACTGTACTTAAGTGTAAATAATTGCTGTTTATAAGCAGATGTAAAATTTCCTTGCCCTTTTTATTAATTTTCATATGTGATTCTGTGCAACAGTGCGACAAGTGTTAGTCATCGGAAGACTTCAATTTTGTGTATTACATTATCTGACAGTACCTTACGTAGAGAAAATTTTTCTGTGTGAAGTTACCTCGCCACCATTCTTGTCTACGTGGCAATTCATTCATAGAAACAGCCTGTTTCGTCCCCCCTTAAGCTGACTTAGAATTTCAGTCGAAACCAGTGGGAAATCCCGGACACGCTTTCAGTAATCGGTTATTGCTCTAGATCTTAAAAAACGCTATTAGACTTTTTATAAATTATCACAAAGAACGGATAGCAACGGATTTTTATTCTGTTTCTCTATGATTCTCAGCATAAAGCCACATATACATTCTTCATGATTTGAAAAAGCATTATTTGATTTTTCGATAGCGCTAAAGACGTTTCATTTACATTCTGCATTCACTTTGTACGATTTCTCGGACAATACAACACCTTATTTGGATGGAATACGTTACCATATAATTTGCTGCGTACAATCGTGTTGTCTTTTTTTATTTCTTTTTATGCTATGCCTATATCTATGTGTACTTCTACGAGAAAGTCTAATTGTAAGAAGTAAGGTATTGAACAGTGCTATTTGTTCCTCAGGATACTGGATTTTCCATTGCCACATCGATTTCCACATGGAGCTGGGAATGTCGCTAATCTTCAAAGCCGGAGAGCACGAGGACTTTTTACCGGTGCCTGAAAATTTTCCACAATGTGATAGCTGGATGCCTTCTGATCCTCCGGAGATAAGAAAAAAAGTCATCCCCGAGACGACGACGTCCACCGGGACGCCTGTGACCGTAAATAACGGAAGAGAGAATGAAATTGATGATGCAATAAGAAAAGAGGAAGAGTCCATCATCAAATGGCTACCCTTAATTCTACGTGAACTGGGAGTGGCGTCTTCAGCTTCATTGCCAATAATCAATTCAGCAACAATAACAATATGTATTGTCGTTGCAAGTATTAGAACTGTCTTGTAGTATTTATTTATTGTTAAATTAGTGTAGCACAAGATTGCTATTGGAGAAATATCTACACCATTCCCATAGTCAGTATTTAAAAATGTTCAGTTATCATATATTTATGACTTTCTCAGACACAATTATTGAGATTTAACAGTGACGAGGTGTATACTTGATACTTGTGAGGGGTCAATATTGTTAAGCTATCTGATATACTAATTTCAAGACGAAAATACTAGATTAAGAATTAGTGTTTAATATTAACTTCGCAATCCAAAGCTCAATATTTTCTAAAATCCGGGCTGGTTTATAGATGCGTTACGTAACTGTGATATCAATGTAATTAATTTCATAAGTGACTCTTCTATAGGAGCTTCAGATTTTTGGAGGACAAGTAAACGTGTGTATTATTATAATAATGTATAAAGATAAGGGCTCAATTGCAATCAAAGACAATCAATGACGACAGATAATTGATCGTGGAGTACGAATAGGAGTATAATGTAGGCGAATGAAGAAATTAATGTACTTTTTAATTTTATATCAAACAATCTATAGGTTATAGTGCATATCGGACAAAGGCAATTGTACTTGAATGTAAATACAGTGTTATAAGAAGATACTATAAAATAGTTGTATTCCTGTCACGAGAACATTTCTCGGCATTTAACCCGCTACTATGAAAAATTTCGGTGTAGAGTATTGTAATAAACATTTACAAAATTTCTAATTAATCGCATTATACACGCACGTGGTAGTAAGCGCACGTGCTACTTTGTATATTGTCAATGGCACTGTACTTTTTTGTAACGATACAAAAAAAAATTTTAGCTAGTACCGTTGACAACGTAGTATGCCAAGCGTTTAATTAAATCTAAAAGTCCATTGAAAGTGTAACGATCCATTGCGGGAGACATTGTTTCTTATTGGATAAAATTTAATAATGCTCCATGTCTTTTTTGGCAACTATTCTATTATAATGAATTTCAAGGAATTTATTCACAGTAAATACATTCCTTCCTTGAAAGAGGGATGCAAATTATATAAAAGTCTTGAGAAACTCTAATTTAAATTTATATCAAATTAAAGAATTCTTATGTACTAGGCATTATTTCTAAATATAAAAGGCAAACCAATAAGAGAAATCTACGTTCTCCGTCACACAATCGTCATTCTGTCTAATCACAAATACGTATCCCCAACTGAAGCATTGTGTATACGTAGATACAGAAGCAATAATCGGGAATTTCCAGACAGTGGAGTTCAGTCTTTCTCTATCTCTTCTTCTCTTATCAGTGTCTCACTCGCACGGGAACTCCGCTCGGGTATTCCCCGTGAACCCCACTACGTCAACCACCTGTTCCGCCGTAATATCTGTGGCTTGTTTGGTTCGCAGAAGAGACGGGGTTCGCGATTTCGCTTGCTTGCTCGGGCGAGCACGAACACGAGTTTCAGTGGTCCAGAGCAATCACGTTGGTAAATTGGGAGACGAGAGTGGTGCTATATTATAACAGAATGGCTTGTCACGCTCTTGGACGGTGTCGCATCTGCTCTCGGAAACACAAGATACCCGTCTTCGGAGCCGAAGCGACTCAGCACGTTTTTATCCAGAAATCCAACTTGAAATTGATTGTGAGTAGATCAGGAATTAATGAACTTCGCTCCTGAGAACCTATAATTTATCATTTTATTATCCTTTGTAAGCTATGATGTAACATCCTTGTTAAGGAATTTTTGTTCGAATTTTTGTATGTATCTTCACTGCGCGGGAAGATTGTTCTAACGGTCAAAAGGCGGGAATTTTTGAACGCTTGATAACTGCCGCCACGGAATAGGCTTTTCACGTTAAATATTTCTTATGTATTTATTTGATTTCCTTGGATATTTTTATAGATTCTAAATACCGTATGTATCTTCTGCATTGGAAAAATCGAATGTCTCGTGAAGAAGATGGACCCAAGTCATTCGTTTGGAAATGTTATAACGGATGATGAATTTAAATTTAATTTTTCTTCATCTCCTCATGGACAACAATCGGGACAGAGTAACGAGCTAATTACGACAACGGATAATCAACAATCGACAAGGATAAATGTACATGATTCAAAATCACAAAGATTTGGAGAAAGTGTCGGGGAACAAAATGAGCAGTGTAATTGTGGTATGTGCTACTTCTGTAATAGTGGATTACCGCTTCTGGTTAATGTGGTTCACGACCAATCTAGAAGTATCTCGCCGTCTTCGAGGCAAGAAAAAACATTTACCACCTTGGAACCTTCAAAAAAACAAGGCTCGTGTCAACATAACCTCTCACAACACAAATCCGAGGCAATGTCTCATCACTCACAAGTACCTGAAATGAGAAATAGCCCAGGAACCACTGAGCAAAGTAGTGTATTACAATGTACAGACATTCCACGAGTCAACCTCCAGTATAATCAACCAAGCAACAGTAATTAGTAAGTACATAACATTGCAAATAAAGAAAGGTTTATACGTAGAATCAAATTTTTTACCGCCATTGTGTCCAGTTATAAATGGATATATTATAGTGACTAAATAAACCCAATAAATCGATTACTAGGATATGAGCATCATATTGGCATACACATATACGCAATGCAATGAGTCATAAGACAGATTCGGCGAATCAAACGCGTGATAACTACGTAAGGGGGATTTCTTAAGATTATATTGATATAAACTACAAAGACAGCTATTTTATTTATTTTTCCCTAAATTTATAATTTTCGTTATCATTGTTACTTCACAGTGCATCATCGTCGGCGGATAACACTTCTGTGGATTGTGCAGCGTACACAAGCTCGCAAACCGGAAAGAAGAGTCAGCGAGATTTATTCTGTGATTTTTGCAAAAAAAAATTTACCCATGCTGGAGATCTTAATAAGCATCGAAGAAGACATACTGGCGAACGACCCTATGAATGTGCGGAGTGCCAAAAGAAGTTTGCGCATGCGTCGAATCTTGCAAGGCATCAACGAGTCCATTCTGGAGAACGACCCTTTTCCTGTACTCATTGCGAAAAACGTTTTACCAGAAGAGATAAGCTTACTAATCATGTTGCTGCCAAACGATGTAGAAATAGAACAACAAATTTTGTAGATTCGCCGATGGGACAATGAAAAAACAGAAAGAAAGAAAAGGTGGCAATGAACATGTGAGAAGTCGAATCCAAAACAATATGTATCTTAAACACAACTTATACCTCGTTATATATATGAGAATATACCAAATTGTGTATACTAATGTATATTTTTTTAAAGATCAATGTTACTTTACTATTGTGATATGTACTGAAATTATAAGTAAAGATGACACAGAATTTTATCGATTAATAGATGTTTTTTGAGAGAACGTGTTTTTCGAGGTTTTAAGAATTTTAGCGGATATGTAGATAAAAGTTTATTTCCAACTATTGCGATAACATTATAGGCTGGATGTCATGGCCGACTTGTGCCATTGATAGAAACAGTTGTAGTGCACACAATTCGATTGTAACTGACAATGCACTGTAGGAGACTTTGCTTCTTTACAGGTTTTTTTTTTTGGTCAAGTTACTACAAGTGTGAATATTCTAACTGTAAGGTGGAGCACATTCTATATGCTTTAAATGCATAACAGAACTTACAGGGGTAAGTATTCTTGAACTTACAGGGGTATACATAATACTGTTACAACTATTTTATAATAGAGGCTTTTTTCAGGGCTATCCAATATTATTGACCCATGTAGCACAAAATGTTCAAAAATGTTCGAGATCACAACGACTTTGTGAGCTGTATGGGAAAATAGAATAAACGTGATGCAACTATTTGTGAACAGGATAGCAAATATAATTTTAACTTTTTTTTTGTTGTCTTTGGTTACATATGTTATTTAGTTGTACACAAGTCCTATGATTCTGTAGTTATTCAGAATGCCTGTGAGCGGGACCTTTTCTCGTTTTTATAAAAGAAAGTTAATATTGTTGCCAAGAATCTGTTTTCATTAGAGAGATTCCTGGTTTGTATGCATGCATACACTTTATACAAGTTATTATACATTTTGTGAAATGTAAAATGGGTTTACAATATAGAAATATCAATCATATCAGACGTTTGTATGTACTTCTTGTGAAGTTGTTGATGTGTGAATAGTATAACAAGTGTCTTTCTGGACTGGCCGTTGTAGAGGATGAGCCATTAACTTAGCCATGTTGTCATGTAACTTTGTAGCATTTCTTCCTACTTCTAAAATATAGGAGAAATTTTTTGTGTCCAATGCTGTTAGTTCTGCGTATGCTTCATCACACTTATTCTCTGAGCTTGGCGGCTCGTGAACAAACAGAGAGTCCAAGAAGAAATAAGGATTCTCCGTTAATTGTTCAAAGTCTTTATCACTGGTTTGAAATTTTGGAACACAATGGGACCGAGAATAAATTAAAATCACACGAGTGACAAATGTTGGAGGGACAAAACTGTCACCAGTAGCTGGTAGATGAGCATGTGTACGTATCTTCTCGAAGGCTTGGCCTAGGTCGTAAGTTTTCTGTTCCTCTTCAAGTGTATCCTCTGTAATAGTATCCAAATAGTTGAGTATACTCTTGACGTTACTGGTAAAATCACAAACCCAATGAGCTGCCTGTGAATCTAATGTCATCAAAGCGAATTCGTGTCTTCGTTGAAGCATAGATTTTGCACTGACGAATATCTCAACAACTCTCTTGATCATAAACAGTGGTGTATACTTGGCACCAGTACCCAACTTAAATGATGTACAATCATGTTCCTTGACTGTGTCGATGACGAAGATGATTTTCTCTGGTAGATTGAGCTCTGGCAAATTTCTCACAGGCAAATTATCATCGCTTACTGAGGACTTCTTTCCGTCTTGCAAACTATGTGTGGATGTACTGATATTCATTTTGGGCACTGGTTGAGTTATTTTCGATTGTTCTTGAGGATTTAGGTTAGGATCTGCCGTACTGAATGACTGAAATTTCAGAGATATCGACTGAATTTCATCGTTGGAATCTTGTTTGTCTGTCATTTCTCTGTTTCTACGAATCTAACCTAAGAACGTTAAACGTCAAACCTCGAATAACGAATATCTTAAGCCCGTTTACATGCCAGGTAAGCGTTTGCTATTCATACAACTGTTCACATATGAGCGGCTGTCATATATCTACTTGTTGAAGTGGACGCAGCTTTACGTCCGTTCTTACAACCATCGGTGCAAGCTGGTGCATGGGTTTATACGTGCTCCGGAGCAATGTAAGGGTGTTCAAAAATAAGTCGATATCAGAGAGTGCAGCGTTGCTTCTTTATTTATTGCATGCACTTATTCGAGACACAATATGCTCTTAACGCTCTTGGCACATTTTCGAGCACACCTATAATGCTTCGGAGCACGTAAAAACATACCAATGCGAAAGTGATGAAAAACCGGATGATTGCGCATGCGTACAACAGGCTCCTCCGATACCAGCGCCTCATATTCCGAAGTAAAATCCAGAATCCTAAACATTACGTCCATTTTCGCTGAGTGCGGAGACGCATATATGAGACCATGGACACAACTATTTCATCAAGTGAAACTCCTACTTTTACTTCTAAGCCCATCACTTCTTTATCTCTGAAAATATGTTCTGCTCCTGAAGTTATCCCTACAGTAAGTAAGCAATACATATTTAATCCTTAACTACACATGTGTGATCTCAAAGACCTCCCCAATTTTATGTTTAACCCTCCTGCCCAATTCGTCAACGTAAATTTTCAATGATTTAAAAAAAACCGACTATATAATTATTACTTGATACTTGGTCATTAAATTTCTTTAAATTAGGAGACGAGCGATTTAAAACTACTTTTTGAACTATTCTATTCGTTTTAGTAGCTCTATAATCGAGCTCTGTAGATTGAGGTCTGACAGATCTTACCTTCTTGTAAAGTAGTTCCTAGAGTTGGACCTGTGTAGTTACGGGTTAATACACAAATACATTTGGAGCTTATGAAGTACAACAACAAAGTATTATTTATTACAAACTTATCTAATGTGTATAGGGAAAAGAATTATGTGTTCAACATATAGACTCCACTTCGAAGGAACTACTGCACAATCCAAAATTTGAAGAGCTTTTTGCACCTGATGTCGGGCCAGAAAATCCCTTTAAGACACAGCAGCAAAGAGCTGCCAAAAATATGCTCTCTGGTTATGTAGAACAGGCTCATATTAGTGAATTTCAATTTGAAAATCAAAGAAGAACATTTCAAAGTTATGGTATGTATGACTGACATAAGGTGTTACAAGTCTTCATATTTTGTTTTTGACCGTAGGCTATGCATTGGATCCTACTGTGGACGGTAGTGCTGAAGAGGGTAAAACTTTAATTGGTGCTAAAGAAGTGGCCGAGGAATCTGGTGCAAAGACTGTATTTGAAAGTACTACATTAAGACCTGCTGATAAAAGAAAAAGGAATAGAAATGATGATCCGGCAGATATAGAGGGATTTTTAGGTCCATGGGGTGGATATGTGGATGAAAGGAGAGTAGTGAAACCATCTGATGAAGAAGCTGCAGAACTTGAGGAGATTTTAGCTAAAAGAAACAAGAGAGGCAAACAGACAGAAGAGAAACCTCTTGAAGAAAAAACTGTTTTGCATAGTAGGATCTCTAAATATACAATTAGACATCATATAACAAAAAGATTAAGCAATAACATTGATTTAATTATTCTTCAACAGTCAAGGACAGTGTTGACTATCAAGGACGGTCGTTCTTACATGCACCTCAGGATGTGGGTGTTAATCTCAGGTCAGAGTCACCACCTGAACGTTGTTTCTTGCCGAAGGCACAAATACATACTTGGGAAGGCCATACGAAAGGAATATCACAAATTCGATGGTTTCCAAAAACTGCTCATTTGTTACTGTCATGCAGTATGGATTGCAGAGTAAAGGCGAGTTTCATTATTTACTGCAATAATTATATATCATTAGAAACCATTATCGTAATAACCATTTATCTTACTCCAAACAGTTATGGGAAGTTTATAAAGATAGAAGGTGTGTTCGTACTTACTATGGTCATCGTCAAGCTGTTCGCGATATAAGTTTTGACAATGACGGCAAAAGGTTCTTATCTGCTGGTTATGATCGTTATGTCAAATTATGGGATACTGAAACTGGAGCATGTATAAGTCGTTTTACAAGCAGAAAGATTCCATATTGTGCTAAATTCAATCCTGACCCAGACAAGCAGCATCTATTTGTAGCAGGAACTAGTGACAAGAAAATCATTTGCGTAAGTATTAATGCACGTAAGATATTTGAAGAAACATTAATATTTTTTATTCTTATCTTAGTGGGATATCAGATCTGGCGAAATAACACAAGAATATGATCGGCACTTGGGTGCTGTGAATACAATCACATTCGTTGATGAAAATCGCAGATTTGTTACTACCTCAGATGACAAAAGTCTTCGAGTATGGGAGTGGTGCGTATATAAATCACTTTAAACCCAATTAATTATTTAAATGTATAAAATTCAATACCTTTTATTTCCAGGGACATTCCAGTTGATATGAAATACATTGCTGATCCTACAATGCATTCGATGCCTGCAGTGACACCATCTCCAAATCAAAAATGGCTTGCATGTCAAAGCATGGATAATAAGATTGTCATATTCTCAGCGTTAAACCGATTTAAAATGAATCGCAAGAAGACTTTCACAGGACACATGGTAGCTGGGTACGCTTGTGGTCTTGACTTCTCTCCAGATATGAGGTATCGTAGTAGCATTCTATTATAAAAATAAGCTAAGTAGTTCCTTCGGAACACGTCAAATATTATAATAAACAACGATCTGAATCACATTTTATCCTTATTTTTTATGTGATAGCTACCTTGTATCCGGTGATGCTGATGGCAAATGTTATGTGTGGGATTGGAAAACAACTAAGCTGTATAAAAAATGGAAAGCTCATGATGGTGTATGCATTGCTACACTTTGGCATCCTCATGAACCGTCACGTCTAGCCACTGCTGGCTGGGATGGAAAAATAAAGTATTGGGATTAAATACTATGGTCTCCTGCACCTTCTGTGTATAATTATGAATATCTATGAGTCAGATAACGTCAACTATGAGTTATACATATTATAAATAGTTATAATTATAAAAACTAATTTTTATACGTTTAAATGACTACACTGTGGAAATCACATTACACGCGTATGCTGTTCGGAATGTAACTGAATCTTATTTCATTACCTTTGGGATTGGATTCCTCGAAAAAGTATTTAATACATCAATTATCTTATTTAAATATTTATTCTATACTTTATGTACATTCTATTGTGATTCTATCTGATTTTCTTCTGAGCTAGAAGTTGGAATGGGGCCTTGGATGGCATTAAGCTCCAGAAGCAATTCCTGCTTACTAGCAAAATAGTCCTTGTACCACAAAACATGATTTTTCTTTTCCTCGGCTGTCAAGTAAGGATTCTTTGATAGACCCACGCATACTAATTCCATGAAATGACGAATGGGCCCTTTTTTTGGACACCAACCCTCTAGATGACGTTGTGTAAACACGTGCTCACTGAAGTGGACGTTCTGTTCTTCTTCCAGTCCTTGTTCATTATCAATGGGGAATTTCCATAATTTTCTTTGTTCCGTCCAGAGGATGAGTTCCTGGAAAATGTTTTCCGGAGGATGAGTAATAGATAGCTTTTTATCTTCTTCTGCTAATATTTCCCACGTAGACAATTGAGGAACTTCAGGGGCTAAAGATGATGCAGCGTTAATGAATATATTCATTGGTTCGCCAGCTCTTAGATTACCTCCTTCTGGTTGCATCTTGCGACTGTAAAGAAGGAATGATTAAAATTTGTTTGAAATTGATAAATTAAGGAATGTAAAATTTAAATTTACCTGAAACGAAAAGGTTCTCTTTTTTTGTGAAGATTTCTAAGTTCACTGCTTACAGACTGCATCTTATTTGTATAACTAGTAGATCGAGATACATCTCTACTGAACATTTGGGGCATTTTCCTTGGGGTTCGATCTACTTTCATTCTTGCTATTAAATCACTGAAAATTAACAAATTAATAATGTGACTGCGATTATTTTAAGATGGAATAGTATCAAATAATTACTTGAGGCTGATGGACTCATCAATTTTTTCTGACTTTCCCTCTGAACTTTCATCGGTAGAAGTTGACTGCAGGAGTTTACCTAATAATTCTGCTTCGGTCTTTTCTCTATCACCCTGAAGCGATTCTGCTACCTTTTTTGCAGCTCCGATTAATTCACCCTCTTTAAGAAAATATTTATTATAAAAATTTTAAACTTTATAATTTATTTTATGTTTATTATACAAACCATAGTCATCCGTTTTAGTTTGTCTGGGTGCTACATCTTTTACAGCTTTAGGCTTTTTAATCTTTGGTGAAACATCTATAGTCTTTGATATTTTTGGTTTCTAAACAGTACAACATTCCTTTTATATACCATATTTGTTTAGTTTTATTGACACTGGTTAATAATAAGATTTACCTGTGTCATTGACAACAATAAATTGTTCAACATATCAGTAGTATCTTGTTGACTTTCTTCTATAGTTTTCTTTGCTGTTTCAACAGGTGCAGTTTTAGTTTTAGGTTGTTCATTGTCTGAATCAGAATCAGATGATGAAGAAGAGGATGAACCTGAAGACTCCAAAAGTTTAACAGAGGTGTGCAATCTTTGCGAAGAGACCGCAGAATAGGCAACGATGTTCCTTAAAAGAAAATGAAGTTATATTGAAATTTTTAATAAACGACACAATTATTTGAATCATTTGCAATATAAATATACCCACAAAATACTATAAAAAAATTCAATTATTGATGTAGAAAGGTTAAGATTCACAGTACAGTAGTTTAACAAATTCATATGGCATTAGAACTCCATGAATCATAGTACCTGGATAGAATTCGAAGGCTCAGCATTTTACCGTATTTAAAGATACTTGTCACTCTATTTTTTCAAGAGATGTAATTGATTTTACATTAGCATTCAAACGAAGTAAAGTCAAGAATATGAATGTACCGTAACGTACCGCAAGCCATGCGGCTTTACCAACCACACTTCACACCAAAAATACTCCAACCATGATTTTGTATATTTTAAAAGTCATGCTACTTTTAAATTTAACAAATCGAAGTATCATTTCTGGAGTTGTATAAAACCAAATTATGTTTTATATTAAGGGCAATCAAAGAAAATCCTGCAAAAAAGAGTAACTAAAGTAAAATTGCACGACTTATATTTCATTGACTTTTTTTGAAATAAGAAATGTAAAAAATTCTATATCTGTTCAATAATTTCTATAAATTGTAACGTAATTTCCTTTTTTGGTGTCTACTTTCAATGGGCGTTATCTATTTCTGTATTTGTCTTACGGTAGCGCAGGGCTTTTCTCCTACAAATCACGCTCCTGAATCATTGGATTCTCTAGTGCTCGTGGGATTCCATTGTGTACATTCGCTCAGCTGTTCTCAGGCAGCTCCTATCGTGACTCGCAGATCCGCCGAGATTTTTCGTAGTTTTCCCGTTTATTTTTAGTACATTGCGATGGTGCGTGTGATCTCCATGAATTTTCGCAACACAGCAAAATGTCGTGCGTCCTCTGATTCGGCATAATATTCGTCGGTCACGCTGCTCTTGGGTAGCAGTCACTTATCCTTGCTCTCAGTTTTTCTCAACTCTTGGTGTTCGAAAATATTCGACACCTCTTGTATCTGGCTTTTATGCCTTTTGTGTTTTGATTCCTGATATTTTACAAGACTTCACATTGTCAATAATGAGGAGCGACAGATCAAGTGTTTTTCGCGACATTTACAATCAGCCCTATGATGATTACACCAGAGTTAAGCTCTATTCCAGCACAAAAGGTAATCAATCTCAATATCTTTAATTTTCTATTTAAATACACTTTTTTTACTTCTTCTTATACTTCGTTCTGTTGTCCGTACAATGTTCTTTCAAAATTTCTATTTTGAGACCTCAACGGTCAATGAAATCAAACTGTATCTACATGATCCATGCAATGATGCTGACAAGAAAACTGATTGTAGATATAAATAAATGTTTTTCATATCATTTATTACGCTTTTTAAATTCCTTTTGAACAACTTAATCTACGTCTAGAATGTTCTTGTTTGTTTCAGCAAGTCTGCAGCTCATGCAGAGAATGGCATTACTGAAAAGATTAAAAGTTCACAATGGCTGTGTGAACTCTATTTGCTGGAATAATAGTGGGGATTTAATCTTGTCTGGTAGTGATGATCAACATCTCGTACTGACCAATGCTTACAACTATCAGGTAATCCTTAAATTTTGACACAAACTTGTATGATAAACTTTTTCATATTGTCTAGAGTAAATATTGAGGACAAATACAAACTGTGTAGTCCTTGGTTTTCCAATAGAGTAAAATCAATATAACGAGCCTGAGAAATATTGATTACTGCTTATTAAATGGCAGTGTATAGTTGGATCTCTTATATTTATCATGTGGTATTGGTATGATAATATGGATTTAATTCACAGTGCTTGATATTATATTCTGGATACTGAATACATCTAGAACATTGATAATCCCACAACTTTTTTTAACTTTTATTGTACATTGCTGTATATGCTGAAGATAAATCATTGCCTAAATACTATAAAGAAAATATTTAGCAATACAATTTATTGCTTTTAACCATGTTTTTATTTAAAAAGAGGAGATGCATACTCCTATTCATTGAATATATTGAATTCTCACACGAAGTCAGGCCATGCCAAATTATCTTTAATAATCAGAAACCTGTCTTCCATATGTGTGAGGAACCCTGTCTATCTCTCTTAATTTCCAATTTATTTATAGTTGAGTAAAATCTTGTGCCAAGGCTATTTTTGAATCTATCCTTGAAATATAGATATGCTAAGAGATTTAGTTGCGAAAACAATTCTATTGCTTTACCACCTGGTATTTCCAAATTTTTATTATATGAAACAGCAAATCACTAAGCAAATCGTTGTTCTTTACTTTCCAATTAAATCTGTGGCATAGGAACTTTTGTTTTGCAGTAATCATCACTAAAAGAAGATATAGAGAGTGAAGTAAATGTTATCCTATACCTTGACCGTTGAGTCACCTCATCAGTTCATACTGACACCAATAAATTATATATATATTCATTATATTAATTGTAGAGATGATTGACAATGTTGTAAACTAGAATAACAGTAATACCCAAATAATTCTAATTAGATGCATTAACATTGACACACATAGAAATCAGTGGGCTATGCCAAATGGAATAAAAAACCTTGACCTGTGTTTCCACGCGGTGCTAATTTTATCATTGAATCTTGAACCAGCATACTAATCAAGGGTCTCGGCGTATTACATGCATTGTGCAATACGTCCACTTAAACTAAAAATCAATTAGGAGCAGAAAATGTAACATACATGGGAAGCATAGTCGTGACATTTGACCTCTGGTAGTATAAAATTATATTATTCCATAATGTAATACAGCAAAGTAGATTAAATAAGATTATGAATAAGATTATGAGATGGAAGAAAGATAACAATATTCTTTCAGCTATTTTTGGGCTTTGATATCACAGCCTATCAACGAAATTACGTGTTTACATTTGTAATTACTTAACACGGAGAGTGAAGCTTCCACAAGAATTAATCTAGAATTAAAAAAAAAAGAATCTCAAACTATACTTAATTAAGGCTTCGCAGCACATGCATCTTTCATTGCAGGTGTTAACGGACTACAAGACTAGCCATAGAGCAAACATATTCAGTGCCAAATTTTTACCCAACAGTGGAGATCATCGTATCGTATCATGTAGCGGAGACGGTATCATTCTTTACACTGGTAAGAGTTGATGCAGATAAGTATGATAAATGTCGCTTTGCTCTTATGAATTTTAATAAGCCGTCAGAGAAGAACCTTAACATGATTATATATTATTTTTAGATCTAATGAGAAGGGCCGAGACCTTCCACAATCAATTTACATGTCACAGCGGAACCACTTACGAAATAGCTACTATACCTGGCGAGCCTCATAGTTTCTTAAGCTGTGGCGAGGATGGTACTGTGCGATGGTTCGACCTTAGAGTAAAGGACAAGTGCAGCGCTACGAGATGCAGAGAGGTACCGTTTCCGTGAATATTCGTCAGCTTAAGATATTCACGCGTACAAGGCACGAATTCTGATTTCATCAGGATGTATTGATCTCATGCCAAAGAGCCGTGACCGCCCTCTCCGTTAACCCTATAATGCCTCATCAAGTAGCAATTGGATGTTCGGATAGCACAGTAAGAACATTTGACAGGCGGATGCTTGGGACACCAGCTACGGGTAAGTATACCTCCTGGAGAATATAATTGTTTATTAAGATAACTCAGGGCAGATTTATATTTATGTCAGGCCATGGATTTCAGGCTGGATCGATAACGGAGGAGCGGTGAAACCACTTTGCAGTTTCACGGTACCGGAATTCGAGGGAAATTTTTACAGAATTACTTCACTTAGCTATAGCCCGGATGGCCAGGATGTTCTTGTCAGTTACAGTAGCGATCATCTGTACTTATTCAGTGTCAAGGTATTACGTGAAATAACGTGATTTACTTTTTAATACAATTACAAGCTCTTCTAATGTTATTCTTAGGATCAAGGTAGCGTACATCTTAGAAAGGATTCCGTGGCGGGTAAAGGTAAAGGTAAGAAGCATCCTTTGAGATCACCGCAGCCTGTTCGTCGTTTGAGATTGAGAGGTGACTGGTCTGACACGGGTCCTGATGCTCGTCCGGAGCGCGAGGGTGGTCGTCGAGGCGGGACAGGTACAAATCCTGAATATCTTAAAAGTTGTATTTATATACGTTACGGTTTTTTTTTCACATTTTCACACTTTTTGTAGAAATAGCACAGGCACGTCCGGTCCTCCACACATCTCTGATGCAGCGGATGACAGACGTATTGAGCAGAATGCTGAACGACCCAGCAACACGTGCGGCGCTCTCAGGAGGCGGCGAAGACAGTCTGGAAGGAGTGGGCGATCAGCAAGAAGACGCTGATCAGAGTGCTAACGAGAACAATGCAGAACCGGTCGAAGAAAGAAGCAACGAGCAGGAGAATGCTGAGAGAGAATCCGAAGAGAGAGAATCTACTGAGAATGCGGCGCCTAATGATGCACCTAGCGTAGTAAATCCAAGTACAGATGATTTAAATGACGTGGTGGAAGCAGCCTTTGAGAATTTACTAGATGCCAGTCGTGAACATCCTGAACTACTTGAAGAACCATCTTCTTCCGGTTCTACAACTAGTGATAATAGATCCTCGGATAGGCTTAGAACCGAGCCGGAAGTTCCTATGGATACCCAATCTAGTCATCCGGAAGTACCCAAAAGTTCTATTCAATCTCTTAGATCTCTGAGTATATCTCGTTCTGACAGCGAAGGTGAACGAGTTAGTCGCAGTGAGGGTGAGCCCTCGAGTTCAAATCTAGAGCGAAATCGAGATGGAAATATGATGGAGAATCTACACAATAGACTCACAACCATGAGGGATGGTTTTCTTGAGAGACATGGCAGTGAGCCTGCCGTTAGCTTAACGTATTCGGATAAAAGTTCAACTGGCGCTACAATCTCCTTAGGCGTTGCTGATGAATTCACACGTGATAGCTATCACCCAGGTATTTTAAGTAACAGAAATATTATAAATCATACTGCTGGCACTGAATCCTTGTAACATTATTATTAATTTCGTTAGGTCCGTCCGGTAGTCAAAGTCATCAAAGTGCTGGGATGTCCGATGCAGGTCCAAGTAATAACAGCAGTCGTCATGAAGAATCTGCGCATCTAAGTACTGATTTTATTAGCAGGCGTAAATTTATCGGTATGACATTGTGTACGGAATAAGTACAAGGTCATTTATTTTATTTACAGAATCAGATGATGACACGTATAATGATAGCGATGACGAAGATATGGAGTCAGATAGAAGGTAATCATTTAATAATATCATCATTTACAATAAGTCTTTGTAATACAATTTAATTTCTCTTTTTGTGTATCTCTTCTCTCTTTCACAGACTGGTAAATCCTATTGAAACGGAAATGGACGAGGCCATAGCCAATGCGCGCGCATCTCAAGGCCATGAGACGTTCGACGAGACTTACTTAACCGAATTACGCGTCAAGCAGAAATACATGGGACATCGTAATGCCAGGTTTGGCTGAAAATAAACTAGATAAGAATTACTTTTTCTCAATGAACACATCAATAACATCTTTAACGAGTTTAGACATTAGATTAGTGGAGTTACTTGGGACGCAGCTTTGTACTACTTGCCAGCGTGTGATTAGAATTAACTAAGTACCAAGGAAATAATTAGCATCCTAATATTTACCGGATGCACTGGGGGCGAGTTCGGCTTTTTTTCTTTTATCAGTATACGATAACATAAGGGTATTTCTAAGTTCGTTATTCTCTTTCTTTCGCTCTCCCTCTTTCTCTCTGTCATTCTCGACGAGCAACAGGCGCGAAAAGAGCGAAACAAACGGAACAAGATCGAAGTACAAAGAAAGAGTGCAAAATGAGCAAAAGCAAATATTGTCAAATGAACAAAGAACAAGAGAGCGACTGAGTCCCAAAAAAGCCTCCGAGCGGACTGGGCCGTATAGTATCAGCCCGTTCCAAAATTTCTCATCGCCGGCCTCTTCCCTCGTTTGACTCTAGTTTCTTTAGGACAATGATCAAAGAGGCCAACTTCTGGGGCAACGATTACGTCATGTCCGGCAGCGACTGCGGACACGTTTTTTTCTGGGAGCGCGAGACCGCCAGGCTCTGTATGCTTCTCGAAGCTGATCAGCACGTTGTCAATTGTCTCCAGCCACATCCCTTCCTGCCGATGCTAGCAACTTCCGGAATTGATTATGACGTTAAACTATGGGCGCCCATCAACGAGGAATCAAGTTTCGATGACAAATTCGCTGAAGATGTAAGTCCCTCGCGTATAGGATTTTATTATCGTGCGCTTATTATTGGCTAGGATCTTGATCTTTTTTTTTTTTTTTTTTTTTTCATGACAGCTCCAGAAGAGGAATGCCGTCATGCTGGAAGAGACCAAAGACACCATCACTGTACCTGCCGTCTTTATGATCAGGATGCTGGCTTGTCTCAATCAGATACGCAGAGGTAGCGACACTTTGTAATCTTTAAAACTGGCTCAAATAGCTCTAGTACTTTTGTAGAATAACTCCCAGTACTCTTTTTAGAATAACATACTACCTCACTTAGATCAACCGTGCGAGTTACAGGCTGAGATTTTTATTTGGATGCCTACTAAAAGCGCGATGGCCTTGAGCATCGAGTCGCGATACTATTATCAAGACAATTAACGTGGACGACGTCAATCAATTGTTGGTTTTATAAGCTCAGACGAAGTTTGTTATTATAGTTACGGCAGCGATTATATATTCTTTTTTTTTTCATTCGGTTTTTCTCTTTCAAAATTATCTCTAGATTTATCGTGTATATAGAATTATTGAAAAATTCATATATCAATTGAATCAATTAAAGCTGATCCTTCTTTTGAAAATCTTTACTCGCAGCATTTTCAGTTCTCTTAGTGTTTCTCGGTATGGCAATGTACACCCTCATTGAAATTTGTACTAAACATACTAATATCTACAGTATAACCATAGAGGACACGCATGGATATATATTCTAAGAATTTCGTTTTTATATATATATTAAACAAAATTAAAAGGTACATCTATCGACAGAGAAACAGAACCTCGAGAAACTTTTGTATCCCGTCGAAAAAAAAAAGTCGAGTAAGGATTCTAAAATCACGTTTTCATAATGATTTATAAATTCCTAACGGTATTATAATCGCGCGATTAACGAGGGACCTTAATTCGAAGCACTGCCAAGTATTAAATGAGAATCACGAGATCCATATTCTTCCAAATTACACATGGAACGAAAATTGACGTAACGTGTACCGATATAAAGTAATCAGAATCTAAATAAAGTTTCATCACCGAGATGGCCGCTTGTGATATAATGTACATTGATAATATATTCAATGAAATATATTTTATTCAGTAAGCAACCTTCTATCCTGTCATCCAGTCATCGGATCGTGCAATACTTCTCGTGTGCATGTTGTTCAAAAGTCATTGTCTAAATATGAAAAAGCATATACTGTACCTAAGGGATGAAAACAAAAACATCCTAGTTAAAGTAAGTGTAACGTACGTCCCATGTGTTCTGTGTACGTTTTTTTTTTTTAAATCACATTACCCGGCACCAATTCGATATTTGAATTTCGAGAAGGAAACCTAATAGTACATTTTTCAGCTTAGTTCCGGCGCAAATCGACCACGAAATTTTGACTGTGCTGGAAACGATGTGTCAGGAAGTATAAACGAAGCCACTAACTAATTGATCGATCGATGTTTTCACAAACTTTTGCATGTGGATGTCCTTATTGTGATTAACAATAAGAAAGATATACGTGAAAATTTCTCAAATTGAAATTATGTCTTTCTCTTACGTAATACAAAGTGGACTTTCATGAAAATCAAGAGGTCATGCGAATCGAGAGATCGAATGATTCCCATGTGTCTGAAATCCCATAGTGGCTTCCGCTTGGCCTTAGACCAACGTTGGAGCCCGAAAAAGTGTTTTGTCTTTCTTTTCTTTTTTCTTTCAAATAATTAAATAATAAGGAAGGACCTTTGAATTTTTTTTATATTAACAATTGAATTTTCGTTGTTCGTAGGACGCGGACGTAACAGGAGAAGAAGCGGCGATGAGACTGACGATTTGCGAGGAGGTTAAATTGCTATTGACATCCGTGCCGCAAGATATAGCTTACAATTAGATAATCATCCTGACGGCTGTTCCACGAAGGAAGCAAGATTAGAAGAAGATTAGCTTGTGAAATATTGAAAGGATAATCTATCGAGATGAAGGAATATTAAAGTATGGTCGACTAGGTAGAGTATCTGTACCAATGACAGATAGATACTGAAAAAAATGAAGTAACTTCGATCGAAGCTTCATCATGCTCGATTATGATTGGCGTGAATAATTTAATTTTCATATTTTCTATTCGAACTGGAAGTCACTCAAGTTATCCTAATGGATTTCATAGTAAAGGTTATGTTGCGTATTGGATGAAAAAATCGTTTTTCTTGAGACTCGACCAAAGTTTAGATATAGATATCGAATGCGTTAGATAAAAATTACGTAGATCAGATTAGGCCAATTGTTAATGAAATATTTAAAAAGGAAACGAGGACGTGTCAGATACATTTGGATTTTCTTGTAGTCGTGATTTAACGTACGTCCACCGGTGTGAATCAATGAACGTTAAATTCTCATTGACCTTTTTTTCTGGGGTTTGTTTTACTCGTTTCCGTACTATCAATTTTTCGGGACTTGATAAACGAAATTATGAAAACTTATAAACCTTTGTTCACAACGGTTGCTTTGGGTATGATCGATTCTTATTAAGAATCTCGTTGGTAGTCTCTCTTTTTGTTTTTTTGCAAATTCTGATCAAACTGTAATACCGACAGGAGATAGGTTTTTGGAGTAATAGTTACTAGAACGGCGAAGGAATAAACTATGTAGATATTATTTGATACGAAGCCATGGCTGAGTTTAGGGCGTCTCAGTTAGTCAATGAGTGCAAGTATAATGCATTAATAAGATAATAAGGGAGACCATAATGGGTCTGCGCTTCCGAAACCGCTATGAGAATTTTGCACTGTTGCAAGTATTTGTATTTGTTTTTTTTCTCGTTTTTTTTTTCTTCTTTAGCGATAAGAACAAAGACTAGTACTTTGCGCAATTATAAACTTTTTCTTGCATTTCACGGTCGTTCCTAAGCATATCTCGGACTGTTTGATGAATTTCGACGTCTTCAATTTCGACTAATGTTTTTTTTTGGTTCTTTTTATATCACTAAATTGTCCCTTTTATTCGAGTGAAGTAAAGCGAGTGATGACGTTACGGTTGTGAGTGACGCGTTGCGTATCCTCCAGAGGTGGCCGTGGTATTTTTTTTTTTTTTTAAGGGGAGAAAAGTCAATATCAAAACGTTAAGGAAAATGAATAAACGAGGGAAAGTGAGGAAGGACATACAAAAAAAATAAGATAAACATGAGCCGTGTGCCTTAACGCAATAATATTCCTGATGGTTCTGTGTCGAGTGACGTAATGCAAAAGTTGCCTAGAGAACTGGAAGCAAGAGAGTAAAACATCTCGCGCTCTCTGTTCCTCCTTATTTTTCAATAAAACTAAGGGAGAAGGGATGTACCGCTCCTCTGGAGGGTTCACTGATAATACAAAATATCACTAGAATTTAAGCCATTATACATATAATAGAGCAATTCTAGGTGTCCTGGATGAACCTATACCAGCGATCCTTTGTGCCGTGACGCTTTTCGATTGTATATTTAATACTGAATATGTTTACAGAATAGTATTATATTGTAGAAATTTTGTTTATAATAAAATGCTTCAAAGAACGTAACTTACGTGTTGCTATTTCTTTGGCCAAATGTTACTTTATATCATTGGAACTTGACTTACATTCGAAACTTATTCGAAATGTAAAATTGAGGCTGAATCATAATCTCACAAAATATACGGAGTAGATGAAAATTGAATTGAATTTGTAAAATGTCGAAATTAAATTACGCTCTATTGAAATATTAATAAATTAAGTGTTTGGAATATTAAAATAATTCATTGAATCAATAAAGTTAACCCTTAAAAATCAGAAATCCTGACCAAAAATATTTACAAGTACTGGAAGTTAACCAAATTTGTGAACGCGCAAGACTCTGCGAGTTGTGGTTAGGTCTTGCGGGGTAGTGCGGTTGCTATTAAGCACCTTCTAGTCTAAAGTTACCCTCTGTCGGAGACATTTTGCATGGAACAATGGTTGACGGGTTCGCCGTCGGCGGCGGATGTAGTTACTTACGCTGAACCTACTGAGCTTGCTCGATGGGCACCTACGTGAAGTTAGCACTGTAACATTTACTTTTTGAACTTTCTCTTTTGCTAAAAAATTGTTGGTTTTTCGTTGGAACAATTAAAAAATTTGGTTGTCCATTTTTGTAGAAAATGGAAAATGAAATTTGGAGTGTGAAGTTAGCCCCAAAAGTCTTATTTCTCACAATAGTTATTTTCGTACTATGGGCGTAAAGTACAACTTCACGTCGGCGATACATTTTCCTTGAATAAAAAAACTTAATTAATTCAGGATAATATAATTAAAGGACGATAAATAATCATGTAACGAAAAACGAAGATTCAACAATAATGTCTAATTTAATAACACAATGTAAACTTATAGCGATAATGATGTCTGTGATGGCATTGATAATAATAACGATGGCGTTATAATAGCACCAAATAAACATAAAGTGTACAAAATATAAAATCTTAATTAAAAATAAGAATTCGCACGATAGTTTTTAAATATGGGCTTCCCCGATCCTCCACCTGGTACGGTCACGATTTCCGCGATTTACGTAGACATTCAAATCGGGCTTCCGCAGGCGAAAAATCGAAGAGACCCAACAAAGTATTAACGTACCCTTTCTCTTAGTTTCTCTTGGATGCTCCAGCTCCCATTGACACTCATCTACCTTACAGAGATTTATTTTTTATTTTCTGAACATTAGGACAAAATTGTAATCAATTGTTATTGTTATCGTAAATTTATAATAATTGTAATAATAATTGTTATATTAAATACCGATAAGAGTTTACATAATTTAGTTGGCAATATCGTTTTCGCAACGTGAACACAGCTATTCTCAATTCTTCTCCTTCCTTTTCTTTCACCCTCTCGTACCTATGCCTCGGCGATTAATTACAAAAAATTTACGTACTAAGCCAAAAGTCCACAATAAGAGACGACATCCTGGCTATTCCCGGACGTCTCCAAGAATCGAGTATGATCTCATATATAATTGATCTTGCTATCGAAGAAGTGTACAGGAGCTCAATACAGTTATTAGACAAAGAACAAATATCACTAGACAATATAGCTTGAAAAATATTAAAGACAAAGAATTCAATAGTACAAACAATGTAATTGCGAGATCTAAATCTCACGAGGCTCCGTTCGCATCCTCAATCCGCTTATTCCATCATCCTGAGCCACGTAGTCGTCTCTCAAAGTGACAGATCGGACCTGCATTATCATAACCTCTCTTGAGAATGGCTTAACGTTGCCGCCACATATCATTGCCTCATTACTTGCACACAATATAATTTCTAGCCTATTACATTACGGGGTAGATTTCGCATCAGCTTTTTGAGGTACAGTCGGATCCAATTTTCATGTCATATACACATTACGTTGCATAAGGAAGTGTCACAGCTCGCCGCTAGATGGCGACAAAGTACGATCTCCTTTACCGACTTTTTTAAACCCCACGCAAAACAAAATTGCTCGTAAACGTTTCGCACAGTCGGTGTTGTCAAATGTATTCTCGTGTAGCACATAGAATATATAAATTGTAGTTTCTACGAGTTTGAGAGCACCCTGCCAGGTACGCCATTTAATACATCAATGTCTTCCCGCCGAACTGTCCCCCAACAAACGTGCCTGCTGTACGCGCCATCTTGAGCACGCACAATATGTACTCATGTATACAACACAACAACAAAACAGTACGAAAAAATGTACAATAAAAAAGTTGATCTAGATATATATATATTATTTATATATATATATATATAAAGAGAGAGACGTGTAAAAACAAAATAAAGTATTTAACAATTAGCGTTACTCGCTCATCTATCCAAGGAAACGCAAAAGGCCCGCCACTTTGGCCACGTTCTCGGTCCCTTGGTTTTCTAATCGCGATAACGAGAGTCACTACAAGGGTTGTATACGTCATCCCTTAGAATGTAGAAGTCCTACGGCATGTCGATTCAAGTGGAATGCGCGATGGAGTTAAATACAAGGAAATTACGGCACGTTGAATTTTAACCAACCGTATCTGTATATAAATACTATACAACGAGGGCTGCTTAATCGATAATTTTTTTTTCCTCTGACTGATAAAAATTTTGAGAAGCACCCGATACCTTTCAACGATACAATTTATTTATATTTTTAATCGTGCCCTGTCGAACTATACGTAAATACTATATTGCGATAAGAGAATTCTTTAGATTCCATTTTTTTTTCATTATTCCTTCGACGTGATACAGAAACGATCACTATTGCCAATTTCAACTTTTTTTCCTGTACCCTCCACGCTCAACCGTCCATTTTACCTTCGCGTGACTCTCGCGTAATGTGTGGACAGTGCAGATATATCGTAATATTTATAATATATATAGTATTCGTATATTATATTAAATAGACAAACGTGAATAGTAGTTAGGCCAAACAATGGATGATGGATGAAAGATGTCGCGACTCTATTGTTACGCTTCATTCGTAAAAGCCGTGATAGTTGTATACGTGATTTTGACAATTCTTATTTTTTTCTTTCTCTGTCTCACTCTCTCGCTCTTTTTTACAAACACTCTCTCTCTCTCTCTCTCTCTCTCTCTCTCTCTCTCTCTCTCACTCTTTCACTACGCGACATACAATGTACCGACGATCCATTTAACGATCCACCACCATTGATTCTTTAATCTGTTAATTCTTTGTCTCTCCCATTTTCGCATTTTTCAAATCTCCCGCGTCATGGCAATTTCCGTATTTCGAGCTTGACGAAAAACGTGGAAAGAACCAGAAGCTCATTTGAATCTTCAGTATTTCCCGCGCTTTCGCCGCCATGACACATCGAACACATCTAATCTTATCCATAGAAACACAGTCCGTTGTTTGACGATCGATGAATTGATTTTTCTATTTTTTTTTTGCATTTTCCCTTCAAAGTTGCGATAATTACGCGCAGGATGTCTTATTGGGACCGAGAACGGATCTCGTTGAGTTTCGCACGTAGGATGACGATGACGTAACGACGCAACGACGTATGCGCAGTTAAGCGCGCAACGGAGGACACGAGAGCCATGGAAATTGTCAAACACAGTGAATAAGGAGAGACTACGTGATTCAGGATGGAACTGCCTGGAGGATCTGACAGGACGTTTAATTAAATGTATTAATTCGAAATATTCGTCTGGTGCAATAACGCGAAACAGGTGATTACAATAGATAATAAGATATTGGCGAGTCAAGAATGTAACCGGCAATAGAATTTGAGAAGGGGAAGATTCAACGAGACCCGATTCGGGCGAGCAAGACACCACCGTTAAAAGTTCTATAATGAGAAACAACTACAATATGTATATTTAAGTAAATCGGCGTTATCACCTAAAACGTAACCGGCTTACTTCGATAATCCTCGACTTCATGTTAAAATTGTATTTATAATTTTATATAATAAAGAACCGCTGGGATTGAAATCGACAGGGCAATAGAAGATTATTGATCGTAGTAAAATGAAAATCATACAATCAATTATTTCTATCATCATCATCCGCATTATGGACACTTGTGATAATCATAATAATGACAATAGTTTATCGGTAACAAGTAGTAGTAGTAATAGTAGTAGTAGTATTAATGATCGGGTGATTGGTGGTGGCAAAAGTAGCAACAGTAAATAGTAAATAGTTAATAGTTATAATGTTAATGACAATAACAATAATAATGATGACGATAATAATATGAAATCATTAATTAAGTATTTTATACAACAATCACACGTAGAAGCGACGAATTAGAGTAGTAGAAATAACTATTCTTTAATTTATCATTTATATATATATATATATATATATATGTATATGTATATATATATATATAGTATCCTGTAATATATTAAATCATATCTTCTTCATCGTCTTTCTCCTTTCATTTATTTATCGTTAATATATTTATATATTTATATATATAATACGATGGCAAAAGTGTTTCTTTGAATTTCTCATAGATGGAGACTCCCTCCTCCCTTTATACCCGATATCGTTATAAGAGGATGTACGAACGTGTAGAAAGGTTCATTGTAATTAAGTAAATTCGATAAAAATTCAATTTTAATAATAATCGCCTATTGTTATCAATAAATTCATGTAATCTGCCGTCCACTTTCCCCTATTTTACCAACCTCCCTCTCGTCCAACTCCCATTCATCATAGCTTCGCTTTCTCTTCATATTCCAGTATCCCCTCTTTCTCCTCCTTTCATTAAGCTTTCAATAATTATATCTATCAGCAATCCAGTATCCTCACTCACGTATGTATATCATATGTATGCATCGTATACATAATAATATACATAAGATTAATTATGCAAAGAGAGACACGACAGTGAACGTAGTCTATTTTAATTGTTTTTTTTTTTTCAATTTCGATATTCACGTCGTCCACGAGTACATCATCCCCGTACCATCCTTATCAAACAGGCATGGTACTTGTATATATTTATATTGCATATAATAGATATTTATATTACATATAGATATCTATATATATATATATATACATAAAGGACAGTATTCGTACTAGGCACATAAAGCCACTTTAAGCTAACGTCATGAAAATCTTAACCTTTGCTAAATTCAAAGCAATCGTATGTAAAGTATTGAACGTTGATAATCGATGTTAGCTAAAAGCGACTATATGAGAAAGGTGCGAATAGGAGCTACGATTTTGTGTGTATAATAATAATAAAAAGTTTTGTATATATAAAAGATAGTTATAAATAAATAGCGAGTGACGCTGTTAAATCGTACAGGCGCGTGTACGTAATGCGCGAGCCAGTATCGAGAAACTGGTTTGGCGACCGTCACTTACGAATACATAGATATATTCGCGAGTAATTAACAATTATGAGGATTAACGATTAATTATGTAAAGCGATTAGCACGGTCCCGCAAATCTTTAACCGGAGTCCCGACAGTCGCCGGCAGCGAGATAACAAATATAAGAATGACATGGAAGAATGTTTTCTGTACAATGATCATAGTATGCAATGACGTCATCAAGACAAGATTCTCGTCACTGACTGTACGCAATTACAAGCTTGCACTGAAAATTCGAAAAATTGAAACAATATTTTAACTGTTAGGGATACCGGCGCTTACTTTTCTTTTCTTTCCTTGGTACCTTTTGTCATTTCTCAAACCTTTTTTTTTTTTGTTACACATGCATATATGTATATAAACGATATATAGATATATACTTGTGTATGCTACTATGTGTACAGCTGAATATATCTATATAGTGTACCGATAGAAACGATTTATACTGTTCATCGCTTACATCCTCTCTAATCGTAGATTCGACAAGCCTCCTATGTGATGCAAGGAATTAGTTCGTGGCTAACGCCGGGCCCTTCTTATTTATTTATTTTTTAAATTAGCGACACTTCCTAAAGCCGTCACTTTCGTCGGCGTCCACATCCTAAGTCAGACTTCATTCACATACTTGTTCATCATTATCATCATTATCTTCACCGTCAATCTTCCTAAATCCGTATTAGCGTCAGAACCGATTCTGCTTTTTAAAAAAACCGCCACGAGTCGTTCTCACGCGATAACCAATAGGATCCTGTTTTTTTTTTTTTCTTTCAAAATCTACAACCCCCTAAACGTCAATTCCGTTTCCTTAATTCCCATCAGAAGTATAAGGTACCGGAAGTAGAGGTTACGTTCCCATTTACATACAAAATGGCCGACCTATTGAAAAGCGCCGTTAGAGTATCCTCCACTTGCTCTCACTTATCTTTTTCCTTTTCACTTTCTCCCGGTGTCTTCCTCTCTTCGCGCTTTCGTCAACGTGTCGTATCTCATCCCCATGACCTCCCGTAACCTTTCCACAAATTAATTGCGATCGCAGTCTTAACAGGAAGTCTTTGAGACCCCTGCGAAGTATCCCTTAACTAGATGGCACATCGGTCGATTGTACGTCTTTGATCGGAGCAAGAAGAGACTCCACTCGAATTATCGTATCCATTCCGTTCTTAAGTCCCTGGTATGAGATTATTATTATTATTATTCTTATATAATTCATAAGCTTCATTATACTTCATTATTTCAATTCGTCTCGTTTAATAATACTCCTCCCCAGGACCTCTTATCACACGTGCCTTAAAAAACGCTCCGGAACGAAAGATGAGAAAGAAATTCGTCATCGACGAAGTCGAGGTCGACGCTTGTCGATTTCTACGAGAATTTGTTACTCTAACTAACGGCTTAAGCCAAGTCTCGTAAGGAGACTCTCGTAAGGACCGTCTGTCACAGCGAGAGATTCCAGGGCCCGGCGATTTCCGGCTCAGTCGCGCATTACGGGTCGGATGATCTTTTCTTTCCTTCCTCTGACCTTATCTTTGCTTAGCCTTTGCTTGCTTGCCTTCTTGTGTCTTAATTTTCTTTTTCTGTTTCTCTCTTGTTTTACGCATACCCTTTTTCTTTCTTTCTTTTTTGCTTTTTTTTTTACACAGAGTAGGTACGTACGCTGAGCAGGTACTGGGCGAAGTACCGCTAAATGGTTACTTGGTACCGCGCTTAGTACTAGATACATTCACGTGGTGCAACGCGGAACTGATGTGGCTGCTTTATTTGTGGTTGAAGGTGAACGGAGAAGGCCCTGTGACGGCGCTTCGGTGGAAGTGCACGTTCTGCCACTTGTTGTCCCTCTTGTGCCAGACGCGGCTCTCCTCGCTTTGTTGGGTGTGCGCGACACCTTGTCTGTATGTTGATAAATTATAAGTGATTAATTTAATTAACATTATATATTTGTATTATCCACTCTTCATTATCGTCCAATTTTACTCACTTGTCCATGTACTGGGTGAGCCTGACGTACGCGATGCACGCTGCATCCTCGCCAAGAAGATGGACGTGCGGATTCAAGATCGTCGTGTTGACCGCCTTGCAGTTCTTTCCCAGCACTGCTTGAATAGTAAATTAATTTTAGGTTAGATTTATGTCGTTGGTCATCGCGAGCAAAGCCGTGCAATTTTTTTATGATTTACGGAAGTAACGGCCATGACCACGAGTTAGAGAAAGAGAGCGAAAGAAGAAAATGGTGGATAGACAAATAGGTACTGCCAACCATGCGAGAATAAAGTTAAGAAATGTAAATCGAGTACATCTTAGTATAATAATAATGGTATTTGAATTTAACTATGATAAGAAGCTGGAGTGCTTTGTAAATACGTATATACGCATAACAGCCATTCAGTAAGCGAAGTATAGTAATTTAATGGAATAGAGGTTAGATTCTTAACTTAAATTACATGCCAAAGAAAATGGCAAAGCGTATAATAAGGATCGTTATAAAATAGTGATGCAAACAAGACATAATTACCATTATCAAAGTAAAATTTGTGAAAGTCCATTCCCTCGACTAAATTACCTAGAGCCTCTGGCTCGAACGCGGTCAGATGGGGATCACAGATTTTCCTGGAAAAAAGAGAAAACATTTTTTTTTTTTTTTTAATAAATCAAACAAATTACCATAAAAATATTTTTATGGTAATTTGTTTGATTTATTAAAAAAAAAAAAAAATTTTTTTTTTTTTTTAATAAATCAAACAAATTACCATAAAAATATTTTTATGGTAATTTGTTTGATTTATTAAAAAAAAAAAAAAATTTTTTTTTTTTTTTAATAAATCAAACAAATTACCATAAAAATATTTTTATGGTAATTTGTTTGATTTATTAAAAAAAAAAAAAAATTTTTTTTTTTTTTTTAATAAATCAAACAAATTACCATAAAAATATTTTTATGTATTACGAAACTCACGTGTACGCTTCGAAGTCACCGATATTGATGCTCTCGATCAGCTGTTCGGTCATCTTAATGATTTCCTGGCGGCGAGCTGTAATCGTCAACACGTCACAATCAGTATGAAATAGTCAATTTTAATTTCTCGGGTCCGGCTCTTTCCGAAACACCGTACAGCACAACAACCACATGCAAACAAAATCGTTTTAAGTCTCTACGTCCTATTATTTTTATTTTTATATTTTTTTTTTCAAAGCAGACCACTATTCCGCAATCCTTCTACAATTTTTTTTTTTATTTATTCTACGTCATCTTAGGAAAAAGTACGCGACGTGACAATCGGCCGATTTTCATGTATACAATCGGAGCGATTCAGGTACAATAAGACACAGTATAAGTATACAAGTATAAATTCTATTGAAGACTGACGGTCAGTATACATGTATATTAACAACTGTGTGTATATATATATATACACCAATTGAAAGAGCTAAAAATTAAATAACCGAACGTTAATAAATTCGGAATAAAAAAATGTCTTTCAGTATCGATATCACGAAGCTCCGTTATCAACAATCAATTCAGGACTTTCGAGATTTGTTCTTTAATACCTGTAGAAGAGCACAATAAAACGATTACGTCAGCTTTATTTCGAAAAATAAAATTATTTCACCTGATAATTTGTGCAGAGCTTTTTTCGAGTTTTTTTTTTGTTTTTTTTCTTTTTCGTCGAAATGCATAATTTTTTCTTAACACCCCGCAAGGTCTAGCGTGACCACCACCATTGCTACCACCACCACATTCTAGTACAGGTTTTCCATTTACAGCAACCGTAAGGAATAACGAGCAGGAAAACAATAGGACAACAAAAAATTGTAACCATAAACTTGACTGTGCTACGTAGATTAATATTCTTAAAATCGAATCGCTCGATTGCCAGCGATAACGAGGATATCGAATATTTCGATATATCGAACAACCTGCTAGTTTATCGATTATTTTCAACGGCCGATGTATCGCTACGATATAAATTCTCGAAAGTCGCGGCTGTATGTACTTTGTACCGGGTTTTGGAACGAGTAGAAAAAAAAATAAAAATAAAAATAAAAAAAGTAAAATTAAGTCCAACGCACAAGAAGGCGACGAGTCATGACGTAACGAATCAGCCTGGTACTTATTCGACGATAAAGTTAATGGCATATACCCGACACCTGAGACCATTCTCCTTGACACGTATACATAACCTTTTTAATCACAGGTCGTTAAGGCGGATACGCATGAACGTTAAAAATAATAAAATCGCGACATATCGAATCGTTATGCCGGGTTTCGCGCGACGACGAATAAATTCCGAATGAATTTTCTTTTTTTTCCTTTTCACGTAACAAGAAGTGTAATGCTAACTATGACGACACAGGAGGATTTAAAAGTAATCGACCATATCTTATGATTATGACTATTGTTCGTGCGCAACTGGCGAATAATCAAAAACGATTATCGCCTCTCGTAACTATAAGCGAAACGGACGGCAATGGCGACTCGTAAAAAATAAACGGCTGATACCAGCCTAATATTAGTAACGTTGGGAGTTTGCGATAATCGTTTCTATATAAACCGATATAACATGACGCGGACGATATTCGTGTTGAGTGTATGGTTAATGTCTACTTGTTAATTCTAATACATATTATATATATAATTTTTTAAATATATATATATATATATATATATGTATAATTATTTACAACAGCTACTTGTATTGCGCTTTACCTGAGCACTGCGAATTCGTCGAAAGCTGACTACATATTATATATATAATTTTTTAAGCCTAATATTAGTAACGTTGGGAGTTTGCGATAATCGTTTCTATATAAACCGATATAACATGACGCGGACGATATTCGTGTTGAGTGTATGGTTAATGTCTACTTGTTAATTCTAATACATATTATATATATAATTTTTTAAATATATATATATATATATATATATGTATAATTATTTACAACAGCTACTTGTATTGCGCTTTACCTGAGCACTGCGAATTCGTCGAAAGCTGACTGCAGGTCTTGATAGGACACATGATTCTTATTTCTACAAGCATATACCTTATTTTGTATTAAGAGACAGGCACTTGAACGAAGTTTCGTTAGCTTGTCAAAGAGATGGGTTGTGAGAGAAAGAAAGAAGATTAAAAAAGAAAAAAATACAAAACGATGAATGTCGCGACGAATATGACGGATTACTCGGAGTATGAATTTCTTTTTTTTAAATTAAAAAAAAAACAAACAGGTAAAAGCCCCTTTCGTTGGCCGTTACGGCATATACGTTGTCACGAAGAATTAACTATCTCCGGAGCCTCCACCGTTTTGCAAAAAGAAACACAGAAATTCCCCGTTTTTGTCCATGACGAATTTAATCGAGGTAACAAAATAGTTTATTCAGAATCTGCGACTACGCCGATAAGGCGTGCCGAACCGTAGCCTGGGACGAGGCTGGGTATTGTAAAAGGTAAGCAGAAAAAAGAATCTCCTTTCAAATATATCTCGACAAGGAGTCTGTCCGAAGGAAAAAAAAAAGAATTTCTTTATCCGGGGATTCCCCGTCGTTTCTGCTTTTTCTCTTCTCCTTACAACTCCTAATCGAGCTTTGCCTCAGTGTCGTCGGAGGGAGCCACTTGTCAACGTCTCTAGCGTTCTAATGCGACACCACACTGTATATGCTTTGAATACGACCCCCTTAGAATTATAACGTGTAAATATACATATATATGTACGTATACTAGATTAGGACGAAAACATCCAAAGACGGTAACCAGTCGCCTGCAGTAATACATTTGAATAAAGGTCAAACGGTCTACGCCTAATGCCATTGACGAATAATAATACTGGGCGCGCATAGTAGCGACAATGCGTCGTAAAGCCTACAACGTTCACATATTAGCACGACACAGCGTTTAGGTATTTGTTTTTCTTCTTTTTTAAAACATTTATTCAATAACTTGACAGTTGGTGCCACCTAACGTCGCACATAAACAGGACGTATACACTAGACGTACATTGTGTATATCTATACATGTCATTCTAACGCTAGTGCTTACTCTCTTGCCAGAAACGTCTACCTCCTAGTCTTGTACTCCTGGTGCAACCGTATTATTCTCCTGGACATACCGGTACGAACATCACATTAGGTAAGGGCGATACCGAATCTCGTGATAAGAATAAACATTGAAATACGCGAAGCAAAGAGGAATAAATAAATGATTCCTGTCGTGAAAATCTTTCAAGAAAACAAATAACTAATCTTCAGTAGTTACTAAAAGTAAGGTTATGTCTTCTCTAAGGACAAAATTCAGAACAAGCTACAACGCCTAAGCTTCGAACAGATGTCCCGGCCGTTGGAACTTTTCTCAGAATTCCCCTCGCCAGGCTTACCGTCGTCCCGACCGCAGTGCTCGGCCCCGAGCTGACAGTATCCTCCACCGGCTGGTCGACCTTCGGGATCTTGTGCATGCAACGAGCCACGAGAACGGGAAAGCGTGTTGAGACAAGCATGCGGAAACACAGTGAACATTCAAAATACGTCCGTTGCAATAGAAACGACGCGACAGTGTTAGACGTGTTAATAGGTTATGTTAAAGGACGCGTGGATCGAACCGACGCTACAGACGCGTGGCAAAGTGACGGCAAGCGGTTAACTTCAGAGTGTACTTCAGAGTGTAGGTGAAGTTAAATATGGCGACAGTGGGAATAATGTGTGTTGTGCGTGCGCGTGTGTGCTTGGCAAGTCTACAGACCGGTGGTCGAGGAGTTGTGACGTCGTGGGGTGTTGTTGGCGTTGACGTAACCCGTCGATGCTGATGACGGGGAAGCTCCTGTTTGGCTGTTACTGCTGCTACTGTGACTGGAGCCACTGCCACTTCCGCTGCCAGCTAGTCATGCAACCAACCAACACATCATGAGCTCTCACGTTAACGACTAGAACGAAAACCGGGAGGTGCCTCTAGAAGAACGTCTTCTAGAGCGTCTTTCACAGGTAGGGCTGCTTATGTCTTCTCCTCGTCGGTATCAGGTCCCGGGAGGTTGGTTATCTGTTTTCTTTTTAGCGTTTTTAAAACCCGCCATTGCCAACCGATACGCGCAGTATAAATTTTTAGATCCAATTACTTTTCTTTTTACTTTGTCAACTAGCTTCTCACACAAAGATGCGTTCGGTGGGCCAGGCTTACCATGGAGGAAGCTTTGACTAATTATTCTCGTCGATATAAAATGTTTTTTGCTTTATCAATGCCATAACCTCGTCCATGGTTATTTCTTTTATTTGTCATTCGTATAAGTGCAAGAACACAATGGAGGTGTTATCAGAGAGGAAAGTTTACAAGTTTTGCAGGCGTTACTTGATCGTGGATTAACAGGAGCTGGTATAACGTTTGGATCTTATTTAAAAGTAACGTACAGGATGTTTCATAATGGGATATACATTATTCTACGCGCTAATGTATATTCCAGTGGAATCCTATCGCTGTACGATTAGCCATCGTCAATGGATCCTCTATTAAGACGTTTGGCCATTGTTATACTTGTAGATGGATAAAGGAAGTTAACGGATATGAAGATAGGCAAATTACAAAATTATTATCAAGGTGTGGCTCTTGTTTTTCTCATACGTGGATAACGTTCCAAAATTAAATCATGCTCAAATCTAAAACACCAGTTAACTAGAGGATCCTTACCGATTTGTAGATTACCGGTTGATACGTAGCTATACTAAAGACTCAATTTGCTAAATATTTAGCCTACCTTGTCAACAGGATTTGGCGATATTATCGTTTCTCTATGGTATTCGTACTTAGGCGTTAATTCATTGTTCATACGTAATTTATCTGTGCTTGATGACAGTAACGATTCCGTGTGTTATTTTGTATTAAATATATTCTTGATGGTTGCGGGAATTGCATTTATGTTTTATTCTTGTAATTTCTGGCGGGTTTTTCAAAAGATACCGATATGGCGGATGCCAATGAAATACTAAAGGGGTCAACATATGTTCTACAGTGGTTGGATAAAACGCATATGGTTTTCATGAAGACTGCAGTCGCCCTTGCTAAATTCTCTAACTTTGTAAACCCCCCTAGCCCCCTTTCCTTAATATCAGCCATTATTTTTTTTCCCTTCTCTCATTCCTTCCTATAGCAAACGACATAGCCTGGCTGCTCTTCTGGGCTGCTCGACCTTTTTACCGTTAAGCTCCGTAAAGCCCGGGAGCTTTTGAAATTACGCAACTGGCGCAACAGCCGTTGCCGCCATAAGGACTCAATGGCGTACCGCCATTGCGAAATTTTTATGCAAACCGTTGAGCTTCGAGCATTTCACTTGCTTTTTTTTCTAGCCCCTCTCGTTTCCATTATAGGGTTGATATAAAAATCGGCATATAGAAGGTAAAAAAAAATGCTTCACGTTGCAGTAAAATGTTTGAACAGGAGAATATTTCGTTTCAAATTTTTCTATTGATTTTGTCATTATCGAAAACAACACACAAGGTACACTGGTTAGTCGGAATAAATAAAAGTGAAAATAAAGAAAAAGTAAAAAAAAATCGTGTTTCATTTTTAGATATAAATATCAAACAGAAAATCAAAGCAATTATTAATGTCAAACCTGAATGAATATTATTGACATGGGTATCAGTCACTTGAAAACGCAAGGCAGTCGAAGGATTTCAAAAAAAAAAAAAGAATCAGCCGTGGTTTAAGCGCGGCTTTTCGAGAACGATCGTAATACCAAATAATAGTCGATTGTCTATATAGTATACAAGGCAATCCGACTCAACGTACGTTCCTATCGGTTTACCTTGCGCGCCCTGAAGAAGAACCGCGGCAATTCCTAGAGGATTTCCAGGCACCTGTGCCTGCTTATTTGCCTGGGCTTGAGCAGCAGCTGCTCCCATTACCTTGGAGAAAACCGAGGCAGCTGCGGGACTGTTCGGTGGAGTACCCTGGGACGCGAAACCTTGTTGGACAAGCAGGGAATGAAAAAAATGGAGAATAGACAAATGCGAAAAATAAAGCATGATACGCGAGGCTTAAGGGATTATTTCTATGAAGCTACTACGCTATATGATTCACTCACGTGGGATCGTGAAAAGATCCGAGGGGAAAATAAAAAGCCATAACGAATTTGGCGGGTGACTTTAGTACCCGGCGCTTCCGCAGTGTGGCGCTGTCAGCACTGTGACAGGACCGGCTAATTCCGGGCGTCATTGAAACTTAATTGAAAATTGTGGATGCGCAACGCGACTGCCGCCGATGAAATTTGACTTGATTGAGTTTCGAGAATAGGGAGACACAACCCAATAACGTATCCCCCGGCCCCTGATACGTGTGTGAACTGTGGTAATATCGTATGACACAGGTGTCGCAAGCCACCCTGACGCGAGAACGAAACTCGACGGAAATAGAATGCTCGATAGAATCACCGCTTTTCTTGTGACGGCCTATAAATCGCGACTATAAAATTCTATTATATCTTTCCCTTGACAACGAGAACATCAAGACGGCAGTAAGACTCACTGTTGTCAGGCTGCTTCGACGAGCCCGGAATGCTGGCCGTGGCGGACATCTTGTTTAATGGAAATTTCCAGACACACACAGGTACACGGAATTATTAACTGGCTTTTTTATCAATCAAAAAATTTTCCACCTATCTCTCTGATCTCTTACACCGTCCGACTAACTTTATTCTTTCAAAATATATTCACCACAGTGCACCCCGACATTTTTCGCTGGTTATGCGTCGCGACCAGCAGACGGAAATTGACTAAATATCAATGGCCGAATTCGTGCGGGACTTTCAAACGTCAAACGATCCTTCGTCAACGTAGACGCTGTGGCTACTCGACAACGACTAACTAATGGCGCTACGGCCGATGCTAATGTGCGATCTATTCTCAAGTGTGCCAAGCGTCAGGTATTTCTGTTGGCCGTCGCGGCTCCACAGTCTGCACTCTTAACGTTTCTGCGTACGCGTGTAACGTTACTATAGAGATTCTACCCTCGGTCCTCCTCGTTGCTCTCGTACCAGAAGAGACAACGCATCTCGTTGCGTTATTTTCGAACGGGAGTACGACCAAAAATACCTCCAGTCAATACCAGTTAAGCGACAGAGAAAATCGAGGTCTTGGATCAGACCGATGAAAAGGCACCTTAATGTTTACCCAATTGAGCTACAATAAATTTATAGACGCCGTAAGACAATAACCGAACAGCTGTGCCAATGGGTATATATATTAAATTAATATTTTACACTTTCAATATTTTCTAGTAACTTAAGCGCCACAACGTGACTAAAAAAAAAACCCTAGGGAATTTTTCGATTACTCAATTACAAGGATGCACAGGGTTACCCGTTATGCGAGGCTTTTAATAAACAGCCGAGGCTTAATCGAAACGTAAGGATATTCTACAGAGTGTAACTAATTGAAAGAGGTAAGACCAATTGCTAATTAGTCTTGGGTACACAAGGCTTGTTCGTTTGGTACCCACGGGTGGAGGCTGGAGACAATTAATTCGCTAATCTATTAATTTCTGGATCCAATGAATCTTTATGGATTTTAAGCAATGCAAAAAAAAGCTTTTCAAACTGTTTACTTTTCTCACTGACTCCCTTCGCCGTACACGGAACACAGTTACGTTTAGCGATGCAATAACGCTTCTGTGCGTTGCCAATGCATACAGGGTGAACTGATAAAAAGAACTAATCAACATTTTTATGTTTACAGCATCGTCGATAAGGCCAACGTTATTCGATGCAGCTGGAGCATGTCGCGATAAGAATTAGATTTTTATAGACAAAAATTTTTTTCAAAGTTTTTCATTCTTTCAAAAATCATTCTCATCACCGACGTGTTCCAGAAATTTTTTTTTTTTTTTTTTTTTTTTTTTTTGTGAAAGTGCACAAAAACCGATGATCTCCGATACCGATTTGAAAACGATCGGGTGTGACTTATGATGCGATAATAATAATGATTAGCGTGCGTAGTTCTCGTTGTTGTTATTATTATACACAAACGTTTAGAACAACGAGAATTAGACAATCATTTCTGTGGTTAAGTTAGGTTAGGTTACCTTCGGGCTCTTTGGCAATGACCGTGCTGCTCCGGTCGACGCCTCCCTTTTTATCCTCTGTACAACAATACACACAACATCACGTACAGATATACGACATCGTTTACATACGCTATGTACAATATACGATCCACGTACAATTCAAAATGCATCTATTCATCTCAGACAACTTTCGGTTTGGCGATCAGATCGAGATAGACGTTCGAATTCTAACGATAGAAATCATCACGCGGTACAGGATACGTTTGGTTTCGAATTCTTTGAGGTGTCTGGTAACGATCTGGCTATCATGGGTATCACGTGTAAATAACAGCTAGAACGTATTGATACCCACCCATGTACCCAGGTACCTGAAAATCATTCGATTATTACTGAGCAATGGGGATAGTCCTGGAATACGAAATGATTCTCATTGAATTCGAGCGTTTAGCCTCAATTTTAATAGCCGATCGTTGACTTTCCTTTTTTTGACTTTTTTTTTTTTTGAATTACTCTAACGGCTCTCCTCGCGTGCAAATCCGACTTTCTTTCTGCCAGTGCACGAGGAATTTTTTTTACGACTAGCGTTTAAACTGATTTTACTGCTTATGGTGACTAGTGACTTTTTATTTTTGGGTAAACAAAAGTTTTCTTCTTCGCTCGCACTTTTATTTGTCCAGCTCTCAATTACTCGGAAGGAACTTTTTAAGTTACGAGACAGATTTAGTTAGACAGGAGATGCATTATTTTTAATGAGTGAGATATATATATATATAGTTTTACGTGCACTGTGCAAAGTCGAACGTTGGAATGTGCATTTAAGATGTGCGAAAGCTGGATGAGATATTTCTTAGCGATGATCTTTTGTGTAGCTCGTGAGATTTCTTTTTCTTTTCAGCGTTTAACAGAGTCCAAACTTTTTTTTTTTTTTAATTTGGATGCTTCGACGTTTTCTTTTTTATTTATGCTCATTATTCGTTCATTTTTGGGTATTACGTGTCGTCATGGTGCCCTGGAGTCTGGATGATCATCGTGCATAAGCGGGATACATGCGCCAAAGCCGGGGGATATGTTTTCTATGTAGTTTAAATATTTTTATTTATATATATATGTAGATATAGAGGACAGTGAGAAGTACAGAGAAATATAGAAGGAAAAATTGAATTGGTATATATGGCGTTCAGAAATCCATAACACCAGATTTATTTTTTTTATACTTTTGTGTACACGTGTGCGTGGAATGCCTGATAATAATCACTAGGTAGTTTGTCTCCTGAAAGGGTACAGTCGGTAAAAAAAAATATGGGCAAATAATTTTTTTTTTTCAAGGGTTCGTCGTCAAATTCCACATATAAAAAATGGTGATCGGAAAGAATCGATCGAATTTTCATGATCGCGAATTAATAAAGATTTTGAAAAAAAAAACAAAAGGAAAAAATTCAATGAAAGGTCCTGCGAAAAATTGTGACGTATGATTTTTTTGAAAAATTTTATCAGTGTGTCGTGTCATTGAGAGTCATGAGATTTCGGAAAATTGGTTTACGTGTCATCCAGTGTGATATCGTTCGAATGCAAAAACGGTGCTTGTGCTCTGTGAGAGAAAGAAAGAAAAATCGAGGCGAATAGAAGAGAAACAAGGAGGAAGAGAGAAAAATTGTAAGAAAGTTGAAAAAAAATGAAATTGATAAATACATATTTTTTTTTTTTTTTGGTAATAAAAATCGAGTAAAAGTTTACGTCTTTGATGGCTTTCCTTTGTTGGTATTTTGGAACTTTGTTTATATATATATATTTTTTTTTCGTTTAAACTAAATCAATGCATACCTACCTATAGATCTACCAGCTAATTCTTACAAATAGATCTAAAGCGGCATCCCCGTCGCGCCGATGCGGACGCAGCATGAAGAAACATCGAAGGCGAGTAAAAGCTAAAGCATTTTTAAGTGACGTAACGATAAAAAAAAGGCAACTATGACAATAATAATTGTCGGAAGGAATTTTTGAACGATAATAAAAATTTATAGAGAAACAGTATTAAAAAAAAAAAAAAGGAAAAATCAGTTGGATTAGGTAACAAATTTTTTGTTAATCATTAAGTCATGATTCATGTAATCAAACTGATTTGTCCCGATCGATCGAAAAATTATATGGAAAACGTACGTGTAGTAGCGAAAAGGGGGAAAAAATGATTTAAAAAAAATAGAGCAAACTCTTTCAAAATCTCAATCACGTACCAAACGGTCGTGACGATTATTACGAAAGAAACTAATGACAGCGATGACAAGCGAAATAAACAATAGCAATGCGCTGACCTGGTCACATGGCCAATTTGCTGTTGGTTAACGAACAAAAATCCCATCTAAAAAGAAGCTTGTTTTTCATTGGTCTAAGACGCATCGAGTGACGTGTCTAAGTTCTATTTCTAATTCTAATCCTCCAGTGCTTATACGATCTACGTACGCGTATTGCGTGTGTATCGATATAGTGGTGTATACGCAGTGCGCGACTGTCGCTCAAACGAGGGACAATTCTCGGAATAGTCGAGAAATAAAAATAATAATAAATTGACAATGAAATTTTTTTTTTTTTTTTCATTCTCATTATTATTATTTTCCATCACTGTCTCGTAATTCAATGCCGAATCGACCGTTTTCCTCGTTTTCATGAAAATCAGCACAGACCTACGCGTGAGCCCTGCCTATGATGACTGATGAAAATATCACGTATATTCGTGGCTGGTAGAGTGGTGGTCGATTGCTACGCGATTATCGAGAACCGACGATTCTCAATGTGCGATAACGATGGCATCGGGCCATATTCATTTCGCCAATAGCATAGCAAGGCTCTAATTCTTTTCGCGAATCTTTGACCATGCAAACCGGCCTAAGTCCGGAATTCTCATTGTCGTGCCTATTGCATGATATTACAACAGCGTTAGAAGAAAGCCGAACGTCTAAAGCAGTAAACTTAAAATGGTTAATCGACTAACGTAGACTCTTACTTCTCTATGTATTACGCAAGTAAAGAATTCATAATTATAATATAGATTGTGAGGATGAATTGTGAAGAAAAAAATTTTTTCTTTTTTTTTTTTTCTACGTGTTATGGATTTGTGAGCATCGCTGATACTAAATGTCAAATTGACGTTAGATTATTGTAATTGCTGATCGATACCTACTGCTTTATGCTAAATACTTGTGATAATTAATTGTTGGGTTTTTTGGTGTGATTTCACAGTAGGTCTTTTTGGTATAGAATTTGTTGTTTTTGTCAAAATCAATTAATTGCTTTATGGATACTGGCTGATAAGCGATTTGTGAAACGTATCGTACACAGTGGCGATAGGTTGTGACGTATTGTTTTGACTTTTTTTTTTTCCTTAATCGCGCTAATCGATAAAGTAGATAGAGAAGAAGGGAGGTTTTCGAGATTCGCTAGGCGCGACAAAGTGGCGGAGTGGCGAATGATCGCTGGGAAGAGGATTTGGAAACGCGCATGCACGGTGAACGGGTTATAGGATTGGTGGTCCCTCGAGGGACTTTAAATTTCCCGGGCTTCTTTAATGTCTCGGGAAATTTGATAATTTTTTGGAAATGCAGTTTCAACGTTTTAACACCGGACAATCCTCGAGAGAGCACAGCTCGCGAAAATGGTGGCCAACGTAAAGAAATTGACGTTTTTTTTCCCTATTTTGTCAAATTACGTGACAAGCTCTTTTTAATAGGATTTTCAATTTTGGAATTTCTGTACTACAAAGCTCGGCGACTATTCCTACTCGTACTGTTAACTACTGCAAGTAGAAAATGTTTTTTTTTAGTTGTACTTGATATTTTGAAAAAAAAATTTCTCCAAAATATTTCTAGTACGCGTTACCATTAGGATCTGTCACTGCTATAGAACAAAAAAGTACTTTAAAGTATATTCGACATAACTTCGAAATACGTATTTTAAAATATCATGGCTACTTTGCTGTATCAAAAAATTCATATTGATTGTCAAACAGACTGTATGTTGTGATTGTACGACTGCAAATGATTTGACTGATTATATATTGAGCGAATGACTTTTTTTTTTACATCACTCGTTTTGTGTTTGAGAAAAAAAAGTGGCAAAAAGTGACATTTACAACAGCAAGTGATAAAGTACAAGATGGTATGTCACCGATTGTGCTATATGGTAAAACTACGAGAGGCATAGGTATATAGAGAGAGAGAGAGAGAGAGAGAGAGAGAGAAAGGAATAGTTAGTATTTCGACTGTACTAGTACTCGAGATTACGAATAGTATTTAGTAGTGAACAGTACTAGAGCGACAAGGATAGGAAGATGGACAGTACTGCTAGTGGTAATAGACTGATAATAACTGTTTTGTATCTATTACTGCGAGCTCCTATGATAAGAAACATAATGTGTGAAATATTGAAAATTTTCAAAAAAAAAAAAAAACCATTAGTACTACCAAAAGTCGTCATTGTCAAGAATTGCGACTATATTTTTTTTGGCCACTGGATATTAGGTCGGATCTAAAAAGCGATTCCTTCATAGGGTATCACAGCCTGAGGCTACGAGTTAGGGCACCAATTATTATCGGCGACCTTTGACTTCTTATTGTCTATACGAAATGCGTTGTAAACAAAAAAAAATCGTATAAGTCTTAACGTAAGGCGCCTCCACAAATTTTTAAAATTCGCAAAAAATTTTCGAAATTTTTGGAATTTTCAAATTTGACAAACGATCGCGACGACGTTATTATTGTTAAATATATAGCAAATAAAAAAAATTGGTGCTTCCTACCTTTGACATCATCGTCCTCGATGGTGGTGCTGCTGTCGGTGGATTCCTTGACTTGAGAACCCTCGCCCTTCTTCGTGACCATGCTTCGACCTGGAGTACGCAAATAGCAGTTAGTAAGGAACGATAAAGGTTTTGGATAAATAATGAGACAAAGAAATGATACGACTTATCGAACGTCGCGATTATTGATCTATCGATATATAATTAATCTGTGTGTAATTAAAATCGATAAATCAAACACTGCGCAGGCGTAACGTAATTAGGTAATTATTACCTTTTTTCTTTTTTAATTACAGACCCAAATGGGACCCCACTGTACCCCTGTTAGGTTCAGGTTAGTCGAAGTAGCAGTAAATTTATGATGGATAGACAGACAGCAGGTAGGAGAAGAGAGAGATACCCAAAAAGGTAAAGTTACATAAGAAAGCGAAAAAGAGGCGAAAAGTATTAAAGATAATGAAGATAAAGATGTATGAGTAAGAGAGAGAGAGAAAGCCTCTGGTTACGTTACGCTTGCCCAGCGACGTTGCGATCATAGGAAACACAAATCCACGAGAAGAACATCGAACGAGAGTAACGTAGCTCGGACCTGGTTCGAGGGTGTTGAAAAGTGGAATGAAAAAAAAGGCGCGTTTTTCAAATATAAATTTTGAGAAAATTTTCTTATGGGTATAGATAGTGTTATTTGAAATACCTTGTCGGAATTTTTTTTCAACCCAGACCGAACTAGGATTCTCGTATATTTACACGTATGACAGAATTTCTCTGGACGAGACAACAAATATGTATCCGTATGGACATCGATGTGTTCCTTCGTGTTCTTGTTTCCATCGAAAGCGACTCGACGCACTGACGCGCACTCTGGTGACCGAATTTGACAAACGAGATTATGACTATAGAGCTCTAAGACCATGCGTATAGGCACAGTTGGTCGACGAGTGACGGAGTCATTTATTAAAAATCCAGAATAGCGTGGTGATGCGTCAAGATCGTACGAAATGTACATAAAACATTGAGGAATCAAGTCGAGAAACCACGGGTTGTTCAACCTGTCGAGAAACAAAGATGGCTGCCGCCGTTACCCATAAGGCCATTCGTGTTCCGAGTGAAATAACAGTTTCTTCGTTAATTGCGGGTTCCTCGAGTTGATTCGTCTGTCTCGGCGCGAATATATAAAGACAATAAGAGATCCGAGAGGCGTGACTGTCTTAAGTTTAGATTAATTGAATATCTTTAAAGGCATTCATTAGAGGTAAGATTGTGAAATAGGGTGTTAAGAGAGCTGGCTTGTGCGCGTGCGCGTACCTCTAGAACTGTACGAGAGCCGAGCTGTGATTGGTCGGAGTTGACGTTTGGCTGGAGTGACCCGCGCATGCGCACAACCGTTAGTTTATATTTTGTGTTTAGATGCAGAGAGATGCCGCGGACGAAAGAAATTCTAAAGGCTATGAAAGTTTGTCAATTAATGCGAAATAATTAAGACGTTAATTAAGACTGCTAGTTTATTATACTATAATAGCTATATATGTATAGCGTGGAATTTCTTTCAAGCAACTCCCTCCTTCCTGTAGTTTGTGTGTGCAGGGTCGGGGACATGGGGACCGGGCTTAAAGTTTTTAAGTTAAAAGTCGCTCGACTCCAAAATCATTAACGAGTTTCGGAAACAGTATGTACACTGAGTCAGAATGAGCCAAGATAAAAGAGCGGCGAAAGATAGAAATATAAAGAGAATCAAAGGTGGAAAGAAAAAATAAGTTTAAGGTACGTTCACACAATTTTCCAATTGAATGAAGAATCTTTAAAAGGTGTCAGTGTTCGTCATGCATGGACACATTTAATACAGCGTAACTTCGTAAGACATTATCTTGGACATTCCGGATATCCTTTAATTATTTTTCTTGTAAATTTTCATTTTTTTTTGTTTTCTCCAATTTCTATCACTTCTCTACCCAAAACTTACCGAGGCACAAGAAGCCGCCAGGATTAACCAAGAAAATGCTACATCAATTGACACCTCCGTGTACAAACAATATTTCTCCAATTCTCTAATCATGCAACAATGTACAACAAGTACAATCAAACATTACCGGAAAAACAACAATAAGGTAAAAGGAGACATAAACCAAGAAGAAAAATATATATAACGAGGTATCGGTGTGAATAAATATTGTTTAAATAAATAAAGCAACGATACCAAAACATACACATATAATACAACAAACAGAACAAGCACCAAAAAAGATTTACAAATCGCACAAGCAACGTTCGATGTGCTCTCTATGATTTTTTTTGTCTTTTAGGTAAATTTTCAAAATTTTTTTTAACACGTAAAAAATCATGTTTCGAATTTTCCCACGCCTTTCATTGTACTCGTGTCTAACAATCAGCCGATTTTCCCGTACGGCGGTTAGACAAATTGAAAATAGAGAGCACGATCGGTGGTCTCGCTCTTAGTGAAAAGAGTGAAACTGATTGTCACGTGTGATTAGCGTAGGCGACCTAGGCTGCAGCAAATGATCGGTGTGGTGTTATATATCGTGATTTGTTAGGTAAAGAGTCAGATAATAACGATTAATTTCGATCTCTAAGAAAACAGGTAACACGTCTTACCAACTTCTTCATATCACAGTCGTGGGGCAAGATCGCGATTGGTTGGTCAATTGGTATTGGTTGGTCGTGGTTGGTTCGGTTGGATGGTTGATTGATTGATCGGTTGGTTCATTGGTTGGTTGGTTGGTTGTTTGGTGGGTGGTAACGGGGTCAACCAAAGAAAACAGACATAGATATATCTTGTTAACATCGCTTGCTATTGCTTTTGCTTGCTTTTTGCTACGTGCTTGTCGCTCGTACGTATCTTTTTAATGTCGTCCATTCTCGTTCCTTCGTATTTCTATTTTTCTTTTTTTTTTATCGCCGCCAGCTATAAGGTACGATATTTCTGGCAACTGCGTGTCTCCGTAGTACGCGTTACGGGTGTACTGAGCCTAAGTATCTGTCAAACTTTTTCAAAAAAAAAAAAAAAAAATTTGTCAAAAAGGACAAGTCGGTTACTTGTCGCGAGTCGAAAAAAAAAAAAAAAAATTTTTTTTATAATTCGAAATTTTTCAAAATATAATTTCAAACCTCAAATATTTACATGACCAAAGAGTGAACTGCTGGCAGAACCAGACACAAAGAGAGCGGAGAAAGAGAATAGAGCACCATACACAGGGTGTCTCCATAGGCCACTATGTGCCTCAAGCGTTATACCTATGAATGCACCTTAAGGAAGTCGCCCGATTACTCGACGGTCCGTAAAAAGGTTTCTATGGAATGACAGGTACACGGACTGGAGTATGTAAGGCTGTCCGGTAAGAACAGAGAATTCTTAGAGAGGAAGAAGAGACCAGCCTAACCTAACGGGCCGAGAGCACGCTCCGGACGTAAACAAAGAGAACGAGCCGAGGCTGGTTAACAGGAGAAAAGGATAGAAGTAGAGAGCGAAGTTGGCGTATATCGAATTACAAGAAATAACGTATAAAGTTTCTTGAGAATCGGCGGGAAAATTTGAAATTCTTAACTCGCTTTAAACTTATCTGTCTCTGCCTTGAAACGCAGCACCGATTGAATTTCGAATCTCTGCCCACGACTCCGTACATCGATATCCAATACCTCTTGGAATCGTTACGTAATCGATACACAAAGGATACCGAGAACCTCTCGAATCTTTAAATCCGTTACACTCAAATGGAATTCGTCTATCTTCGATCCGCTTGAAATTTAATCCCAGAAAATCCAATGGAGGTGCGGACCACCTGAAAAGGCGAGAATACGATCGCGTCGCGATAAAATAATCGATAATACAAGAATCGATATAATTCGAAAGAAAAATCGATCCGTTCAAATCGATCACGTTCGATTCTTTCCCCCCGTGCCACCGATCCAACTTATTTTTCCCAAAAATTTGTAATTCCAGTTACGAAGAAAAAATCGTCATCCCCACCCTTTTCTCACGATCTACGAATCTTACCGATCATCACCGAATATTCCCGAACGCCCAGCAGGGTGGCTAACGCGTCGAATCCTCTGTATTTCACCAGAGCTCCCATTGTCCCTGTAGCACATACTAATCGCGCACAAAGCCTCCTTCCAGGAAGTTAGCTACCATTATCTATTATCTGTCGGTATAGAAGAGGCATCTTATCGTCAAGGATAAAAAGGACCGTCGAGCACGATGAAAGAACTGGCATAGGCACGTGATGAATGGTCACGCGTGAATTGTCAGATAAAACTTTTTTTTTGGTTTAATTAAAGATTAGAAAAAAAAAGAAGAAGAAGTCAACAATGAAATCTGACACTACTAATCTCTATACCGCCTCTCGATTATTCTCGCCTAGAGCTAACTTCAGCATCGTCCTATTGTCTCTGAGCTTTCAACGATTTTACTCAGTTCACCCGTTCCGCCTCTGTTTTATTTATTTCGTTTACTTTCTTTTTCTGTAAGTATCCGTGGAACACATATATATTTGTATATGCATAAGTGATGAGAGTGACGGGTGGTAGTAAATAAACAGACACAATGCAACTTCTCGTACATTTCACTAGGAGTGCAGTTAGTCTACTGTGAGACGACGGTATTTTATATACATATATATTATATGTATACATGTAAGTATACGGTATAAGGTATGGTCTAGCGGTTAGCGTAAACGACCAGTGATTTGATCGAGCGCGGAAGGTCGACGGTTCGATCCCGACCAGGAGCAGAATTTTTTACTAGCAGCAGTTAACAATTCCTTTGGCCTCCGTACGACCAGGACTTGGGCCGCCCGTGAAAATTCGATTTTCGACCGTTCCTAAGTCAGTTTACACTGAACGTAGGTTTTCGCGTCCTACGTACAGCTTAACGTTATATAGTATTCTACGCGACGTCTGAAGTCAGCTGCAAACGAAATTACAGCTTATTTACTTACTGTGAAATGTATTACAATTGACTTAGGGATCTCAGGCCTGGAATCGCATTATTCATCGAACCACTCCCTTCTACGCTCCTTGTCCTTATATGCGTATACATACATGTAGTATATAGTATACTAAAGTATTTTGGCAAAGTGAACGCTCAGGGTTTCATAAGACGTCAGTCATAGAGAAGAGTAGAGGACAGAGGAGAATCGTATGTAGCGAAGACAAAAAAAAGAGCATTAGAAAAAGAAAAAAAAAAAACGAAAATTCGATCAACGAACGTATGAAAAAAAATAATTCGGTTTTTTTTTTCTGGAATTAAACGGTAACTCGATTCCCCTGTGAATTTGCTCTATATGTTTTTTGGATATCGAGATGGATCAAATGTGAAGATTTTTTTATGAATAATCAGCCAAAACAAAATTTTTTTAATAACGATAACACTTGTTCAAGAGCGAGCTTGTTATTATTATTCGGGAGAATTTCATTGTTTTCATTGTCACGATTACTGTTATTGTTGTCCAAGTGACGTTAACGCGACTAAAAAAAAAAAAGATAAATTCTTCAATTTAACCGTGAGAATAAACGAATTAAGAGAACATGCCATGTGTGTGAGGTCATTGTTGGATTTGGGGGGGGGGACGATTATTTAATTATGTCATATACGGGTTACGAGTATCTCCTTATCGGATTGCGCATTGAATTGATTAAAGAAAAAGGTATAGTGCCAAATGCCCAATCAGATCGAAGGAGAGGCGTGCGAATTAAATTTGAAAAAAAAAACACGATTCGTTCTCGATTCTCTCTTGGGACATATAAGTAGGGTGTCAATGATATATAGTAATACAGTATAGTATATTGATACACTATCAGTATTAACGTGTGTATATATGACAGTAGCATATAGTGTATCGAGATAACGTGTACGTTGTTATATTCAATATTAAATATTAACAATTAATTTCAATTTTTTATATAAAAATTCAGTGGGTCCTTACACCATCCGACCCCCTTCGCTTCAGGCGTAACGGGAATGTTGGTAATCAGTCACGTGATTAATCAGTACAAATATAGATCTATAAATAGAAAAAAAAAATGGTACAATAATAATAATTTCGAGCGATCGCCATTGCCCGATTGTTTATATAAAAATGTTTTTTCTTCCCAGTATGCACAGACATGGCACGTGAATTGTGTAATAAGCGTGATAATTTTTTGCAAATGACGTAACGGACTCGCACGGCTAACACGAGGATTGGCAATAAATTAATTGTGCAAATAATTTTTCTTTGTATTTCACACATAAGAAATCCGCCATTGCGAACGGACGTAATAATAAAAAAAAAATAATAACCCCTAAATAAATACCATGCTGTAATTTGAAATGCGCGCGCATCAATTTCCCGGCATTCACCGCTGCACAATATGGCGCACGGATATCGTCAAGTACGAAAGTCCTTTGGTAATATCAGAGCGTACCTCGAGGTGAGGAAATGAAATTAATTAAATTGAAAGTTGGCTTCGAGTTAATTGTCTACGTATAATTTCACGTCGCAGCTCCGATTTAATGGGTCGGGAGTAGCGGAGAGAGGGGCGAGACGAGCACCGACAGGTATAGTGATGATATTAAAGGATATATATATATATATATATATATATATATATATATATATATATTATGAACTAAATAAGTATCGCGGTATTGCCAGGCTGTAAATCAACGATCTAATTATACGAAGAATCCATGCGAGAGGGGACCCCCCGGCCCCAAGGAGTTGACGATACAAGATGTCTGCCACGAACTTCGACCTCGTTATTATACCCAACGGCTGGCCAAGGTTTGGCATTGTTTTCAAAAGTTTCTTAACTTCGCAGTGACTACGATAAAGGGGCCGTTGATTTTACGCGAACGGCCAATGAGTAAGGTTAGGTTGGGCATACCGAAACATATATATACGTAAACAAAGCTGCTCGTCGATCCTATGGTAAATTTCCATACGCTTGTCGAGCCTGTCGACAAGGCGCAACTTCGTTTTCGCATGACAAATACCCTCGGCGCAGACACTTGTCGGTACTGGAGTATTGGTATTGCTAATATTGAGCAGCACAGGAGCCTCCGTGTTAACTTTCCTTAGGCCAACCTAACCTAATAATCGTAACCTGACTACGTACCCTGTAGGTACTCGAGTATCTATGGGCTCTCGAGACGCGAAGTGTGTACGAGTAGAAAAAGAGTACAAGACGGCACTTGGGACTCTCGGCAGGTTCGGACGAGTAAAGAAGAGATCTCGAATTTAGAAAATAAATAATGATAGAGAATTCAGATTTTTTTTTACTTTTCCAATCAAAACAACCATTGTCATCGATCAGGATCCTTTCGTGCTGTCGTCGAGTTTTTACGTCCAGCATCTTGAAATTGTCCCTTGCGTAATTCGATAGTCGGCCCTACCCGAAGTTCCCAAGAATATCTAAGCACATTTCTTTTTGCAGTTGACGAAACGAAAACATTTATTTTCTCACTAAAATTTCGTCGAACGTTAAATATATTTTTTCTTTTTTACCAATCTTACGTAAAAATTTATTTTATCAATCCGCTATTACTTCTCGATGAAAATTTATATCTTTAATACGTGACGCGTTTCCTCTTATCTCAATATATATATATATATATATATATATATTACTATACTCTGTACTAAATACACTTTGTCTGATATTATACGCGTATTATATTGATGAACCGTGTCAGAAGGAGTATGTACATACCAGATATACCAGAAGTCGACTGTATGAACACGTGAGAAAAATATTGACGGTAATCCTGGATTTGGAAAATATTGATCTTATCGTCGAGAAGAAATTCTTTTGTTAATTTTAAGAAAAAAAAAAAAAAAAAAGTAATGAAAGGACAGGAAAAATATGGAGATATAATTATGACTGTCATTAAACTTTGATAAATTTTAACATGGGTCAGCCTACGGGAATGTTGTTCTTGAAAACGATATAAAAGTAAAAAATTTTAATACGTTATTAAATCGCGATTGAAAATTATGGAAAACTTGTTATTAACGTAAAACAGTAATTTCCTCTCGTCCTCGAGGCTCTTACAGCTTACGTCGTTTACTTTAATAAATTAACGTTTAATCTAATGTGCTACGATATCGGGGATCTCTCGTATGGGATACACATAACTATAACATTGATTTAATTAATAAACGTGCATATATACATATATTGTATATATGCTGTTATTGTTGCTGTATCATATATCTATATATATGTACATGATATATATATATATATATATGTAAATAATAGCACAGCTATAATCACTATAGGAACATTCTAACGGACACCATTAAAGCTGAATGGTTTGGAAATATCGACAACGTGATAAAAATTTTTTTTCCCCAAAAAATTTTTTCAAAAATTTCATCCAGCGTCACTGTCACCGTCACCGCGAAGAAGCATTTTCAAAATGACCGTCAACAATACCACACATACGCCGCAACAAAGTTCCGCAAGTGGACGAAAACAGTTGGGTAGAAAAATTGTACTGAAAATTTCGTGATGCGAAATAATGTAAAAAAAAATTTTGAAAAATCCCCCCCCCCAACAAAATATTACCCATAGAATTTGTAGATGAATAAAATTTTTTTAATTATTAAACCTCGCAACGTCATTCGAAATTCGATGACGTACCCGTGAAACCGTCTGGCAGTCCCGTAGGATGCCGAAGGGACGTCTATCGCCGCGAGGTCATGGGTCATCGTACGTGTGACGTCATGCGCGTAACAAATTTCACGAACAGTTAATTCTCGATGATCCCGCCAGGAGCGCGATCGGCGTTTATTCGATGCGACGTTAAGCGCATAAATTTCGATAACTCCAGGCGCGACGGGCTCGTGCGATGACGAGGATGACGTAACAATAATAATAAATCATCGATTGATATCGGACTAAATCGATTCGACACGTTCTCATCGCCATCCGCTCCTATGGCTCACCACGTGTCTACATAGGTATACGTATTACGTGCGCGATGCGTCCGGCCAGGCAATCCGCACGGCTGTTTTTACCACGGCACGAGTGACCCCGACCATTCGTGACGCGACGGCCAAATTATCACTCCGATGCTTCTATCGTGGTAAACCGCTCGAGTCCACTGGGACATTTAAAACTTCACCCAGAAGTCAAATCGATCTTGGGCATCGTGATTTGGTACACCGACGAACAATGCAGGAACAGCTGTTCACGTATGACGAATAAAAGTTTGCTTTTATTCTAAGGACTAAAAAAAAAAAAAAAAAAAAGAGTTCTTCCTAGTAACTCTCGCCATCTTGCAGGGAATACGGTGCGAGCCAAATGCATGTACATAATGGGATGAACATACTCTATAACAGGTAAAAGGCGCACATCGTACACGTGCAGAGCGACGAGAGGACTCGTTTGATAATTTGGAATTTGGAAAAATTTTCTCAAAAAAAAATTTTTTTTTTCCAAAACGAGTCCTACCGATCGCAACGTTACGGTTAAGTTATATATTTTTTTTTTCCACGGGCAAGGTGAAACCCTGGTGGCTGCGTCTGTTGTCTTATGGTCTTGATGGCTGATTGTATGAAATTTGATAACATTTTTGTTTTCACGTAAAATTACACGCGATTTTTTTTTCCGACGGTAAGACAACCGCGCTACCACCTCTTTGACACTGGGCCACAGTGAGACTGTGACGAAGAATTAACAAGGCCGATTCTCATGTACAGACAGACGTACGGTAGGGGTAGGTAAGTAGGTACAGTCTGTCGTAGGGGACGAAGCGCTGAAGAGGGCCGGAGGTACTTACCCTGTGCATCATACTTACTGGAAAAGTTCCTCGTCGCCAACATCGTGGTCAGGATGGCGCCCTGTTAGCGTAGAGGAAAAAAAAAAATATATATATATATATATATATATATATAAACCCTATTAACGAACGTATAAGGAAAAAAAAAAAAAAAAAAAAAAAAAGGGGGGGAAAAAAAAAAAATTTTTTTAAAAAAAAAAAAAAAAAAAAAAAAAAAAAA